GACAAACACCAAGGCGTGGACTGCTGGATCCGGTGCGAAGAGTGTGCTTCGTCAGTCACTGTTCTTTCAGTGACGCACTGCCTTTCATGGCCAGAGAGCTTTCTCTAGCTTGTGCTCTGCCAGCTTTTAAACGAGGACTAACGTAAGGTGGGGCATAAATACACCAGAGCCCCCTCGCCCCTCAGGTGGAACTCTGAGCATGCTTTGTGCTGTTTCTCAGCGCTCCCCTTCAGGATTAAGGCCCATGGGCCCCCCTCCCCCAGGGGTTACCATCTAACACACACAAGCTTCACCAGCCAGTCACCTTCCCTTCCCCGTCTCAAGCCCCTGCAGCTCCACCTGTGTCTCCTTCATCTCCCAAGTAAACTCACTGCCATGTCAGCGTCTGCTCATGGGGCGCCCCAAGCCAGGAAATTCCCGCTGGTCCTCCCCCACCCACACCCTGACTCGTTGCAGCAGCCTGGTTTTCAGCTCCAGCACCTTGTGCCTCGTTTCACACGCTCTTAACTGGCCGTGCGGTACAGTCTCCTTGAGACCTGTTTCCCCTGACTGCCTCGTGGACCTTATTCACAGGTGACACTAATGGTGAAGGCCTGGATTTCCACCCTGTCCCCTTGCTTACAGCCCTGGGGGCGGGGGTGGGGAGGAGCAGGCCTCCGACCCAGAGCTGGGAAAGAGCGGCTCTCAGGCCCGGCTCTCAGGCCCGAGGAGCACGCGCCCACTCTGAGCCTCTGCGGGCGCTCTGGGTTAGCCAGCGGCTCGCACCTCCCAGAGGACCGCAGTGCCACGCGCTCCCCCCTTTAGGCCTGCTACCTGCCCTCGGGGGGAAACATTAAACTGTAATTCACTTTGTATCAGAAAGCACTCTTTAGACAATTTTAAAGTCCATTTTAAAGTTAGGATTCCATTTCTACTGTTTTTCTTTAATTAAACCAACATTTACAAATTCACCAATGCAAATGAGTTCACCCAGCCCCACCCTCCATTTTATGCATTTTTAAAAATTTTTTATTTATTGACTTGAGGGAGGGAGAAACATCGATTTGTTGTTCCACTTACCCTTATATTCACCAGTTGATTCCTATGTGTGCCCTGACCAGGGACTAAAACTGCAACCTTGGCGTATGTGGATGACACTCTAACCAACTGAGCTACTTGGCCAGGGCCATGTATTTTGAATTAAGATTAAATACAGATTTTACGAGGTTGAGATAATAACTATCTGAAGAGACATGCTTTTTAGACAATTACTGTCCTTAAATGCATTAATAGAAGACACAAATTGTAGTCAGTTTATTCCTCTTGGGGATCAATGGAGTACACCCAGTTGAGTTTTATAATCAAACTATATTGTGTGCTACCCTTTCATAGTAATCACTCAGCTACTTTAAGAAACGTTTTTAGCCCTGGCTGGTGTGACTCATTGGATTGAGCATCAGCCTGCAAACCACAGGGTGTCTGGTTTGAGTCCCAGTCAGGGCACATGCCTGGGTTGTGGACCAGGTCCACAGTTGGGGGTGCGTGAGAGGCAACCACACATTGATATTTCTCTCCCTTTCTCCTTCCCTTCCCCTCTGTCTGTAAATAAATAAATCTTTTTTTTTTAAAGCAATTTTACCCAGCAGGTGGTTTTACGCTAGACTGGGAGACCCCAGCCGTATGTGAACATGTCAGCCTGCTTGCAATCATGCACGCATCAATTTCATAATTGTCTGAACTCTACTGAGGTTTTAGAGTTGAACAGGAAATTTGAAGTTAGCTGGCTCAAATTTAGTTTCCTCCCTGTGTGAGAGGGTGCCGGTCATGTCGCCCCTCACCTTGGATGAGTTTACTAAATCGTTAAGAAAACGACAAACATGTGAAAAGTGACCTATTGACACCAAGTAGCAGAACTTCTGTTCAAAGAAGGGACACAGATAGGGAATGGGAGGATACAGCTCAGGAATGTGGCAACACCAGGCCACAGCCAGGCACAGGGACCCCTGAAGAGGCCTGGAAATCTGCAGTAGCACCACCAGCTCAGGCCAAAGATGGAGTTTCCCAAGTTTGGGGTGGGAGGAGGGTGAGTAAACATCAAGCCTGGTAAAATGCATCTCCCTGACCTCGAGGCCTGCCCTGCGTCCACAAGGCTGTCAGTGGGAAGGACACTGATGGCCCGGGGCTGTCACAAGAGTGCGGGAGCCTACTGTGTCAAGCAGGTGCCTATGAGAGGTGTGTGGCAGGTAACTTCAGAGAGGTAAGGGGGAGGCTGTAGGACAGTCATGGCACTAGAGGGAAGAGCAAGCATGTGCGACATGGGCAGCCACACCTGCACGGCAGACAGGGAAGAGCGTGCCCTGGAGTGAGGAGGTGGGAGGGACAAGGGAACGGCTGGGCACAGACAGGCGAGCGCTTCCCTCCAGAGTGCCAGATGTCTTGGGGCCATAGTCCCCCAGCCTAGGGAGGTCTGCAGAGGCCTCGTGTCCTTGGGGGCCTCTCAGGTCTGCTCTGCCCTCCAGGGGAACCCTCCTTATAGGACAGGGAAGGGTCCCCCTGTGACACCCACCCCCAGGCTTAGCCCAGCAGTGCCCTCAGGGCCAGAGGAGGACAGACGGGGAAGGCACCCTTCTGCTCCAGCTGTGTTTCCCTTGGGTTCTGGACACAGCCTGGGCTCCGTTTCCCAGAGCCAGGGACCTGGAGGGTGCCCACTGCCTACGACTGCTCCTGCTACCCCGGGAGACACACAGGCTTCCTCCCAGGACGGCTCGGGGAGAGGCTCCCCATCTCCACTCCAGGCCACAGGGCCCCTCCTACCCCTGAGCCCCTCACCCAGACCTTCTCTGAGCAGTCACCCAGTCCCCAGAGCATGTGTGCACCCTCTCCCAGGTGGGTACCCACCACACCCACTCAGGGCCCCCACAGACCCAGTGCCCACACACCATGCGGAGGCAGGTCCTCCAGAGCTGCACTCGTGAGAGGTCACCTGTGGCCTGGGCGCCCCCCTACTCCCAGACCCGTCCTGAGGTCCTAGCCCGAGGCCCTCCCGGTGCCCTTGTGGGCTGAGCCCGCTCCCCTCCTGCAGCCCTGGCCTCTCTCAGAGCTTGAGCCCAGCCTCAGGGCTGGGGGTGGCAGAGGGAGGGGACAGTGCCGAGCACAGCCCCACACACCACGCTCGTCCGGACCGCCGCCGGGGCCAGCCCACCGACATGGAGTCATTCCTTGGCCCACATCGCTCCCCAGACCTTTCGCTGTGGATCCCCATGCCCAGCCCTGCCAGGTCCCGTAAATCACCGACCAAACTGCCCAGGCCCACCTAGCTCTGCACAAGCAAGGGACTCCAGCTTATGACCTGCGGTTCAACAAGCTCTGTGTCTCCGGGCCAAAGAGGGGCAGGAAGCACTGGCCAGGAGGGGTCAGCACCACTCCTCCTGCCCTGCAACCATGAAGGCACCCCTGGCCGAGAGCCACCCCAGACCCCCCCCCCAAGAGCCCACCATCGCAGCCCTCTCTCTCTCTCTCTCTCTCTCTCTCTCTCTCTCACACACACACACACACACACACACACACAGTAGATACAGCACTCCAGGGTCTTGCCTCCAAGCATGAGAACTGCGGGCCTAGCACAAGGCACGCCTGTGTGTACTGTGGGAAGCACACATACATACACTTGGTACACAGTGTGTGTAGTACTCGAATAAACCTGTTTTTAAGCCTTTAGGTGCCACCCTTGGCTCCTTTATTGGGCAACTCACAGTGCACTTGGACTTGCAAACCAGTGGGTCTAAGCCTAGACCTTAAAGGCCAGGGCAGGGTCTGCCTTGGGCTACGGTACCAACCACGCACTGGGCTCTGTGGAGACCCAGACGGACCCTGGCCGGGAAAGCACAGCATCTAGTGAATGGCCATCAAGAAAATAAGCACTTTAATTCTCTTGATACAGGAAAGCACTGCAGTGAGTACAGGCACAGTTAGAAGTGTCACCAGGTACTGACATCAGGGGAGATATCCTAGGGGCAGGTGGATTTGGCACCCAGGATTGGATGCCCACGGGCAATCTGTCTGGCCTGGAAGTGGTTGAGATGGCATGGAGCTGGAAGATCCCAGGCCATCTCCACGGCAGACAAAGGAAAAGAGAAGGGCCGAATTAGCAACAAGGCGAACCGAGGGCAGGGCAGCTTGGGCATGAGAAGCAAAAAAGAGGGCAATCAGAAGCAAGCTTTGTGATAATTGGCCACAAAGCAAAGCAGCCCAGCTTAAAATCAGAAAGCCAGAAACAGGCTTCCGCTCCTGGAATTTACTCTCACCAGCCCTGCTGGGATCACCTCCTCCAAGAAACCACCCCAATCCTGCCGAGGTCCCCTTCTCTGGAGACACGCATTGCTCCCACCCTCCTCAGGACAACCTCTGCGTTTGAACTGTGAACAATCACCAACATGCCCAGTACTTGCTTCCTCAGCCCACCAGGGGGCCTCCGAGCTCCAGGCCTCGGCTCAGCTGAACCACACAGGCCGCCACCTCCCCTCCCATTCACTCCCATTCACGCCACTGGCCACTCCCGGCAAGGGTCCTTCCTCCTGGCCCCCCACCCCCCGCCCCATGAATGGTCCTACAAGCAAAGAGACAGTGGGGGAAAGGGGTGTCAAGAACAGTAGCTAAGAAAAGGTGCTGAAGTGCTACGGATTCCCACAGGAATATTAGATTGAAGTCAGAATATTCCGTGAAAAACCCTGTGATTTATCACGATTTGGTCTCTTGCCCCTGGGGCCACCCACACAAGCGGCTCCAACAGAGGCTACCAGTGGGAAGTCCAGGCTTCCCACTGCTGATGTGTTTTTCAAAGGAAAAATTTAATCTACATTTCTTCAAAGCACACTTCATTAGGTCATCACTCATAAGGCACAACAAACAAAGCCCCACACTATTCTAAAATCTGAAAGGCAGACACATGTATTGAGATTTTAGAGGCATTTATACAAAAATAGTCAAACAACAATGCTTTTACCACCTGAAAATATGATATACAAATGGACATTTGTGAGTTTATGATTCTCCTAAGAACAACAACGGTGGGCCAAGTTTTAGAGGAAACTATATTCTTTTAAAGAAAATGAAAATATTCTCAAAGGAAAAACTTAATTTAAGTCAAATCACACACACATTAGTCCTGGAGCCTGATACAGTGCTTTCCTGCAGCGGGCGCAGGGAGCCCCTTCATGGTCTCTTGTCCGAGACTTGTGGCTGGAATTCCGCGAGAGAAGGTTCTTTTCCCGAGGCTGAAGGATAGGGGGTGGGGGTGGGAGAAATCCCCAAGCCAGGAGCTAGGGATGGGGGAAGAAGGATGGGATTGTGGCTGAAAACACCCACTGGAATCCCAGGGGCCAAATCCCAGTGACCACAATTAGCCAAAGGCAAGCCTCCTTTGCAAGCCCCATACCCTCCTGTGACCCCAACCAAACAAGGCACACACTGGTGGGCAAGACGCTTGGGACACGCAAGCATGCACACCCTTACTCCAACCGCCTGCCAGTCTGCACCCTGCCTGGAGCACTCTGGGAGGGGTCCTTGGCCCCTCAGGGGCAGAAAACTGGCTCCACCCCACACCCTGTTCCTCCACACCCACCCCATGGCAGTCTGGGAGCCTGTCCCTAAGGGTCACATGGGGTGCTCTGCGAGAGGGTGGGGAGGGGGCATCTCAGACCAGAAAGTGGGGGTGGGGAGCAGCAGAGCCATAAGGAAGGAAGCGGCTGGGGGCGGCACGAACGGTGAATAAATAGTAGCTTTGCCGTGGGGCCGGCCCCTCGGACAGCAGCTTCGTGGCAATTGGGGAGGTGGGCGGCAGAGGCAGGGCGGCTGGGCCACCCTGACACAAAGCTCCGACCCTGACCTGGGTCGCCCATCCCGCCTGCCCTCACACGCACTCACACACACGCACACACTGCCCCAGGGTCGGGCTCCTGCCCCTGCTCAGAGCTCGGTGACGTGCACAGCAGGTGAGGGAAGTGGCGCTGGCCGGAGGCGCCGCAGGTGGCAGCGGCGGCACAGCAGGTGGCCCTCCAGCGGGTAGCAGCGGCGTCCATCCTCCCCGCTCAGCTGAAGTCCACAGTCCTAGGGAAGAACACAGCCCAACCCGTGTGAGTAGGCAAGGGGAGCATACGGGGCACCTCAGGGTCCGGGGTGTGGGGCAGATCGCTAAGGCTCTGTCCAACCTCCACAGGGCTCTGGCTTTTCCTCTTGAAGGGGGGGTCAGGAGCCTGTGCAGGACACAGGGAACTGGGCGCCCCTTAGGGGAAGAAGGGGGGGTGGTGACACAGCCTGGAGTCTCAGAGAGATGGGCTCGGGCATAAAAAGAAGGTTGATCCTGCCCTGGCTGGTGTGGCTCAGTGGATTGAGCACAGGCCTGCGAACCAAAAGATCACTGCTTCGGTTCCCAGTCAGGGCACGCGCCTCGGCTGCGGGCCAAGAGGCCACCCGTCAATGTTTCTCTCACACATTGATGTTTCTCTACCTCTCTTTCTTTCTCCCTTCCACTCTCCATAAAAATTAATAAATTTTTTTTTCTCATGAGACGATCCTAACAAAATAGATTACATCTCCCTGGAAGCACAGAAAACTGGAAAGGAGAACAAACAGCTTGAGCCATGGAGCCTCCACTATAAAGAAAGGGAGATCTGAGCCAAGGAAATGAAAGGGGAAAATAACAATGAGGAAAACCGGAAATGGATGGTCCGCAGGGCACAGCGAGGAGTCCAGGAGGGGCTGGCCAGCATGCGGGGAGCTGCAGGGAGGCGAGAGCCCTGACGCCTGAAAAGTGTCTCCCGGCTCCTGCCACGTGGGATCCCTCGTGATCTTGGGAAGGAGAGGCTGTCAAATGCCTGACCCCAGTGGCCTTAAGAGATAACGTAAGAGAAGAACTGGGGACATCACATATACAAGGAGTTTTGCTGTATGTGCCTCACCTCATCACTTTGCTAACGTGGTGTATTTTATGGGCTAATTTTATAACCAGTTATGCGACTAGCATGTGACCTCTGTAAAAAAAACTGCCAGGAAGTGTGTGGGGCTGTCATGGGGGCTGTGCTGTCAGAGACACCCTGGGACACCAGGCGAGACCAATGGAACTTTTTCCTGCCTTTCGCCTCCCACCCCAAGGAGGCCCCTTTGGTCACACTCTCACGGCATCCAGGGCTGAGCTCCTGCCCCGAAGCTGGGACACTTGTTACGCAAAAACCCTGAGACCAACACCTGCCCCGCCCCACAGAAGTAATGGAGCTGGGCTGTTGCATCGGGGCCTCATGTTCCAAGCCACTCATGTCTCAAGTGTCCTCCTTGTCCTGCCACAGCCTCCACCAGAGGGAGGAGAAAGGGACTTAGAGACCCTGGTTCCCATCCAAGGGCCCGACAGTCCCGAGGCTCTAGGTGTCAGCCACCCACTGCTTGACTTGCTCCTGGACTCTCACGATCACCCTTCCCTAGGGAGTAGGACTATATTCTATGTGATCCACAGTACCCCACACGCTGTAAGTCATCAGTATTTGACTGAATAGCAAACAGCATGAGAGAGAACATGTCTTGGGAACCGGGCTCTCTGGGGACAGGGAGGGCAGGTAGAATGGGTGAGAAACCACAGAGGAGGAGATGGGCTCACAGAACACCTGGAGAGAGGGGGACCTGTGTGAAGGGCCACTGCCCCAGCCTCCAGCATTCTGGGGGGGCCAGGCTCACCTCACAGTGGTAACACTCCACGTGGTAGTCTCTGTCCATGGACACCACACGGATGGTTGTCTCACAGCCCTGGAGGAAGAGATGGGTTCACACGCAATAAGCTGGGGTGAGGTGAACTGTGCGTGGGGGCGCAAACCTACACCACGTGCTCATCATGGAGGACATGCACCCCTGCCCCTGTCAGCACTGACACCCGAGTTCCCACGGGGCTAGAATGGGCATCAGTAGATAAACAAAAATGGATGTGCGTGTGCCTTGGGCATCATCCCATGGCTACAGCCACAAGTGTGTACTGTCCATGAGAGCCATCGTGTGGGCGGGTTTAAACGTGTGGGTGCATATTCTTTTCAGCTCTTTGGAGTCAGGAGACCACTGCCAGTCCTGCTTCCCCGGCTCTGGACAGAGCCGCATATGTGGAAGACCCAGTGCCTGGGAGAGCTGCATTACCCAAAGATGTCTCCGGCACAGGCTGTCCCCTCATCTCTTCTGCTCCCCCGCCACCTCCACCTGCAGAGGTACCAGACCCAGGGAGCCGTCCTTCCATCCATCCAGGGCAAAGGAGCTGAGGGTGACCAAGCAGCAGGGGCCACCATGTCCCTCTAACTCATGCAGGGACTCCATATCTGCATGCAGGGGCACATACACATCCCTTGGCCCTGAGGGCTCTGGGGCAGGAGCATCTGCTCATCCCTCCCATAGGGGCCCATGGACGGGGGCCGATCCAGGCAGGACAGGAGGGGCCGGGCTGGGCCAGGCACCTCGTCACCTCCTGGTGAGTGGTTCCTACCTGTGCAGGGAGGATAGGACGAGCACAAGAGGCACATTTTGGTGCAAAAACCCTGTAAAAACAAAAACAAAAACCAGAAGCGACCAGCTGAGTGACCAGAGGTCAAGGGCACAGGACAGGCCCATCCCCATGACAGGGCCCAAGCATCAGGCCCCTTTCCTCCTGCAGACACACAGGAGCGGGAGCAGCTTCTGCCACGCTTTCTTGGCACTGGCCTTTTACCTGGCTCCCCAAGTCACCTCCACTCCATCACCTCCACCAGGATGGCTTCAGGTTCCACTCAACCCTCTTCCTCATGCTTCCCGCAAGTTCCCTGCCCACTAATGTCCAGGTTTGGGCTGTCCTCTAACTGGGATGCCTGCAAAGCCTAGCTCCACGCTGAGCACCAGGGATCTATGGCCAGGTACCAACCCTATGCAAGGCGGCAACATCGGACCAGAGCTCCAGGGGCAGAGCCTGGAGTCACAGCAAGGAAAAATGGACTGGCTGCTCATATGGGTACCACACAAGTAGGACAAAGACTCTGCAGAGACCCCAATCCCCCATCCCAGGCAGAGGAGGCCTGGTCCAGCCCTGGGAACAGAGGTATAGTTGCTAGGTAGGGCAGTAAGGAGAGTCCCTATCACTAGGAGGAGGGGAGCACGCAGGCAAAGGTGGGGAGAGGAAAGAGATGGATGGTGGTTGAACCACACAAAGAGAGGGCTCAAGGCAGAGATCTGCGCCTCAGCCCAGCCGCTGAGTACACAGGGGGAGGCCCGAAGGGGACAGGTCAAGAATGGGAACACAGACAGGCAAGCCAGGAAAATGTTTCCAGGGAAGGCAGAAGAAACGGTGGGAGTCACACCTGCTCCACACGTGGCTACTCACGTGTGATAGTCTCTGACACAGTAGATGTTGTTCTCCACGTCCACAGTGAAGGGCACCCCGTCCAGGCACTCATTGCACACGGAGCACCGGAAGCAGCCTGGGTGATAGGACTTCCCAAGGGCCTGGAGGATCTGGGGGTGGGAGGCACTGAAGGGTCAGTGCAGGCGGAAGGCTCAGCACAGCCCCTGGAATAGGCTCTGGCTCTGAGCCCCTGGCAGGTCTGCAACAGGTGAAAAGGGTGGGGACCTGAGTTCGCCCACGTCAGAGGGGCCCCAGGAGGCTGGGGGAGGTTCTCACCATCTCCATGATGAGGTGTCCACACACGCTACACTTGTCAGCCGTTTGCTGGAACCCGGAGTACTGGCAGGGGACACAGGATCCAGGAGGTTATGTGACAAAGGGGCACTCACTGCCCAGCCAGCATCTGCCTCCTGGCCTCAGGTCTCCATGGGAATCCAGAGGGTCCCTGCCCCTTTGACTCACCAGGAAGTCCTCCTGGCAGTACACTTTCTCGCCCACATTGTAGAACGCCTTCCCACGAAGCCGTCTCCCTGCAAGGATGAGGGTCGAGATGGGGGTCCCTGGGCCGCTGGAAACCAGGGACTGGGTCCCTCCTGCCATTTCTCAGCACCCTTCTCCAACAGAGGAGAAATGGATTATGGGTAAATTTTTATATTTCCTTTTAATGCTATGTTATTATTATACTAATTTTTAAACTTTATTTTTCAATTACAACTGACATAATTATGTTCGTTTCAGGTGTACAACATAGTGATTAGACATTTACATAACCTATGAAGTGATCCCCGCAGTAAGCCTAACAACCATCTGACACCCCCTTTGACTATTTTGTCCTTCTTAATTCATCTTTTTCACCCAGCCCCCCAAACCCCTCCCATACAGCAACCATCAGTCCGTTCTCTGTGTTGATGAGTCAGTTTCTGTTTTGTATGTTTTTTCTTTTAAATACTCCACATCGAAGTGAAATCATACATTTGTCTTTTCTGACTTATTTCACTTGGCATAATACCCTCTATATCCATCCATTTTATCATAAATGGTAAGATTTCATTCTTTTTTTATAGCCACGTATTTTATTGTATATTTGTACCATGACTTCTTTATCCAATCACCTATTAATGGACACTTGGGCTGCTTCATGTCTTAGCTATTGCAAATAATGCTGCAATGACTACAGGGATGCATATATCTTCACAAATTAGTGCTTTTGGATAAATACCCAGAAGTGGAATCGCTGGTTCATAAGGTAGTTCTACTTTTAATTTTTTTGAGGTAACTCCACACTGCTTTCCACAGTGGCTGTACCAGTCTGCATTCCCATCAACAGTGCACAAGGGTTCCCATCCCTCCACAACCTCACCAGCACTTGTTTGTTGATTTACTGATGGCAGCCATTCTAAGAGGGGCGAGGTGATAGCTCATGGTGGTTTTAATTGGCACTTTCCTGATGATTAGTGCCATTGAGCATCTTTTCATATAGTAATTAATAAAAACTTAGTAGAACATGTTGTCAAGAGAAGTATTGTAGGAGGTTATCAAATATTTGAAGAACTTATTTCAAATGTATACTGATGTTCTAATTTGTTTTTGAAATCACATTTATTTCAGTTAAGCTGAGAGCACTTTCCAGAAGGAATTTCCTTATTCCATGAACATCAGAAATACAACTCTGACAGCGTGAAGGAGCCTAACACAGAAAGAGGCATCCTTGTCAAAACAACAGCCCCAAGCGCTGCGAGAAGCATGCCCATGAGAGTCAGGAGGAAGACACGGCGCCTAACCAGCAACACGAGGGCACCTCCCTCACCCGATGAGGGGCATCCACGCAAACCCACAGCAGACACCGGGCACAATGGTGAATGCTTCTCCCCTAGGGTTCAAACTGGCCTCACATAGTGCAAAATATGACAGGAAAGAATTTTGTACTGGGAAGAAAAGTAAGAATATTTTTAAACACAGATGACATGATTGTGTTATGCAGAAAATTACAAGGAAATCTACAAAAAAAAGTACTAGAACTAATAAATGAGTTTATTAAGGTTGTAAAATAGGTGGACAGCATTTGTAAACCCAATATATTTTTATATGCTAGCAACAAATGATTGAAAAATGAATTTATAATTTTTAAAACTGCACTTATAATAGTATTCAAAAAATAACATAAATACTAAGGAATAAATTTAATGAAAGATACGTCTGACCTTACTCTGAAAAACCAAACTCTGCTGAGAGGAACTGTCAAAGCTCTCCATAAACAGAGAAGGCCACTGCCGGAAGACAGCTCTCCGCTGGGGCTCTCACAGCCCTGCACATCCTACACACCAAGCGCTGGCAGCTTGCATTCTGGGTCACCGTTCCACGGATGTCTGTGGAGCAAACTGCTAACAAGACAGAGACAACATCTCCCTCCGAAGCGGAGGGCAGGTTTGTTTGCTGTCCAGTATAATAAAGATGTCTACCTCCAGGACAAGGGTCAGAGAGCTTTGCTGGCAGCCCTTTATAAAATATTGGGGTTCCCTAAGCTCAGGGATCCTGACCCCTGACACACCCGCTGCATGGGCAGCATCCATCTAGGCCACTCCGTGCCACCCCGTGGGTCTTGGGAGGGCAGGCATGATGCAAACAGGGCGTGCACGCCGCCTGGGGTGCTGAGCGCCTGCCCAGGTGGCTCCCATTTTCAGTCGGCGTATGCGGAACGGCGGCGGCTGACTTGTCATGAACCTTGCACAGTTCCTGATAACCACCTTTACGGCTTCAAATGTGCTGATATCAATTCTCCTCATATTGATCTATACATTCAATGCTGCCCAATCAAAATGCCAGTACTTATTTGTGTGTGTATGTGTGTGTGTGTGTGTGTGTGTGTGTGTGTGTGTGTGTGGAAACTTACATGCCAATTCTGAAATTTATATAAAAATATAAAGAACACAGAATAGCCAAAATAATCTTGAAAAAATCAACAAAGCAGGAAGACTCACACCACCTCCTGTATTAAGATTTACAGTAATCAAGACAGTGTAATAATACTGGGATGAGGAGAAACAAAAAGATCAGTGGAACAGAACAGAGTCCAGAAGTGGGTACACAAAGTCTTTTCAGCACATAGTGTTGAAACAACTGAATATTCATGCGGGGAAAAAAAAATAAAATTCAACCCTGACCAGTGTGGCTCATTAGGTTGGGCGTCACCCTGCAAAGCAAAAGGTCACAGGTTAAATTCCTGGTCAGGGCACATGCCTGGGCTGAGGGTTCAATCCCTGGTCAGGGCACATACAAGAGGCAACCAATGGCTGTTTTCCCCTCACATCAATGTGTCTCTCCCTCTCTCCCTGCTTTGTCCCCTCCCCCTAATAACAATAACAATAACAATAATAATAAATTCAATTTCATACTTCATACCATATACAAAAATTAATGTGAAATGGGTTATCAACCTAAACATAAAAATGAAAAACCTAAAGCTTCTAGAAGACATAGGAGACTATCTTCATGACTTAAAGGGAGACAAAAAATTTTAAGTTATAAAAAACAGTAACTATAAAACAACAAAAAATCCTGACAAACTGGATTTCATCAAAATGTAAGATTTATTTAAAAATATATTTTAAATATTTTTTTAAATCACACTAGGAAAAAATACCAAACATACATGTGAAAAGAACTTGTACTTAGAAGATATATTTTTTTTTTCCTATAACTAAACAATAAAGACAAATAACTCCCAATTTAAAAACTGAAGACTTGAGCTCTGGCTGGTGTGGCTCAGTGGATTGAGTGCCAGCCTGCAAACTAAAGACTCACCGGTTCGATTCCCAGTCAGGGCACAGGCCTGGGCTGCGGCCAGGTCCCCAGGAGGGGGCGTGCGAGAGGCAACCACACAATGATGTTTCTCCCCCCCACCCCTGTTTCTCCCTCCCTTCCCCTCTGCCTAAAAATAAATAAATAAACTCTTTTAAATAAAAATAAAAACTGAAGACTTGAACAGACTTCACAAAAGATATAAATGGCTAACACGCAAAAAGATGTTCAAACTCATTAGTTCTCAGAGAAATAAAAGATAAAACCATAATGAGATACTACTCCACACCCATTAGAATGGCTAAAATTAAAAAGACTAAAATACCAATGTTTGTCTAATACGTAGACTAACCCAACTCTCTTATATTTCTTGTAGAAGTATAAAACGCTACAAGCCCTTTAGAAACAGTTTGCCAGTTTCTTATGAAGTTAAATATACACTTAGCCCATGACCCAGAAATTCCACTTCTTGTAACTTACCCAAGAGAAATGAAAACATTTATCCACCAATGACCTATACAAGAATGTTCACAGCACAATCTAGTATCTACCAACAGTTAAAATGGATAAATAAATTGTGGTATATTCATACAATAGACTCCTACTCAGCAAGAAAAAGTGAGCTACAACTCCTTTAGTCCACGCAACAACATGAACCAAAAATAATCAAAACAGATATGCTTAGCAAAAAAAAAAAAAAGAATCAACCACAAAATAGTACGTATTACTACATGGTTGCATTTACATAAAGCTCTAGGACTGACAAAACTAATCTACAGTGGTGGAAATGACATTGGTTAGGTGGATATGACTGGGGAGTATATAGGGGAACTACAAAGGGCAGGATAGAAGTTTCCAGGGTGTTTAAAATTTTCAATCCCTGGCTGGTGTGGCTTGGTTAGTTGGAGGGTCATCCTGTACACTGAAAGGTTATGGGTTCAATTTCCAGTCAGGGCACATACCTAGGTTGCAGGTTCAATCCCCAACAGGGGGTATGTAGAGGAGGCAACCGATCAATGTTTCTCTCTCTCTCTCTCTCTCCCCCCCCCATCTCCCTCTCTGTCTACCCCTTCCTCCCCCTCCCCTCCTCCCCTCACCTCCGCTCCTTCTTCTCTCTCTAAAAGCAATGGAAAAATGTCCTTGGGTAAAAAATTTTTTATCTCTGTTAGGGTTGTATAAAAATATATACAATTAGCCAAATCTTTTTACAAGTACTTAAGATCTGTTTGCTGTACTATATGTAAATTGCACTCAATTAAAAACAAAGATAAACCTAGAAAATCTTGTGCCAGAGTAAAGAAGTACTGAAAGAATGATGGGGACATGTCAAAGGGCATAGGATCCAACTGGGAGTGACTTCCTCTGGCCAAGTTTGAGACAACCTGTGCTTAAAAAAGAATAATGACTCTATTGCAATACATTGCATGAATAAAAGTCCATGAGACTTTTATGAGTATATATAAGTATTCTTATATAAGAATACTCATAAAAGAAAAAAAAATACATTCTCCCCCATTCAAGTTTAAAGCTTTCCTTAACAGAAAGCTTTCAAACATTCCCTGGGAAAAGGCACCTTAAACAGAGACCTCGATGAACTCCCTCAGGCATACTGCCACAATCAAGTATTACAAAACACGTGGGAAAACAAGGTATCATGACCAAGAGTAAACGATAAACAATAGAGGTAGGACTTCAAAAGACATCAGATACTGGGAATATTAGATGCTGAATACACAGTACACATATTTAATATGCTTACAAAATAAAAATTTATGTCTGCAACATGAGACTACAAAGATTTCTCAGAGAGGACATTAAAAGCAGTAACTATCAATAAAGGTTAATTGGACTTCATTAAAAATTTCTTTTCATCAGAAGACTTTATTTAGAAAGTAATGAAGCAAGAATCAGTTAGGAAAAGAATTTATGGCCCTTGTTGATGTGGCTCAGTGGATTGAGTGCTGGCCTGCAAACAGAAAGGTCGCCAGTTCAATTCCCAGTCAGGGCACATGCCTGGGTTGCAGGCCAGGTCCCCAGCTGGGGGCTTGCGAGAGGCAACCCATCGATGTAGCTCTCGCACATCAGTGTTTCTCTCTCTTTCCTTGTCCCTCCTGTCCCCTCTCTAAAAAAATAAAATCTTAAAAAAAAAAAAAAAGAATTTACAACACATATATCCAACAAAGAACTTTAAGATGTGTGAAGAACTCCTACAATAAAGGAAAGATAAGTGTTTTCCTGCTATTGCAAAAACAGTTTCTCAGAATAATTTGACTTAACACTGTGTCTGTATTATATTTAATAAAATAAAATATTAAAATGTTTAGTGTAAATAATGTTTAGTGAAAGATGTCCGCTTTGGAGGAAAGCCTGAAAGGACAGAAGGAAAATCAAGAGTGTAGATGTTATTATGCTGGTTGGAGTATAGTTACTTTTCTCTTTTTGTAATTTTTTCCAAGTTAAATTACAACATTTATAGTTTACACCATGTGTAAAATTCAGACACAAAAGAAATTGCATGGAAAAGAAATAGTGGCCCCATAGCCAAGCAGGGAAAGGCACAGCACCCAGGCAGCCGGGAGACGTCCGTACCCTGCGTGGCAAGGAGGCTCCAAAGCCTGGGCCCAAGAGGCGGCCTTTCCTGATGGCCGGCAAAAGGTTCCTCCTGGGCCCCACACCTCCCTCTCCAGGGCCCAGCACACCTTCCCAGGCCCTTGAGCTTCTCAAACTGGCCAGGCCCAGAGAGAAAGGGGCCACAACTTAGCCTCTTCCACACTTCAGCCTGCGTCAGATCTGGAAGCCCAACTACCTGGGACTTAGGTGCGAGGCAGTTCATGGTGCCAGAGGGGCCATAAAGAGGTTACCTACCACAGGAGTCACACGTGAAGCAATCGGTGTGATACAGGCTCCCCATTGCCTGGCACGCTTGCCTTGCTCCATAGATGCCAAGACCACACTTGATGCAAATGCCTATGGGGGGGGGGGTAGGAGAGAGCAGTGGTCAGCATCACGACTGTGGGGTTGGATAGGCATGCATCCAACTCCTAGTCCTAATGCTGTGTCCACCTGCCTAACCTTGGGCCAGAAACTTCTCTGGGCCTCCAGCACGCAGTTACTAAAGGCTGATATGGAGAAAATAAGGGTACCCACTATGTAGGGTTTGTTGCTGTTATTTAGCAGAGCACCTGGCACTGAGTCATTCTCACGATCAAAACCATTATGATCTATTTATACCTAGAAAGTCATTCTCAGCCCCTTCCCCATGTCCTGCTCTTGGACTAAGGAAAACTCCTTTCTTCTGTCTATGACCCAGAAAGAACAAAGACCACAAAGGCGCAGCCAGGACAGAGTCCCTGACCTGCCCCAGCCACACCGTCCTCACCTAGACCATAAGGTTCATCTATTCTCTTGTTCAGTCAGCACATCAACAGCGACAGCCTGCCATGTGCCCTGCACACTTAGGTGCCGGAGAGTCTACAATGCACCAATCAAGTCCCCACCCTCAAGGGACCTGTATTCCAGCAGAGGGAGATGGACACCACATAATATCTCAGAAGGAAGCAAGTGCTATGGAAGAAAATAAGGCTGATTGAAAGCATGTCTGAGTGTGTGATTCTTAAGTAGAGCAGTCAGAAAAGGCTCTGGTGGTAAGGTGATATCTAAGCAGAGGTCTAAGACACAAAGAAGAGAAGCTGCTAAGCAGGCATCTGGGATAGCTAGGTGGAACCGGAGACCGCCCCTGGCAGCAAGGGTGGCGTGCCTGGCAGGCAGGGGAGGGGCGGTAGGAGAGGGGTAACCAGGAATGCCAGGGCAAAATTTGGCACCAGCCCTAGGGGACTCCCTGACTAGCATTCCTGGATACCCAGGCCATAGGTGGCCAGGTCACACATCAGAAGTCCCCCTCTCAGAGCTACCCAGGGTGTCCCAGGCCCCAAGGGCATGAAGGTGCACTCCGCCTGCCTGCTGGACCTGAAATTTGGCTGCTCTAGGACATGCTGCCCTCACCCTTTCTCTCCTGCCTTCTGCCAGACCTCTCTCTCCTTCACATTTAACCACGGCCAAGCCTCTTCCCTCTTAAAAAGCCCCTCTCTCCATCAGCCACCCCACTTGCCTCCTTCCCTCAGCCAAGAAAGACCACTCAGTCATCTAACTGCGACTCCGTGACGTGCTATTCGGACATTGCTAGAAGGGGACCTCTCCTCTTTGATTTCCAGGACATGACCTGCGCCGATCTGGTGGGTATCCTCCTGCTCAGTCTGGGGTCCCCCGCGACTGTTCTCCGGGCTTAGGAGGACCAGTTCATTGGCTCTCAAACCCAGGCAGGAATGTGAAGGCGGTGGGTGGGGACCCGGTGAATGGAGAAGACAGCCGTGGCCGCCGGAAGTCGAAGCCATGCCTCTGCGGCACTAACGGCTACAGGGGACAATGCAGACCCAGCATGGCTAAAGATTCGGATTTTGCAAGAAAAGTTAAATACCTAAATTTATATGTGAAACCTTTCCATACTGAAATTAATCACTAACTTAAATGTTTTGAAAAGGCAGAAGCCAAACACACCATGTCTGCAGGTCTCCCTGGGCTGTCCCAGCCCCTCTCAACTGCCCCCCTACAGAGGGCTCTGCCAGCCAGGACCTCTCACCTCAGTCACTGCCCTACCTCCGAGAGGGCCCCTAGACCACTCCGGGTCCAGGACCGAGGTCCAGGGTCCCCACAGAACTGCTCTTGCCTCTGGATTCCTGCTCAGGAAATGGCACCTTTGGGTAGCCAGGTTTCAGGAAGCAGCCAGGTCTACCTCTCTCACCTCCAACTCTGAATCTCGGCTCCTCTGTTCCCTCCTCTTGACTTCTTTCTCTCCCTTCGCTCCCACTAGGCTGTCTGACTGACCATCACCAATTCTCATCCCAATAGTTATTTCAACAGTTTCCTCATGGTGTCCCAGCCTGGCCCCCAATAACACATCCCAAAAACTGCAGCCAGACTTATCTTTCTAAAATGAAAATGATCCACTCTCACACCCTCCCTCTAGTCTATTTTGAAAGCCTGACCTAGGGACTTCTCTAGGTTACTAGACTATGTAATTTTAAAAGAGATAGAAAGAGGTAAACTGCCTATGGGATGCCGGACAGAGGGACGGGCCATGACCTTGCATCATTAGGTTTCTGGTTCTGTTTGATGTTTACCTAAAAACGTGTCTACATCACTTTAATAAAAATAACTGAAGAAGGAAAAACCAGAAGCATGAGGTACCTCAGAAATTCAGGGAGCGGAATGTTTCAAGGAGAGGTGACTCCACTTGTGGGACGCAGCCGTGAGGTCCAGACCAACAAGGCCTGGCAAACACCCGCTGGGGCGGGGGAGTGCCCAGGGTCCTGTGCAAGAGCAGGGTCAGCCCAGTGAGGGGAGATCAGAGGTGGATAAACAAAGGTGATGCCCACCAGACACCCCGGTGAGGAGATGAGATGAAACGGCCAGTCAGACCTTGTGGCTATGTAGCTTTGGGTTTTGGGGTTGTTTTTTTTTTAATGCAAGATTCTCGTCCATACTTATAACTAAAGGAAAAGGGCCTCGCAAAGAGGGAAGCTGAAGGTGGGGCTGGAGACAGAAGGACCCTTGTCCTCAGATCGGGACGTGGACTTCAGAGCCTGTGGGGAAAAGAACAGGAAGCCACTGGGGAAAACAGCTGCTGACCTCAATTTTCTCAGCCAAGTAGAAAAGGCAGGGCTGGAGGACCAAGAAATGTTGCTGAGGGAGTACCAGAGGGAGCTGACCAAGGCTTAGGGTGATGGGTGGCGCCAAGAAGCCCAGAAGACAATCACTCTGGCCCCAGACCCGCAGCAGAACAACAGGCTGTTGCACGGACTCGGAGTCGAGTTCCGCAGGGCAGATGGCAATGAAGGAAATTAGAGGTACCAGTGAGACGGAGGCCATGGTCAGAGCTGAAGGCTGCAGAAGGGCAGCAAAACCAGGGTGTGGCTCTGGGAGTGGGTGGCTGAGAAGACAGAGGTCACCACACTTAAAGAGGTTCAGGGAGTCTGAGGCTGCTGGCAGCGGAACTTGGTGAGGAGAGATGGGAAAGTTCCCAAGACATCACTGAATGGCAGAGGGATCAGGAGGTCAGCTGGCGCCAGGGCCAAGGAGAGGAAGGAAAGGCACAGAGAGGAAGATGCACCCCCTCAGGATGAGGTTTATCAGAATCACTTGGGCTCAGGCTACCTGCAGACTTCCTTGTGTAAAATGTTGTATTATTCACGTTGAATTGTATGAAATTGCCACTTTTATAGTTCCAAAACATCAAATATCAGCAGCAAATTATCAGCTGTTTGAGTAAATAGTTGCCCATATATTTTTTTAATCTATCACAAGGCACATACATTTATGCAGTTAAGAGCTGCATCACAGCATTGCTTCTCAAACTTCTGTCACAGGATTTTTTATGCTCTTAAAATTTATTGAAGACCCAGAAGAGCTTTTGTTTCTGTAGGTTATATGGAAATTTTTTTTATTATTGTTTGCCCATACTTTTAAAATCAGACAAATGTTGCCTAAATCTGGCTTCTCTTGAAAGCAAACAAAGATCTATCATCACTCACCGCCCCCTTGCACACGCTTCAGTGGGCTGCAACGGAGCAGCAGCTCCCTTGAGAAAAGCTGACCCACTCCCCACTGCGGTCTTGTGCCCTGGGCCCCTTCACTTCTCCCATTACCTGCCTGGGTCTGGCCACCGAAATGTCACACAAAGATTCATGTGAAGCTGTGGAGGCCCACAGGACCCCCCCCCCCGGCAACACACACACACACACACACACACACACACACCCCACCCACCCACCCACCCACCCACCAGGTTCTGCAATAGGTAGGGACGGGAAAATAAACTGTCTCTTGTGCGCAGAGCGATGGAAAGTCTTTCTCTTCAGAAGACAGCTCTTGCTTCTGCACCAGCCAGGTGCAAGAGCCTACAGCTTCCTAACTCATTGCCCTGCTCCCAGGCCGTGCCATAGCAGCCACACCAGAAATTCTCACCCTCTCCCTCCCAGATGAGCCTGAAACCCTTCTGCGTTTCCCCTTCAGAAAGCAGGCCCACGCAGTCCCTGGACCACCTGACCCCTCCTGGGCTGCAACTCTGGGGAATGTAGTGGGACAATCCGCATCCTTATTTGCCTTGCCTCCTTTCGCCCACATTCTTCCCTCTACCTGAAATGCCCCCATCTGAGCTGTCACATACAGCCTCCTCCTCCCTCATGATCCAGGTTCAGGGCGGGCGTTCTGAGCTGCCAGCCGGAATGAATGCATGAAACCCCAGGACAGCCTCAGTCCCTGGCAGGATAACCACCAGCCAGCCCTCCCTCCCCGCCAAAGCTGGGTTCCTCCGCTTTCCTGCTATCAGTAAGGGAGGGAAGGAAACCCCCTCCCAGACCTCTTCTAAGAACCTCAAGTCCTAAGAATCTTAAAAGTTGTCCAAAGGACGAATGGAGATCTGTGAGGACCAGGCTCAGACTGGGAAAGGGAGACTGTCAGAAACTGGTGAGTTTTGCAAATGCTATCAAGCAGGATTCCCTTTGGAAACATCCCCTATACAAAGCACAGCGCGGAGAGAGGAAAGCCCAGTGACCGGCTTGATGCCGTCCCCTCCCCCTCATGGTGCACTCTTCCTCCCTCACCATTCTACCTCCAACAGTTACCACCACCAAAGCCTCAGGTCAGGCGGAGTCCGCTGGTACCTGAATCACTCCACCACCCGGTCTCCACAGCCTATACCGCTGGGGCGGGGGGGAGGGGAACACCGAGGGGGCCGGGGCCCTACACAACTTAGACCGACCCTGGTCACAAATCATCGAGTAGGATGAACAGAGGGAAGTGCCAAGGGTTAAGAAATGATCCGGAAATGGCTTGCTCTGCCTATTAACATGACTTTTTCTCCCAGTTAGGATAAGGGCTTCAACTCACTTTTCCAAAACTCCTTCTCTGGCCAGAAGACGTAGAGGCGAGGCCGGCGATTCACACTCACACACCTACGAATCACGCCGCCGGGTCCCCCTCCTCGTTCCGGCCCCTCGACAACGCCCAGCCCCGGGCCACCCGAGCCTGTCCTCGGCCGAGCCGGCCGCCACCCCGAGGCCGTCCCGACCCGCTCACCGAAGTAGTCCCGCGCCGTTCGCGCTTCCAGCGCCCGCTCCAACTCTCGCGTCAACGCCTCCAGCCGCCGCTCCGCCGCGCTCGGGCCGCCCTCTCGGACCAACGGCAGCGGGAGCGAAGGCAGAGGGAAGGCGGCCGTCCCGCCAGGCTCGGGGGAGCGAGTCGGCGCCGGGCCGACGCCGGGCAGGAGCAGGTCAGCGTAAGCGCCGGCTGAGCCGCGGGAGCCGAGACTGGACACGCTGGAGCGGGCGCTGCCCACCGACGGCGGCCCGGGGCCGGGGCGCGGGTCCGAGCTACCAGAGCGTGGACTGCCGTGGCGCTGGTCGTATCCCAGGCTGATGCCGCTGGAGCGGGCGCTGCCGCCGCCGCCGCCGCCGTCGGAACCCGCCAGGCTGGCCCGCGGGCTGCTGGCCGGCTGCGCGCTCAGCTCGGGGGCCGCCGCGCGCCGCGGGCCGCGTTCCCCCCGGCTCAGTCCATCCAGCCCGGCCTCGGGGCCGCCGGCGCCGCCCTTCCCTCGGCGGCCCAGCGCCGGTGCCGCCTCATCTCCGGGCCGCGGCCCCTGCCGACCCCGGCCCGGAGAGTCGCCGCCTGGCTGCAGCTCCCGCAGGGCCAGCCCGGCCAGGAGCAGAGCCGCTTCGTCCGCGGCCGCCCGGGAACGCTGCATGGCCCGGCCCGCCGGCCCTCGCGCGTCACCTCCGCCTCGGCTTCCCGCCGCCGCTCCGGCTGCGCCGCCGCATCGTCCGCCCGAACCCGGAGCCCGCCCCGGGACCCCTGGGCGCGGGGCGGGGCCGGCGCCGGGCCGGGGTCGCTCCGCCGGCCAGGCGCGGTCCGGGGGCCGCTGCGCTGCGCTCACTGGCGCGCGCGGCGGAGGAATGTGCGCTCGGAGACGCCGGGCCGCACCCCCTCCTCCCGCGGCCGCTCGGGGGCGGAGGGACTCCTTTGTGGGAGCAGGAATGCGAGGAAGGAGACGGCGCTGCGGCCTCTGGAATGTGGAGGAGTGGCGGCGGCGGCGGCGGCGGCGGCGGCGCCGGGAGAGTGGAGGGGCGCGGAGGCCCGGGCGGAACGCCGCGCCGGGGCGCCGCAAGTGCTGCCAGAGCTGGCCCTGGGATGGTAACAGCAGCTAGCTGTGGCTGCCGTCGTGCGCCTGGAGCGTCGGGCCTGTGAAAGGATCCCCGCGGGCTGAGCTAGAGGCAGCTCCCGCAGTCCCGGCGCGAGAAATAGGAGCAGTTGACAAACGTTTCCCACATCCTCCCCCATTTTACTTCCCAGCGCCGCCACGCTTTCAGGCTCTTAGCCTTCGGCTGAAGCGCTACGCCCGATCCAGGACCCTGGAGAACACTGTACATCTGGCGCAAATGTGCCCCCAGGCCCTCGCGTGACCCCACGATCCCACCTGTCCCTGGGCCATGTCCCACATGGGTTGCTCGCTGGTTTCAGGAGCCCCACCTATCTTGGGAAGGCGCATAGTGCTAGGAGCTGGGGTTGATTAGGGAATGGTTCTTGCACATGGTTCCTGTGCGCAGACCCTAAGGCCAAGCCAGGCCGAAGCAGACAGACTGAGCAAGTAAACTGGTGATCCTCGACTGTGACCACCACATGCAGTCACCAAGAGACGTGAGGACTCCCTTTTTTTCCAGCACCTGCCCTCAGGGTCTTGGGTTAGGTGCCAAGGGGATGCTCCTGAAAGGACTTGGGCTACCACAGGTCCTGGGGTGAGGTGGGGTCTTGGGAGCCACATGGTGTGGGGTGAGAGAGGTGACTAGGGCTTTGTCCCCAAAAACACAAGCTACGAAGCCCTCGTCATACATTTCAAACAGCTTGTAAGAAGAGCAAACCATTACCTATCAGGACCTGGTGGATGCAGGAAAACAACCTTGAGTGGGTGAGTTCTCTTTTCCAGCCACCTCCCAGAGAATTCCAGCAAGGTACCCACAAGTGTCTCAGGGAGCAGGGAGCCTAGACCGGGAGTTGTCCTGGTCCAGAATGACCAGGATGTGGGGCCTCAACATTGCTGAGGAGCCAGCTATGGCCCATTCCCCTCCGTTGGCAGTGTCCGACCCAGCAGCCCCTCCCCAGTACCTCTCAGCCTGCAGAATACCAACATCCCCCTCCCCAAGCCCCCATGCTCACAATGAGCGGGCAGGCACAGGTGGGGACAAGTGTTTTGGGGAGTAATTATCCAGAGAAGCTATCTAAAGAAAAATGATCTGAGAAAGGAAAAACAAATTAAATCAATAATGAGATATCACATTCCACATCATCTTCCATTTAAAAACGGAAATTTTGAGAAGAGTGTGATGAAACTTGCCTATATTTTACTGGTAGGAGTGTAAGCTGGTATATCCTGTCAGAAAGAGCAGTTTGGTGGTATTAACAGTCTCACAAATGAAAACTCTTACAAGCAGTAGTGTTCCAAGAATCTATTCTAGGGAAGTAAAGCAAAATGCAGATAACAATGTAAGCGAAAAGTGTTTATTGCATTGTTTATGTAATCAATACAGTTCTAGAATCTCCAGCCTTCTGAAAAGGAGATCAGAGGGAGCTCTTTACCCTCAAATGTAGTTCTTAAGTAACTGTTCCATCCCCATGTGCCCCACCTAAAGCTTCCAAGATTTAAACAATATATTGGAGCCCAGGCTCAGCTAAAACACATTACTCACTCTAATAATAATTAACAACAACAACCCACAATCAGAAACAGAAACAACTCACAATAGTTTGCTTTTTTAACTCGGACCATCATGATGGCTGTTCTTGGTTGGGGGCCATCCCACACCTAAAAGAGGAAAATGGAGGCTGCAAGGAAGATGGAGGCATGGGAGTCCATCAGCTCTAGGCTCCAACTGGCTATGAAAGTGGAGAGTACTGCTGGGGTACAAGCAGGCTGTGAAGATGATCAGACAAGGCAAAGCGGTCCTGCTCATGCTTGACAATATCTACGCAGGCTTGAGGAAATCTGAAATAGAGCACTACCCTGTGTTGGCCAAAACTGGTGTCCATCACAAGTGTGGCAATGATACTGACTTGGGCACAGTGGGTAGAAAATACTGCAGTGTGCCTGCGACTGAAATGCAGGCCCAGCTGCCCACTACTACAAAAACCAATGCTCGAGAGGCAGGTGCTGATGTAAAGGAAAGTGGTTTATTTGCAGATGCCAGCCATCTGGAAGGTGGTGGACTCATGACACAAAGCCTATCTCCATCTCTCATTGGAGGGTTTTACAATGAGGGAGAGGAATGAAAAGTTCCCTACATGCAGATGAGCACTGTCCATTCTGGTAAGGCAAGTGATGGTCCAAGGTGCATCATCCTGGATTAGTCATTGTGGCCTCACGTCATCCTGGCTCCACGGATGAAGGTCAGCAAATCTCCCAGATCTGGGATGCCTGAAGATTGGGGTCTGCATCTTTTGAAGTTATTTCCTAGGATTCTTATTCAAACATGCTGTTCATCTATAAGCTACATATTAGAATCAGCATTTACAGAAACAATGTCAAAAGAATAGTGGGGTGGGTTGCAATTTCCCACCTTGACAATTTTTCACTGTTACATGCACCTGGCTGTCCTTGATCCAGGTAATTCTGATGTAATTAGAAGCATGATAGAACAGACTGATGAAGAGTAAATTATGCAAAATTTGCCTTTAATAAAATTGGCCAGAACTCATTTAAATAAATAAAATGTTAATTGTTCAACATTAGAACACAGTACTTCCACAAAGTGGGCAGTACATTAAGCAATGATTTATAAATATGTTAAAAATATTTAGTGGTGTGGGAAATCATACCGTTGTCATGCTAAATAGATACAAAGTAGCATTCAAAATTGTATGGTCTCATCTATATATTACCTGTGTCCCAGACCCCATCTTTAATAGCCTCACTTAAAGGCATATTCAGTGTTTGATCGCAGTCTGCTGGCTCTGAGCAGAACAGTACAGGAGAAAGAACAGAACAGGGCCTGACTTGTGGGGTCTGAAGCCCTGTTCAAGCACTCACTGCCCAGCCTTCACTGATGCCTTCTCTGTCCTCCACAGTATAGGGATATTCTCTGTGCTCACCTTTCTCTCTGTCTTTTCTTTTTTAAGATTATTTGTTTATTTATTTATTTAGTTTTAGCAGGGAAGAGAGGGAAACATCACTGTGTGGTTGCCTCTTGCACGCCCCCTACAGGGGACCTGGCCTGCAACCCAGGCATGTGCCCTAGACTGGGAACCGAACCAGTGACACTTTGGTTAACAGGCCAGCACTCAATCTACTGAGCCACACCAGCCAGGGGTCCCTCTGTCTTTTTTTCTTCTTGGATCCAGTGATACACTGGTAACTGTTTAACAACCAGTGCTCTGGGGGAGATTTGTACAAATCAGGAGCCCTATTTATAGCATTTGCCAATACTACCATAGTCAATTTCAACTACCAATATGGTACCACTGAACAGAGTTGGGAATAAATGAGTATAATCAGCTTGGAAAAGCTAGTCAGAACTGACTCCAACTACCACTGCCTGGGTCCCACCATTTGAGAAAAAAAACTTTTCACAACAAAATTGCTGGGCCTCTAGATCTATCATCCTCTCAAATTAACCAGAATATTCTGTATGTAGGCAAATGGATACACTCAGAGGCTGAAACAGAACATGTTTAATGTAGTCTCACAACAAGTCCTGAACCCACCATCTTTTCCTTCTAAGGCCCCAGAGATTTATCCTATCCAGACTCTGCCCACATTAATAGGGATTTTTTTTTAAATTATGTATCTATTTTTAGAGAGAGGGGAGGAGAGGGAGAGAAACATTGATGTGAGAAACAACTCGTTGCCTCTTCTATACGCCCAACTGGGAACCGAACCCACAACCTGGACATGCGCCCTGACCAGAAATTGAACCAGTGGCCCTTCGCTTTGCGGGATGACGCCCAACTGAGCCACATTGGCCAGGGCACTAATGGTGATTTTTTTTAAGAGATGCTGAATCTCTCCTTGTAACCTAGCTTCCATCAAGCCCCTTTATCTGTCTGTAGTGTCTGTATTGTCTGGACCCCAATTATGAACACAATTCCCAGGTTTTCCTAGTCTTGGGATACAATCAGATGTCAATCAAATGTGGCTGGATAACTTGGGTTAACTAGAGAAGGGGCATGGCCTTCCAGCTTCACAGGGAGGACTCGCTGGGATCCACACTTCTTTCTCTCCCCTAAGCCAGCAGCAGTCTACCATTAAAGTTTTTCCTGGGAGAGCAGCAGGAATCTCTCACCTAACACACTCTTTGTACCTCTCCTGCCTCAGTTCCTTGGGGCTGATCATCTCATGTACAAACAGCCGCAGGCCCAAGGTGCATCTTCTGCCTAACCGCCGGGAGGCCATGCACTGCAAGTTTGCTCTTCCCCTCTTCTGAGGCCCCACTCCTTCAACCAGATTGAGCTCAACTTCCCTGGCCCTGGTATCCCCTTAGGACTCTCCGAGGACACAACTTCGAAGCACTGATCGCTGAAGCTGTTGACAGGCCTAAGAATTAGTGTTAGGACCCAACAATTACAGGAAACAAGTGACCATTTTTTATTTATTAATTTAAAATTAAAATCAACCCCTTTGTTCCACTCATCCATGCATTTGTTGGTTCCTTGTTACATATGCCCTGATCAGGGATCAAACCCACAACCCTGCTGTATTGGGACAATGCTCTAACCAACTGAGCTACCTGGTCAGGGCCTGCAAGTGACCATCTTGGAAGGACCCTTTTTTTGTCCTGAGAGGTTACCCTGCGCTCAGGACTGGGGGCTTATGCCCAACCTTTGTATAAGGCAGAGCCCAGCCAGTCTGCACTATCGTGGATAGGAGCTATTTGGGGGAGGGGGGCGCCCAGATTGCTAGTTTAGGTCCATTTTTGAGCTTGAGGTTGGTGTTCATGAGGTTCAGTGGTGCTGAGCTGCTGCTGGATCTAACTGGGAAGCTTGGCGAAATAGAGGATTTGGGGCCCAGATCCCCTTCCAACCATTACTGCTAAAAGTTGGGTTTCTTTTGCACACCAGCTCTTAATAGTATCTTACAGCTTTCAAAGGTTTCCACCTAGGCTGGCAAAGTTGGCAAGACTTTCCAAGTGCAGCACAATGCAGAGTAGGGATGCAATACATGTCAATGCAACGAGTGGATGGCACAGTGCGCACACTGCCTACATTTTTCTAAGACTGACTCATCTCCTGAAAAACAATTTGAAGATTTCTTAAGTAAATGCCTGAGGGCCTTTTTGGTGCATTGTACATTCTAGTACAATTTTTGCTCAGAGCGTTTCCCTATGTAGTAACGTTATCAATTGTTGCAAGATTTAAAAATTTTAAAGCTGTTGAATCAGATAGCCAAACTTCCAAAAATGGGAGATAGTGGTCTTCAAAATACAACTAAACTGCAGAGCAGCAACATGGCCCTCTAGTTCAACTCAGCTGATTTAGTGAGCAGGTCAAACATTTCTCAAATAAGTTTTTGGCTGGACTTCAGATATTAGGGGGGGGGGGGGGGTCCTGTGCGCAGAATGCTAATAATGTATTCCCAGTATGCAAGTATCTATAAAAACACTTCCCTAAATATATCCTCCAGCAAAATGCTTAAATGGAAATTCCGGACCTCAGGAACACTACTTGTAAAATGGAAAGAAATGGGAGGCCTTCACTACCTCTACAAGTCACAATGACTGTCAACATTTTCCTTTTTATACTTACTTTTAATAGGGTTTTTTTCCTGTATATTACAAAAAGGATAGTGGTAAAGGCTTAAATTTGCCCATGTGCAATAGAGTAAGTACACGTCAGATGTGTGTCACCAATGGGCTATTTTCAGGAACAGGAACATTTATGATGAACCAAATGTTTTCTGGCAGCTTCTAATTAATCTACTAGGAACAACCTGGTTTTTCCTAGGTTCCTGAAGGCTCAAATGAAAGAATTCTTCCTAAGTCACAACCTAGCAACAAAGATGAGTAAAACTGAATTTATCAATGTTGGACCCAGGAATCACTGTAACACTTTCTCATGCCAACTTATTCTTTTAATAATCTTTATTCCTTCCTGATTTCAATCATAGAATATACTCAGTACAAAACTTTGAAGTCACATAGGCACAAAAGAAAAATACAGACCATAGATATAATCTCCACTTTTTAGTTGTCAAAGTTCGATAGTACAATGAACAATGAATATAGGCTCCACCTATAGTCAACGTTAATTCGCTTTTACCTTCATTTTTTGCCAAGCCATTTAAGTTGTATTACAAAGCTTCATCCCTAATATTCAAAATTCAGGACACTGTCCTACATAACTACAAGATTATCATACCTAAGAAAATAATTCCATTATCACCTAATTTATCCCATTTTCAAATTTCCAAATGTCACAAGAATTGTTAAGTCATTTATTCTGCACTTCAGTTCCAGAATGACCCACATCCTGTACTTGTCTGATTATTTGCTCTTAATTTTTACTTGTTCCTCTTTATTATCCCTTTATTTTCTGTCAGCTGGAACTTAAGTCTAGATACTGGATTGGACTCAGATTAACTTTTCTTTTGCCTAGGTGCTGTTGTTATTTCATCAGGAAGCATGTATCAGGTTGTCCGATTAGTGATGCTGAGTTTGATCACTTGACTACTTGTGCTAGACATCAGTCCATTGTCAAGACTGTTTCCTTTCACATTACCTGTATAGCACTTAGAAACACTGAGCGAAGATTCTTTTACAAGATTTTGGCATCCATCGATGACCTTTGCCTAATCAGTTATTTCATTAAGGATTCAGGCTCTAGCCTTGTGGTACCATGAATTCTTTCATTTGAGCCTTCAGTAATGCAGACTGATCTTTGAGACCATGGACTGACTCTCTTGGGTCAACTTCAGTCCTCAGACTGTATCCAATGAAACTGGAAGATGGTTTTTCAGGCTGTATTTCAGGCTGGAGCTGCTAGGGAAACACTGTTGATGAGTCCTGCTCCCGGCTCTCCCACTGAGAAGACAACTTACACAGGAAAACCATAAACGCATGGCCAGATCTAAAGTGTCTCCACACTCCAAGGGAGTGGATACAGCTTGGATGTGGTAAATCTTGTTAAGATCCCTGGAGTCAGACCGGCCTTGCTGATAAACACTGAGTTCATTTAAAAACAGGTAGAAAATGAACAGAAACTGCTGAAAAAAAAAATAGTAACAAAGTTGTTGAAAAAATGAAAACCATTGCTCTGCCAAAACAGAAACATATCTCTATAGATCAAACTGGCACCTATTTCCATATACTTTCAAATGGGAAAAGAAAATAACGAAGGACATATACAGAATGCCAGAAATGGTTGTTAATTATGTTTAAAAAGGCAGGTCAAGGTTTTAAGGAATTAAGGATTTCAAAATGCAAATTTCTGAGTTTTTCAGAATTCAAATTTCAAAATAGAAAATGATTCTCAGTGACCAACCAGTTAACTAAAAATTATTCTGAGAGGTGTTATTTCAGGATATTTCTTTTATCTGTCACTTAATTCTGTGACTTTGAAGTTTTTTTCTGGAGGAAAATGAAGTTCCTAAAAAATGTGAAAGCAAAGTGAACCGCACAGGCTGAGTTGTGGGTGGGGATCCAGCCTGCTTGCAGTTGCTGTCAGAAAGCTGCAGTCAGTCCATCTTGGAGGCTTTAAGCAGGATGCTCCTGAGGGCTGTCTTGTTCAATATAATTTTCTGAGGGTTTTCATTATATGCTGAATTTAAAATGATACAAAACAAGGAGTAGGAGTTAATAAGCTGGGTGGCAATTAGAAATTACACAAAGTGATACAGTACACAATAAATTATCAATTTGAAATTAGGTTGACTGTGGCCAAAAATCCAAAGGCAAAGATAGAGAATGGGGAAACAGCTTCATGGTTTTCTGTTCTCTGAAATCTCAAGGCACATCTGTGTGAGGAGACACTCTAGCGGGCCTCTGGGGTCCAAGCAGAGATGCAAGTGCTGATCCATCCAGAGCTGGTCTGGCCACATCTGTAGGCTGGGGTTGGGCCCAAAATGACTGGTACCCTCAAGAAGAAGTCTGATGAAGTGGGAAACAACTCAGAGAAGACTGCAGAATCATGGGAAGACGCTCACCCTCTGCAATCTCAAATCCAAGCCTCAAAGTTAGTGGGGCTGGCCAAAGATCACTGAAATGCTCTCAACAAAAGGCCAACTGTTTACAATTCAAATTTAGAAAGCAGCATCGCCATTAAAAGCTTTATTTTAGAAAGTATGCATCTATGGCAAAAACAGTGGAGATCTTTTAACTTTCACATCCATTACAAGTTAATTTTTTAAAGGAAAAAATTTAGCATGCCTGCAGTAAACACGATGGATAAACCCAACAAGGCAGCAGACACGTTAACTGTGCAGGCATGTGTAACAAGTATGCAGAGGCCGTTTATTTGGTCCATAGTACAGCATAGTAGTATTTGAGTTTTACAAAACATCAAATATAAATAACCTGAAACTGTAACAATACACAAAAATTGGGTTCTTACACAGACATACCAGGCAGTACAAGCTGAAAACTTGAGTAAAGTAACATCGTTTTACATCAATATACATAGTGCCAGTTAATATTTAAAAACAAGTTTCAATGCATAGCACTTGATACTTTTTCAATCTGTTTCAGTTAAGAGTATGAAAATGGTTAGATCTAGGCTAAAAATAATTCTTTTTCTAACCAAAAATAAAGGCATAATATTTATAACCAGGTATCAACTTTACTAAACCACAATATTTTAAACTATTAAATGATACCTAAGGGTATTTACATTAAAAAGGCAACATGCATTCTGTTGTTTTATCTCATGACTGGTTACGCAAACGCTTTGTTCAAAGGGTTTTAACACTATATTCCTACTTTCCATACAGCATACCGCAAAGTGTCTAACAGTTCTAGCAAAATGAGTGCTTTCAAAGGGAGCAGAATCATCTTCAAGTCATTGGTGTCAACTTTTTACCTTTGGAACAAAGGACATAACAACCTGGTTCTGCCCAGGTGACCTAATGCAGTAAGGGGATTTCGTTAAGAGGCGTTGCTGTTCAATCTAATGCTATAACATCATCAAGCTCTTTCGTTTGCTCTGTGCGTGACCTCTTTGTACTGATATTCTCTTTCTCATCTAATTTCCTCTTGCGACTTCTCTCTTCTTCACTTATGTCGTCAGCATTATTTGAAGGGCCTTCTTCATCTGAATCAACTATGAGCACATCATCTTGCTCTTGTGCTTATTTCAGAAAAAGAAAAAGGAAAAAATGGTTAAAAGTGTAGGAGTTATTAGTGGCTCATCACTATTTCATAGAAATGAAAAGCTAATTCTTCTGATACACACCAGACTTAAGAATAGCTACCCTTAGGGAACCTTCGCTTTGTATACTACATATTCCTGTACTATTTTAATGTTTTCTGTAAAAGCACCTACTTTTTTCTAATCAAAACAAAAAATTGTAACAAACATTATATAACTCAGAGAAATTATTCCAGTTCCTTGTTTCTACTTCTCCAACAGAAAATGGGACGGTATAATTCCTGATACTGGTAGTAAAAATTATAAACAAAACAACAACAAAAATATATATACACACATATATATATATATATATATAGCACTTACAATGTGCCAGGAACTGTTCTGAGCACTTTGCATATAACAACTCATTTAATCATCACAACAACCCTATAAAGAAGATAACATTATTATCCGTTTTCCAGAAAAGGAAACTGAGGTACAAAGAGGCTGACTTGCCCAAGGTCACACATTGGCAAAAGCAGAGGATGAGGTCAGGATACAAACCCACACAGTGGGGACTCTATAGTACATGCTTTTAACCTTATACCACAGTTGGTTTTGTGCTCCCTCCCCAACCAAAACAATCAAAGGCAGAGTGCTGATCTTAGTGCTGCCGCCTCCAAAACCTACCCACAGTGGATCAATTAACGCACATTTCATAATAGTGCGTTTTAAAAAACTACCAGTCCCTTCCTTAACGGATGATGGACCTATTTTCAGAGGGGGAAAAAAGGTCATGAACCCATGGTCCACAAGTGGACCAAACTCTCTAGATATTTTCAAAGTCTATCTTTAAAACTCTAGAGAACATCAGATGCAAGAAATGTATTCCAAAGAACAACAAAGACCCAGGGTCAAAGAAATGGAAACAAGTTAAAAAATTGGTAACTTTTAGTTTCCTGATTTAAAGGATGAAGAGGGTTGGAGAGGGGAGATAGTAAACACCCAAATCCAGCACAATAAAGCACCAAGCACCAGCACTGAAAACCCAAAGAAAAAGAGCCTCTGATGCATTTCTCCAAAGTCATACTGGTTCTGAGAAAACAGTGAAGTGCTATAATTCTATACTCACCAAACATCTGCACATTCAAAATACTCAGATTCACTGATTTGTCACCCCTAAATAAAACAGGGATACAAAATCCAAAACTACTACTACTGCTACTACTACTACTACGAATGAGTGGTCTTTATTCACTAGTAAACTCACGGATATTTCCAGTTGTAAAAATCCGTTAACAAAAAAATAACAAAAGTGTTTCTATTTTCAATAAGAATTTCCCCCAGTTTTAAATAGCATCATGGGCCATACAGTCAAAACAATCAATGCCAAATCAATACATACCTCTAGTAGTCCTATGGATTTCTACTTAATGGTTGGTCAGCGTTTGTAAAATAATCATAGTTTGTTGCTATATAGGCCTGCCTGTTAGGTAATTAATGACCTGCTTGCTGGGGCCATAACTCACCTGTGGACGTGGAAGGCTGAGCTCCGTCGTCACTGCCATTGGTTATGCTTTTCGCAGCATCTTCAGCTTGTTTGGGCCCCACTTTTTCTGGGGCATCACCAACAACTTCAAATTCAACATCCTTTCCTAGGTCTTCACTGTAAGAGAACACACACGATTAAACTGGACCAGTGCTACAAATACTTACAAAAGCAAAGATGCACCAGAGAGATACTGTTCCCTTAGTTTCAAGTGTATGCAATGTACACAGACAAATTTGGATTCTGATTCTTTTTCTTTAAACAGCATGATAATATTTTTTACTTTTTATTTTTCCGTGCTGAAGTACAGTTGTCTCCATTTCCCCCTACACACAACCCCCCTCCCCTACCATGGATTCTGATTTTTTCGAAGAGCTAAAATAAAAACAAGACTATACATAAGAGATTTTTTGGTAATAATTCTAAACTCTAACTCCAATGGTAAACACCAATATACCCTCAAATCAGAGAAAGGTTTTTTTGGTTTGTTTTTAATTGTTATTAGGGAGAGAGAAAAAAAGAAAAGACAGAGAAACAGAAACATCAATTTGTTGTTCCACTTACTCATGCATTCATTGGTTGCTTCTTTCTGTGACCTGACTAGGGAATGAACCCACAACCTTGGTATATTGAGATGACACTCTAACCAACGGAGCTACTTGGCCAGGGCCCCGGGAAAGGGTTTTAAGGAAAAAATGTTATATAACTTTTATTGCTAAAGCAGAAAATTGAGTCCAAAACTCTATGGCCCAATGTAACTTGGGCATTATTACTTTAGCTACCACTGTGTGAAAAGATTTTACACTCTCTACTCTGATCTTGACAAAAGTAGTTTGGTGTTTTAGGATTAGGGAATGTGGATTCTGGGTTTCCCCTTCTTTATAGGCAGTACACTGCTTTTGTAATGTGTTTACAAAAATGTGTATGAAAGTTTAATGCATGAAAGTCAAACTAAAGACTTGTTATAAAGGGTGTTCTGTTACAGAAAGCTAAAAAATATGATTAAAAAAACTCTAATTGTGCCTCTTCTTTTAGACACCATCTGATATATTTCCATTTTATTGTGCATGTCCTTTCATTGTCTATTATCTTTTCTTTCACAGCTGAACACATGCACACCACTGACATCCAACTGGTGTCTGAGGTCAAAGATCATTCCTAGCATTGTCTTGGGCTTAAATACCTGACTTTGTGACACTTATTACAAACAGCCCACATTCAGTCTTTCTTGTTATTTTATGCTTTTTATAAACCAAATATAGAAAATACAATGTTCTCCAAACCACACAAACTATGTGTGTGTACAGAGACGGCGACACTGGCAAACAACTGAACACAGCTGTTGGTTAGATGGTACCCAAAAGTTCTAAGTCAGGATGCAGTTCAGGATTATTGATGACCATGTACAAAACTGCACCTTATTCAACAGATAAAATGACCAAAGTGGAGGACCATCTATATTTTAACTGTGATACACACACACGCACACACACACAAATATTCTATAATAGAAGCAATTTGAATGCCTTTTAAAAAAAGATTTTATTTATTTTTAGAGAGGGGAAGGAAGGGAAACAGAGGAAACATCAATATGTAGTTGCCTCTTGTGCGCCCGCTGCTGGGGACTTGGCCAGCAACCCAGGCATGTGCCCTGACTGGGAATCAAACCAGCAATCTTTTGGTTCTCAGGCTGGCACTCAATCCACTGAGCCATTAGACAGGGCTTGAATGCCTCTTTTAAAGAACGTAAAATCAAATAAAAAAAGGTCTATGACCCATGAATCGATACAGAATAGTTTTTATTATTCTCTTTCTCTTCACAAATGAAGTATTTTTTCCTTTCTTCTAATAAATCTTTAAAAATAGAAATTTTTATTTGAGTTCAATCATTAAAATGAACTCACCTCTGATTATAACTATTCTAAATGTCTCAATTTCTACCCTCTTTCTGATCAGCCACCATTAACAGTTACCCTTAAATAACTTTTGCCTATCCCTTTTATTTCTGAATACCCCAATTTTTTTGTAGTGAGTCAAACCTCAGGGAATTTAGTGGCCAACTTAAGCAAATACACTGTACAGTTTCAAATGAACTGTAGGGTTTAAGGGTTAAGAAAACATTTTTTCTCCATCCACTTTATCTTAAGTGTACATACACAAGGAATTTCTTACACTTAAAACACTACTAATTCTTACCTATGAAGGATGTTAATCAATAAAGTGTAGTCCTGAAGGAAGTCGTCTGCTTGAAGCCGGCTCCCATTTCTAATTCCAAATTCTGACAACTTCTTGTGATTATTAGCTAAAAAATTTTAAAGAAATTTAAATACTTTAGTTATATCTCCATGGAGCAGTCATGTTAGTTTTAAAAAGGTGAAACTCCTACTCTAAGCTGAATTGTATTCCTCGAAATTTATATGCTGAAGCCCTAACCCCAATCTCAGAATGTGACTGTATTTGGACCATACTTTTTAAAGTGATTAAAAGTAGGCTGTTAGGGCAATCCCTGATCCAGTCCAACTGGTATCCTCATGAGAAGCCAAGGAGAGAAACCTCAGGAGAAAACCTGTAGACACTTTAAGACCTCTAGCCCCAGAAGTATGAAAAAATAAATTTCTGTTATTTAAGTCGCTCTATCTGGATATTTTGGTATGGCAGCCCCAGCAAACTAATCCATTAAAATATTAGGTACTTAGGAATTCATCCTTGAACACTCAACTGCTAAAACTACTTCAAGGGCACCAAACTAAGAAATTCTAAGAATCTTCTCCTATTCAAACCAAATTAATCTGAAATCCGGAGGAGTCAAAAATAACTTTCAGAGTTGTTCAAAAAATATATATATTTTGAGAGAGCAAGAGAAACAAACATCAATTTGTTCCACTTGTTTATGCATTCGTTGGTTGTTTCTTGTATGTGCCCTGACCTGGCATTGAACCCACAACCTAGACATACTGGGACAATGCTCTAATTGGCTGAGCTACTCAGCCATGGCCCAAAATATATTCTATGTTGCAAACAGGTTTTCCATGACAAAAATTTTTAGCAAACTTTACAATTCAGAAATATGAGAAACCTTTAAATAAAACGTTCATTTTTCAACATAATTTTCAATATGTCTCAATTTAGAGCTAGTGGGGGCCACCCCAAAACAAATATTCCAACCTAATTCTTTCTTCTACATGTTGTTTCTGCTTCCTCTGAATATCCCCAGTATGAAAAATGTGCTTAGCACTCAATAAAATTTTGCTACATAAATTGTAATAAAGAATAATCCCTCCAACCAAACTTTTAGTGTCACCAATTCTAGAACCTTTCTTCTGCCTTAATTATGCTTCCTTTCCTGCATGTTCAAATGCTTCATTCTCCTGACCTTTAAAAGCACTGGAATCTCATCTACAAAACTACTTCCTCTAGCAGAGGTGTCCAACCTTTTGGACTCTCTGGGCCTCCCTGGAAGAGCCAGTGCCCTCTCTGGGCCACATTGGAAGAACACTGGGCCACACATTAAATACACTGTGACATGTAATCATAAAAAAATCTCATAATGCTTTAAGTAAATTTACGATTTTGTGTTAATCTGCATTCACAGCCATCCTGGGGCTCCATGCGGCCTGCAGGCTTCAGGTTTGACACATCTGCTACAGCACAGGGAACTAGTAATATTGTAATAACTACATATGGTGCCAGGTGGGTACTAAACTTTCGGGGGTGATCACTTTGTAAATTATTTAACTGTCTAACCACTATGTTGTACACCTGACACTAGCAGGAAGAGAGAAAAAGAGCAACTGGTTGCCTCCTATACGTGCCCGAATGAGGGATCAAACCAGCAACCTTGGTATGTGCCCTCACTTGGAATCAAACCCGCAACCTTTCCGAGTATGGGACAATGCTTCAACCAACCGAGACATACCAGCCGGAGCAAAAATAGTAATAGTAATAGTAATAACAGTAATAATAATAATAATGCCTTCAAAAAAGGAAAATAAAACGCTGTGTCCTCCTCTTGCTCCCTATATTCATTCTTCTCACAACATTCAGTCCACTTTATTGAGTATTTTTTCTGTGAGGGACATAAGAGTGTACAGAACCTGCTGACCAGTATTTACAGTGCCTAACACATACTGAGTAAACTGTATTTTAATTCTAGTTATTGTGTTTAAATTTATGTAATTTCTTTTTTCAGGTTATTTCTTTCACTGCTTAAAAAGGAAAATGCTTAGAAAGTATCTCCCTATTTAGACTTTGAAATCCAGAAACTACTGACAGTTTCTACTTTTTATACAAACCTATTCTTATTTTCACGTTTTAATCTACCTGGAATATCTTTAGAAAACAACAGTTCCTGCCCATACTTCCATCCCCAAAGCCTTTCACACATTCCCCACTCACTACAAACTCCTCAGACTCAGCATATTCAAAACAGTTACATTCCATCCTGTTTAATGAACATCATCTGTAAAGCCAGAGTGCTGGAAACAATCCTGTACAGGGCCAACAATGCTAGTCTTCTTCACCTGTGCTCTAAATTCTGACCTTGCAAATCTCAAGGCTTGTCATCTGCTTCTACCTTAGTAAAAATCCTTCAATCCCCTCATTTCTTTTCTGCCCTAGCGGGCTCCTACCTCCACTCTCACATCCTTAACTCACCCTCTGCGGATACTAGAAGGTAACCACTTTACTGCATCACTTAAGCCAGGTGGAAGTAAGATACTGGGGGAGGAAGACAAATACAAATCACATGCAGCCACAGGAAGTCTCCAGTGCACCTCCAGTGAGTCAGCACTGCCACCACAAAGCACCCCACCTTCCAGTGACACAAAATAACTGGCCATTCCCAAAGCCTTTAATATTGTTTTATAAGTCATGCTTTTGTAGAAGCTACTCATTCTGCCCAAATGCAGACACTCCCTTCTCTGTCCTAAGGGTCCTTAAACTTCTTCAAGAACTGGCTCAAGAGTCCTTTTTCCTGTGACCTCCCCTTATCCTTCCCTGGTTTCAATTCATACACTGTCTTTCCACAGTATTTCTTAAACTGTACTATATCTACTAGCTATAAATCTCTCCTCTCCTTCCAGGCTATAAATTAATTTAAACCAAAGACTACCACTGTACTCATCCTTGAATTATGAATATCTATGACTATGCCTATAACAGAGGACTCCATGCATATTTGAATAAATGCCATCTCACCCTCAGCAGCACCTGTATTTGGGGGAGAAGAGCCACATTTAAGCCACTGAGATTCCTGGCCAGTTTCTATTTTTAAGGTCCTAGCATTAAAAGAGCTGGCTAGAACTAAGAGGACAGTCGTGAACAAACTTCTTTTTTTTTTGGTAAAGACAGCTGGCTAGAATGGGGCCTAAATATTAAACTAGACTTAAAATAGACTACTACCCAGACAAAACATGGCCTCCAGTTACTCATGACCTAATAGCCCAAACAGTTTGACAAGGAACTACAGCCAAGAAGAATCCTGACACTAAGTTTTAATTTAAAGAAGGGCTTAACATCTGGAATCCCCTTTAGGATCTGGCAAAGTGTATGAATAAATAACCAGTAAAGAAAGAGGTAAATAAATAAGTCAATATAGGAAAAAAAAAATGCCCCCAGATTTTAAAAGTAATAATCCACCGGCAAAATTTGTCACATGAAGAAATCAAACTAAAATGGTAACCCAAGAGATTCTGAGATCTTTGTCTGCCAAAGTGACAGAACAGCTGTGAGAACTTCTGAGTCCAATCAGACTGACTAGTGTAGGCTGAAGGAGGCACAACCAGAACCAATCCTCAACTAAGAAAGCTTAAACACAATCAAGTGCATTGAACCTTGTGTAACAAATGCAATGACAAAAGAGATGGCCTTCTTGGGAACTTCAAAAAAGTCTACAATGCCAAAACTAGGCACTGATTTTTCAGCACTACTTTCTGCTCTACAGTAAGAGCTGACTATCAACGCTTCCCTACTCTTGTATCAAACACCTAATAGCCTTAGGTTACTTATTCTGACCTAATAGCCAGAGCAATCTGCTCACTACCAATTTAGCTCCCAGGATCCACAATACAGGCAAGGCAGTTCCTTTGAAATGGACGAGAACACTAAGGTCACTCACTATACATGGTGGCTGTGCACTGGGTTACTGAAAAAGTTACTGAGATACACTGACAACATGGAGTTTCCAAAACTAGAACTGCTGTAATCCCACCAAGACAATGCTGTCTTGGGAGGTCACCTTCTTGACCACACATTGCCCCTGTCGGCTATGATACTGAGTAACATTTACAGCAAATGGACAAACTAATGTGTACTCCTTTGTTCAGGCATCTCCACCCAAATAAAGGAAGTGAATTAATGCAACACATCATACCTTCTGTCTCTCCCTCTTCTGAAGATATTAGGATTGTTCCTTTCCCATCTTCAATTTGGACATCTGGTGCTACCATAGCAAATTTTTCTTTCACAATCTATAGGAAAAAAGGATTCAAAATATTAATAAATATAATTAAAGACCATAAAAAAGGTCTTTTTTTTCCTTAAAAGGTCTTATTTTCTCCTTCCATTGAAGAGGGGCCAAGTTGTTCTATAAGATACCTTATGGCAAGCAGGAAAGCAGTGGGAATGCACCCAATTACCCATGCCCCTGTTGACCCCCATATTTGACTGCTAAGATCAGAAACAACTTCCTCCAAATGGGGGACTGAAAATTCCTTGATTGGCTCTTGGAATTTTGTTCTTCCCTGCAGATGAGGTACTAAGCTAGACACATGGCATAGTTCCTTACTCTATGACAATCCTGCACTGGCAGACGTTTTAAGGCACAAATGTTCTTATTAACCTGGTTCTCAGCTGGTCTGCCTCTTCCAGTTCCATTTCTCTTTAAATTCCAAGATGAATCAAAAGCAATAATATTCTGTCAAATCTACCTGCTCCTAAAAAAAAAAAAGAAAATAGGGGAACTCTCTAAAGGTCCCTTTTTTCTAAAAATAGTGAAACTGCCTTTAAGCTCAAGAATGAGTAGATACCAACTATAATTATTTCCTAAGGAAGAAGGGAGGGCAACCATCCTCTGCTGACCAGTGTTCCAAGTCCTGCTATTTCGCCAACCAATACATAGGATCCAATCAACCTGCTCAATATATCCATTTCTGGAAGAAAGGCCATTTCCTCTTATGGAACCTTTAGGACCATGAAGGTCTAGGAGGTATGTATATATGTAACATTATGATGAATATAATCAGAGAACAACCTGATCCCAAAATAATGATACCCACTGGGACATTTTTGGTATTTTCCCTAATAAAGGAACTAAACTAAACTAGCCAGTTTAGAAGGAACCTAAAAAACAGGCCATAGAACCAGATCACATCCTAACCCCCACCACCACTCCAGAGAGATATATATAAATGTTGATCTCTTCAGGGACTAACTTAACACACCAGAATCAGGACCATCACCAGACTGTTTAAGGACACCTCCTGTCTGCCAAAAAATACAGAATTTATACACTAGCTAGGAAACAAAGAGAGCAGTCTCTTTTTTGCCAAGATACTGTACCATCTCTGTAATACTTATGGCGCATTTTCTCGCCAAATACAACTAATTCCTTTCTGGGATGTGAAACCCATCTTCTGGAACCACAGAGAAAAAAGCCATCAGGATCCCATAAGGTCAAGTGACCAAGGCTATCAGAGCATCACACTTCAGTAGCCAGTCTTTCAGTGCAATTATGTGGCTTTTAGTTTGTTATGGCAGTAACACAGTAAAAGGCAAAAGGAAACTTGAGGTGTTTTTTTGTTTGTTTTTTGTTTTGTTTTGTTTTTAAGGAAAAGGGAAAAGAACAAATTTGTGTGAGAGAACTAGCTTCCGCACATACCTTATCTTGTAATGTGAGAACAGTCACTTTATGGACATTCAGTCGCACAGTCACCTCTGGCTTGCTGGCACACACATAACAATTAGGGTTGGGAGGATCCAGTGCACAAGGCACAAGGAGCTTCTTTCTTGGGTTTGGTTGTTTATTCAAAAAAATCTTTGGAGGAGGGAAAAACATAAGCAGAAATCAGAAATTCAAGTCACAATTTTATACATCATACAATCTGAAGTTGGATAAGGAAAATCATGAACTTAAGAGCCTGATTTTCCAAACTTCTTTTCAAATTAGCTGCTATGTGAAAGGCTGAGCTTACTGAAAAGAAATCTCCTTGTATTGAAGACTTTCTTGGACTTTCCTGCAAACTAATTTAGCAACACTAAGGGCTTAGTCACACTCATCTCTGGTATCATTAAATCAGCTTTTGGATGCCTTCCTGGTAATTATTCTTAAAAATTTAAAGCCAACTTCTCAACAAGACCAATACATTAATACCTCTAACTAATGATGATGGTTTCATAAATGTATGGAACCAATGTGTTTGCCTTTCTTTTTAAATTTTCTATAACTACAACATTAACATTTATATGATTAAGAGAAAAAATAATGCACTTCTGGCACTATATGTAGGCATCTATTTACCACTTCCCTAATATCCAAACAAAAATAGTAAGAACCAAGGAAAATTTTTAAAAACTCCACTTTATTTAAAAAAGGCCCTAACCTCATATTACTACAGAGCTTCGAAACACTATCCAGGTTAATACAAACAAATGTCAAGGCAACATAAGCTGATATATAAATTCTCATCTTATGACTACCAGGTACTATGGTATTTGCTAAGACTAATTAATTCTAAAGAGAAAAACTCCACGGATTCCCCCCGACTTAAAGAAGTACATTCCTCTGAAGGCAGTTAAGTGGTAGGAAGAGACTTCCTGTATTAACAGTATCACCGGTACTAGCCATTGTACTGGGAGGTCTGGAAGCAGGTTACAGTGGGGAAACAGATTTGTTTGATCTTGGGCTTCACTAGAAAGGTAACTGTGCTTTAACAAATTGAAAGTAATGAAAACAATTGCTAACACTGCTAATACTCAGGCTAACACTATTACCTCATCCTGAAATTCATTATGAACAAATAAAAGCCATAAATAAGTATCATTAACCTGAGAGGAATAGAGCTGAGATAGCAAAGAACCGAGAAGGATGTTACAGGAAAACAGCAGACATTTTAATAAATTCAACAATTACTAATGTTTGTGAGCTCAAAGGAATTCTGTAACACAAGATAAATTAAGGCTGCTATTAAAAGGTAGAAATCAAAAAATAAAGTTCTTAGAAATTAAAAATATGTTAGCAAAAAATTTTTATTACAAGATGGCAGACTGGCAATATGATTCTACGTTCCTTCACCCTGAGATTTCATGAAAACAATATGATATTTTAAGACTGTATCAATAATGGCACTGAAAAACAAGAGTACTATTGCAGACTAGGTTTTTTTTAAAAAATGAATTCCTGAAAGTAAATTGGTCCTTTTATTTCAACGTTACAGTAAAATGGAGAACCTAAATAGCGAAAATATTGACTACAATATACATATACTTTTTAAAATCCTTACCCAAGGATATGTTTATTGATTTTAGAGAGAGAGGGAGAGATAGGGGTATGGAGGAGAGGGAAAGAGATAGACATGGATGTGAGAAATATCGATTAGTCCCGCGCCCCCCCCCCCCAACCAAGAATCAAACCCACAACCTAGGTATGTGCCCTGATTGGAAATTGAAGTTGTGACCTTTGGTGCAGGGGACAATGGTCCAACCAACTGAGCCACCTGGCCTACAACATTTTTAAGCAGATTTTTAAATTGCTAAGCTGGTAAGAAAGCAAAACATCTTCAGACATACATACTCAATACAGAATGAAAGCAGCAATTCAAAGAGAATATCCAAGTGGTTTTAATCTTGAGGTATACCTAAGAAGACACTTAAATAAAACAACGACCTTACGACAAGAAACATCACCTTGACTTTGGTGCTTCAAGGAGTGGGGGAACTTATTATTAATTACAACAATATAGGACTCATGATGATTTGCTGTCTGAATATGCACATGGATCAAAAAACTTAGGAATTCTAAAATGGTCTTAGATTGGTAGGACCACAGGCATTCAGATGTAAGTAAACACAAATCCTCTATGAAGAAATATACCTTCAATGGGTCCTTAAAGAACTATCAAACATAGTTTTAACAAATACTAAGTCAGCTAAAAAAAAAAATCATACACCATACAAGCAAACAATATACTACAAGAGATCTGTCACACATAACGGTACTCATTTGTAAGATTGCAGTCATTAACATTATCAAAGAATATAAAACAGATTTAAAGTAAAATGACTTAAAAACTGGACTACATACAGGGATGCCAAGTACAGCACAGGGAACATAGTCAATAATATGTGTGGTGCCAGGTACGTACTGGAAATACTGGGGAGAACATTATGTAAAGTATATGATTATCTAATCACTATGGTATACACTTGAAACTAAGAAAAAAATAATACTAAATGTAAACTGTAATTGAAAAAAAAGCACAGGGAGGGGGGCATTATAAAACAACCAAAGAAAATTTAAAAACAATAAAGACCTCAGAGCACTCGCAAGGTAATTGCAACAATTATTTTTCCATTGCTTTAAACCAGTTTTATTGATTTAATTTTTTATTTGTCAATTTGTTGGGGTTTTTTAATAAATTACTTCCCCCCCGCGAATATATATTACTTTACAAAGAGACTGAATAAAAAAATACAAATAGAAATACTCACTGTTTTACATTGGTCTATTTTTCCTGATAAAATCTTCAATCCTTCCAATACTATTAATCCAGCAATCACTGCATTAGTAGTAGCAATAGCAGGAATAATGTTCCCTGCCATTGCTTAAAAAGAAAAAAAATGAATACATTTAACTGCTAAAAAGGAAAATAATAACAGCATTTTAGAAGATGTAAATGAAGTACAAAACAACTTACATTTTATATCAAATCTGCTCTTCATATTCATACTGAAAATATGCATCCTGAGGTTTGCAGCAGAGGTAACAAAATCCATTGCAGACGGGTCATCCTGCCAATAAGTTAAATAACTTAAGTCCCCCCACAAATTTACTAATTTGCCTAGTATTATTTTCGGAACCCCACTTCACATGTTTATAACATTGCTGTCAGTGAACCAGAACAAGAGAGCGCCTTGAGGGAAAGGTAAAACCTTACAGCAGCAGGGAGAGTGGGTAAGTAGAGGGCAGAGTCTCATCATCAGCTGATTCAGAAATGTAATTTGACAAGAATGCCACAGAGCCACCAGGCTTGTAGGAATTCATCCTCTTTAAACAAATGCACCGGAGACTAAGTGTATAGGCCCAAATACCAACTCCATTCACTGACAATGGCAATCCTTTCCTGGGTCCATCCAGCCAGCACAGGCATGCTGCGGAGACACTGCGGGGTCAGTTCCAGACCACCGCAATAAAGTATCATAATAAAGTAAGTCATAATCCTTTTGCTGATGGGAAGGTCTTGCCTTCAATTTGTTAAAAACACAACATCCGTGAAATGCAACAAAACAAAGTACAATAAAATGAGGTATGCCTGTAACGAGAAGGTTGTGCGAGAAGCACAGGTTTCGGGGGAAGAAATGGAGGCTTTTTTGAGAAAGCTTTCTTTAAAGCCTCAGAAATACCTCAACAACTCCTTTTGGCTTTCCTTCTCCAAACCCTTCATATATACACCACTCTCCTACACTTGTTATTTCTTTTCAGATATGGCAATACAATAAGTTTTCCCCTGACAATTTATATTCTTCCTGGGTCTATATCCTAGTCTCTTCAATTAGATTTCAGTAAGATTTCCTGCTTTCCTGAGAAAAAAACTATCTTACCCTGTAACTAAGAAGCACCAAAAGGAAAAGTACTGATAGGATGTGGGTTCTTTATATACTTATTGGCTGGTTGTGTAACTTCAGGGAAATCAACTTCCTTGACCCGAAATTCCTTAATATGTTAAGTAAGGAAATTATATCAACATCTCATAAGGTTGTAGTTAAAATTCAGTAGAAATATTTAACAGTACCCAACACTTACTTCCCATCAATTACCTCCTTAGGCAACTGGCTTATCACACTCATTAGGTATAGATTTTACTCAGGGTAACAATTCCCACCTTCCAAGGCTTCATTATTTAGCCCCTGTGTACCAATGAAAACCTCCCAAATCCCTATTATAGTAACAACACTGAAAATATTTTCTAATTAATAATTACTCCTTATATCACATACACACGAGACTAATGTTCATAAAAATCCCCAAAATCTAAATTTACTAGCTTCATTTTACATGTCTGATTCAACCACAATTTCAAAATTTGCACACATAAAAGTTATCATCTTGGTTTGCTAAAACTGACTAAACTTTTTCTCTTACTCTAAAACTCATGGCAAATCTTTACTATCATAGGAACATACAAACTTCATTCAGATATATCACTTCTAGCCACAGAAAATACTGACTACGATTAAAAATAAGTAAAACTCATCAAACCTCAAAATAATGACATCTAATTGCAAAATGCTATTATAAATTAACTTGTAAGGATAACTATGTCTCATTTTTGTATTGAGAGGTGTCAAGCCTCCAAAATATTTATAATGCTCTTGTCTCCAAAGTAACAAATCTATATACTACAGAGGAAGCTTTCTTAAGTCTGTAAAGCATTTTATAGACTCCTATACATTCACAATATTTCTCCAATCAACATAATTATAAATCATGAATACATTACTAGACTCTAATATGAAGTTTTATATTGCCTTTAATAAAATTAATTTTAGAGAAAATTCATAGTTCAATGTAGTAATTAAAGAGAAAACTATCCAAACAAAATTAACCCTATGTCCTCAAAATCTAGCAGAATAAACAATATTCAAAAATTTACTACTTTATGATTACAGTTCAAGAACTAGAAAATACATCTAACACGTAAGTAATTGACACTCTACTTCAAAACGAACCTTGTCCCATATGAGCTCAGCTCCGTCCCCTTTTTCTGCTAAATGAACTCTCAAAGTCTCAATGCTCTTTGAAAAAAGACGTGCATAGCTCTTTACATCTAGAACTTGCTGGTCTTTCAGGCCTAACTGGGGTTCATTTTGTTGATCTGCTGCATTGATTTCTTCTCCTAAGGGAAAAAAATATTAGAAATTTCCCTATTAAACATAATTCTTCTACTGTTTTAACAATTCAATGCTTGACCAGTTAAGAAAATAATATAAAAGAAATTCTATTTTGGGATTATCAAGATGATAAATATATCTCTATAAGAAAACTGCTAACACTGAGAAGGGAAAGGTGCAAGACTGTTTCAGAACCTCATAGTGTTACTGGAAGATTCAACGATATAATGAATATAGGTAAGATGATAAACATTATATACAGAACATAGTAAGCAATCAGTAAGTGGTAACTATTAGTCATACTTAAATTGGTATGTAAGTATTCAAGTATTTACATTACTGTAGAAAACTGCTCCAAATTGACATCCCTAATCGCTTGGGACCCTTTAAGTTCCCATGTGCTGACCACTGCTGTGCACATACATCAACTGCAATACAATTCAGATATAGCAGAGAGAGAATGTGTTGAGGGGAGTGGGATAAGGAAGTCACTAGTGCAATAGTTTTACTTGCATTTAAAATTATAAGTATGTTCCTAATTTAAATCTGAAAGAGATAATTGCACAAAGGTACAAAGATGTAGGTACACATATCCTCATCACTAGTGTTTTAGGGAAAATATGAAACAACTAAATGTTAACTGTTTAAGGTGCCATGACCCGTGCGGAGTGTTGGTCCCTGAGTGGGAGCGACAGGAGATTGAGAAAGGACAACACAACACAAAGACACAAGACAGATTAGAGAAAAGCGGGGGCCAGGTGGGACACTGTCCTCTGATGGAGAGACAATGACAATGATCTCGGCCTCCGTGTTTACTTTATAGGGGTTGGTTAGATAAAGTTCAAGGGAGTTTTGCAGACTCTGTGGGCACAGAACCCATTCCCAGGCTATCTACATGATAAAGCTTTCTTCTGCAGAGGTTGCAGTCGCCTTCAGCTGAAGCTTGCTGTTATCTACTCCCTTCTCAACGCCCCCTCTCCCCAACACCCAGGGCTCAGGCTGTTGCCAGTTGCCAGCTTGCTCTGCCTTGCAGATAACAAGCGGTCGAGCATGGCCTTGCCAAGCGCTTAACCTGGCTTTTGACGTCAGCCTTCACTGTCCTCCACAGTAAGGGACTAGTTAAATATTTACTAAATAGAGCAAGTCAAAGCATATGAATTTACGTGATTCCATAATGTAAAGTGTATAAACAACTGCTTGTGTCTACATGCACAGATATGACTACCAGGCATTCCCTAAAATACTACTAGTTATTATTTCTCTAGGTGGTAAGATTTCCAGTGATTTTCCCTTCTTCATACTTTTCTGATTTGTTCGAACTTCTTACCACGAATGTATACCATTGTCAAGTAATAACAGGGCCATTTAAAGACTGAGGGAATTTCCAATGTATCCCCAAAACTAAAATGTACCCTTTACCTTGACTCTGTACTTCAGCCCAGTCCAATGGAACCGGAGGTTTCCTTTTTCGCCATAATTTGTCCATTGTCAACAAATACCTGATATCATCTTTAAAAAGCTTTAAAAAAGAAAGAAGTTCCATGAACCCTACAATCCTTATGCTGATAAAATAAAACAATTTCTTTGTTGATTTATTATCAGTATTACACTAAACATCTTCTGATTTAAAGACATGCCATATACCAGTAGATGAACAATTTAAGAAAGGTTTTTTTATTGATTTAACAGAGAGAGAGAGAGAGAGAGAGAGAAGGGAGAAAGAGACAGAAACATTGATTTGCCATTCCACTTATTTATGCATTCATTGGCTGACTCTTTCATGTGCCCTGACCGGAGATCAAACCCACAACCTTGGTGTATCAGCACAACACTCTAACGAACTGGGCTACCCAGCCAGGGCCTAGATTCACAATTTTAAAAAGAAGCTCAAGCCTTTTGTAAAAGGGAAATATGACACAGAACCCCTTCATTTGAGACAGTTACAAGCAGAGGTGCTCTGAGGAAAACAGAGTAAGGGAATTCTGAACTGTGCTGACTGACCTATCCTCCCAAGTCACCTACCTCCCTAAAAGCTCCCCTAAAGCTCCAGAGAGCATCTGAAACACAATCATACCAATCAAGAAGCTAAAAAACATACACCAACTGCACAAGAATTGCACATAATCACTGAGCCTAGAGATACCAATTAGCAATGTCTTCAAGTCTGTGGGTAGATACCGATAAAGCATACACATTCTGTAAGTTATTAAAAACAGAATTTCCTAACCATCTGAAACATCTTTGAAATGTGCCTTCCCCCACCTCCAAAAATTACTATTTCAAAAACATAAACATTACCTCATGTAGACTTTTGAAAGACTATCACATGAATCACACTATTTCCTAATGTAGCAGAATTTCTAATGATCTTAATATCCTTAGTTGCATTTTCTATTGCTAATTGAATTATTCAACATATTTATTATATTAATCTGCTATGAATTTATAAATTCATAGATATGGCTTAATTAAAAAAAGGTATTTTTATCAAAATCTATTCAATATTTATAAAGCATCCTTAATCTTTGGAAAACCAGCCAAATATACAAATAATTAGAATACAATTTATTGTGAAAACCACACAATACACAGCTTAGAATACTCTTAGGAATTTTGTGGTATCTGAGAAATGAGGAAAGAATTCAAGAAGATAACAATGGAAATGGGTACACAGGCAAGGAGTGAAAAGTCCAGTATGAGTCACAAACATGGCTGGAGACATTTTGTAAAGGACCTTCAGCACTTGGCCGAGAAGTCTTCCAGGCGATAGGGAATTAGCATGGAGTTTCCAAGCACAAGCTCCATAACCTTCTCTAGCCAACTATTAAATGTTGGGTGCCTCTCAGAGTTCTGTACTGAAGTATCGCCACACGCTTCTTTTTCTATAAACCCCAAATACTTGTCTAGCCAGACCTCTCTACTCACCTACAGTCACTTGTCATCTAATATTCCACAGGAATCCTATCTCCTTCCTCTGCACTCCAACCCCTACATATCTGCTTCCCACCTTACCTACCTCAGAAAATGGTTCCTCTGTTCATCCTGCTGCGCACCCAGGAAACCAGGTATTGATTCCTCACCCCATACATCCTAAGCCCTGTCAGTCTATTTTTCTTCCATGCTCCACGAGGCATACAGGAAACAGGTTGTCCTTCATACTACTGTGGCACAAATCCAGAAGGCACTGTCCCATATTGCTCACAACAGGAGTATCAGGTACTAGAATGGTGCATTGTATGCTCTCTATATCCTTATAGTGACACTATTGACTATCTTTTCATGGATTCCTACTATCTTGTATAACATCCTTATAACCTTGAAAGCTCTTCTGATCTAGCCTCAGCTATCTTTCCAGGCCTCTTTCCACTCTTCCCTTTAATGCCATCTGAGACGTCCTTTGTATATGGTGCATTCTTGTCCTCACCCTTATTCTTTAAGATCTTAGTGTGAAATATCACTTCTGCTGGAAAGACTCTTTTGAACCCTTATACTAAATATAATAATCAGTAGGTTACATCTATTTGCTATTATAGGATTCCAAGGAAACTGATCTTAATGGCTTAACACTGAATCTGAAATTACTTGTTCAATGTTTGACTTCCCCTCTAAACTTTAAGTTTCCTACAAAGAGCAGGGACCCTATTTTCTGTCTTGCTCCCCCACTAAATCTCCTGTACTTGAAGTGGTGCCTGACACACAACAGATGCTTAAAGTTACCTACTGAACAAGAGATTGGAGATGTATTTCAGATTATTCTGGCATTCAACTGTTGCTCAGATTGAAGTGGAAATAGATATACGGACATCAGTTTGGACAATACTGTTACTATCCATATCCGAGTTAAGTACATTTTAAGTATAATCAAAATAAAAACCATTTTTTCAAGGAAAATAGAAAAATAAATGCAATAGTTTTAAGAAAGTAAACCTGTGACATCTGTTGACAGTGAGGAAAGAGAGGCAATATAAGCTGCATGAAGCAGTATGCCATTTACTTAGGACCGCAGGACCTGGTATGCTAGAAAGCAGACAGAAGGAGCCAAGAGAGGTTTAAGATGCAGGGCAGAGAGAACATTGTTTGAAGAATAAAGTACAAAGAGAAAGAATAACAGCAAATAAAGAGTTAGCCTTTACTCAGAGATTTCTCTCAAACACAAGGGAAAAGAAAAAAAGACTTTGTCTTTTTCCCTAAGACAAGGGAAAAAGTGAAATGGGACATTTTCTTAGCAGGTAAATTATGTCTAATGTCTTCAAACCTGTTACATATCTCTAAGATCACCTGCTTAATTAGAGTGGCAAGAATAATTAGGCAGTTTAAGAAGAGCTGAGAATGTTTCAAATATGTTACAATAAAGTTGCTAGCAAGCAAAGGTAGGAGAAATGACTTTAAAACAGGTATCTGAGGGCCCGAGCTATAATTAGGTAGACCCAATTAAAACAATCTTAATTCTCTAGCATTAGTCAGCAGGCAAATATATATACTAATGAAAATGGATTCAGCCAAGAACAAAAGGCTTCAGAATTCAAAAATATTTCAGAGCATTTCCAACTTCCAATAGAAGATTTAAGCAGAAAAGGGATATAAGACGAGAAACAGCAAGAACCAAAGGAAAACCAGCTTTCACTGAAGTTACAAGGAAAACCAACTTTCACTGAAACTGAGAAGGGAAGAAAACCACAAGTGTATTAGTTTCTGTATTTACCTCCTACCAAGATGCTATATGGTATACTTTGCCTCCTCACACAATGAAAAGGACAACAACCAATTTAAAAACAAAAAAACCACCAGGACTGCCAGAAAACTGAACTGTATGGAAGTCCAACAGCTAAAAAGTTAAAGAAGAAACATTCATCCAGACTGGTAGGATGGGGGGAGAGGACATGCGGGCAAGGTGGTGGCTGGTGGACCAGGTGGTCCCACATTTGCGTGTGATTAAACCAGGAGGAACAACTGGGGAGCAAGACAGACCATGCAACCCAGGGTTACAGTGCGGGAAAAAGACAGCCTCAAAATCTCTGGCTATAAAAATCTATGGAGGTGGCAGTGGCGGGAAAAGCCTCCAGCCTCACAGGAGTTTGGAGAAACCCACAGGGTCTTAGAATGTAATAAACAAACCCACCCACCCAGGAATCAGCACAATATGCTTGCAGGCAGCAGAGAAAGTGACTGAAAGCTGGCAGAGAGCCAAGCAAGCACATCGTTCCTTCTCTGACCCCTCCCCCACATACAGCATAACTCAGTGAGTCGGTTGCCCAGCCCTGGTGAATACCCAAGGCCCTGCCCCTTACAACATAGTAGGTAGGTACACTGAGACAAAGAAGTATGGCTCAAATGAAAGAACAGATCAAAACTCCAGGAAAAATACAACTAAGCGACAAAAAGACAGCCAACCTATCAAGAGTTCAAAAACACTGGTAATCACAATGCTCACAGAAGTGGTTGAGTATGATCCCAAAATAGAGGAAAAAGTGAAGGCTATGCAAAGTGAAATAAAGAATAATACACAGAGAACCAACAGCAAAGGGAAGGAAACTGGGACTCAAATCAATAATTTGGAGCCAAAGGAAGAAATAAACATTCAACCAGAATAGAATGAAGAAGAAAGAATTCAAAAAAAATGAAGTGGCTTAGGAACCTCTGAGACAACTTTAAACATTCCAATATCAGAATCATAGAGGTGCCAAAAGGAGAAGAGGAAGAGCAAGAAATAGAAAACTTATCTGAGGAAACAATGAAGGAGAACGCCCCCAATCTGGCCAAGGAAATAGACTGCCAGGAAGTCCAGGCAGCTCAGAGAGTCCCAAAGAAGTTGGACCCAAGGAAGCGTGCACCAAGGCACATCATAATTACATTACCCAAGATTAAAGATAAGGAGAGACTCTTAAAAGCAGCAAGAGAAAAGGAGACAGTTACCTACACAGGAGTTCCCATAAAACTGTCAGTTGATGTCTCAAAAGAAACCTTGCAGGCAAGATGGGGCTGGCAGAAAGTATTCAAAGTCATGTAAGGCAAGGACCTACATCTAAGATTACTCTGTCCAGCAAAGCTATCATTCAGAATGAAAAGGCAGATTAAGTGCTTCCTACATAAGGTCAAGTTCAAGGAGTTCATCATCACCAGCCCCTATTATAGGAAATGTTAGGGGGACTTACCTAAGAAAAAGATCAAAACTATGAACAATAAAGTGACAACAAACTCAAAACTATGAACAACTGAACCTAAACACAAAAACAAACTAAGCAAACTAGAACAGGAATAGAATCACAGAAATGGAGATCACATGGAAGGTTATCAGCAGGAAAGAGGAAGGGGGAGAATGGGGGGAAAAAGTGCAGGGAATAAGAAACATACTTGGTAGGTACAAAATAGACAGGGGAAGGCTAAGAATAGTATAGGAAATGGAGAAGCCAAAGAATTTATATGTATGACCCATGGACATGAACTAAGGGGTGAGAATGCAGGAGGGGGATGGAGGCGCGTGGGCCCGCAAGGCAAAGGGGAATAAAATGGAGAAAAAAAGTGGGACAATTGTATTAACATAATCAATAAAATATACTTAAAAAAAAATGCTATACGGATTTAGTACAGCCACCAGATTCAAAACCTGCTTATCTTTACTACAAACCAATCTGTAAAGATAGTATTACGCATTAAAAAGGAGTGTAATTCAATTTCATGTACTATTTTAAAACAAACTGAATCCATAATTATAAAGTAAACCTAACCTTGGTAAAAAGTTTAACTGGGTCATATCCTGTTGATTTTGCCCATTCCTTTGTGGAAATACGTTTAATGTCACCATCTTCATTTGATGCTCTGGCTCTGGCTTCAGCTTCCATTGGCTCCCCTACAAAATAAACATTTTTATTTTCAACTAAGACAAATATAGAACTAAGGTCTCACCCACCTTTAAGGAGGAAAACATTACTCATGCAAATCACCCGCACACAACACATTCTGAGTTGAAAGATAAAGAAAAATAACATGCTAAACAGCATCTTTATTGTACCTCAGTTTCTGAAGACCACATGTAGAGCAATTCAAAGTATAAACCTGTAATCAGATCTGGTAACTCCCAGCCCTATTTACTAGATTTGTAGGATTTCTCGGCACCTTAATTTTATCACCAGTAAAAGGAGGCTACCCATTTTTTAAAAACATTGTTTTAAAGATCAAACAGTATGTCTTAAGCATATAACATAGTATCTAGCACACAATAGCATTTCCCCCCTTAAGCTATCAATATTAAATTGGTAAAATAAGGGTCACTAATAAGAAAACATATCCTAAGTAGTTTAACTCACAGGAAGCTTCAGGGTCAGCTCTGTCAGGAGATACTTCTTGATCAGCATCTTCTTCCCCAAATAACTGGCTATTAATTTAAAAGTAGTAAACATTTATGTACAACAAAATATTCTCAACAAATGTTTACATTTCCAACTTTCCTCACAACAGCTAATTTAGAATAACCCAAATCTTTAGTAAGGACGAGAACAAACTAATAAATAATACTCTATAAACTTAAAAATATTAAACTCAACTGTTGACAGCTTGCATCCTAATTTCAACTGCAATGCAAGCAAAGCTAAATTTTGGTAGACCTATATTCATTCCTATCATCTCGGCTCTACATATTTGTGTAAGTCTTTGATCAAGAGATAGGTGAGCAGCTTTTACACTCTAACTTGGATAATATTCTACTGTAATAATGTCTGTGACGTATACCTGCATCTAGCATTTGACAAACATCACACATTTGCTACATGCCAGATACTGCTTTAGGTGCAGGAAAACTCAGCAGTAAGACATTTTTTTCATGGTGATATGTATTACTACAGAAACGTCTTTTTTTTTTTAAGATTTTATTTTGAGAGAGGGAAAGGGAGGGAGAAACATCGATGTTGTACATCGAAAGGTTACCTCTCGCACACCCTCAACTGGGTAACTGGCCTGCAATCTAGGCATGTGCCCTGACTGGGAATCGAGCTGGTGACTGGTTCACAAGTTCACAGACTGTCACTCAATCCACTGAGCCACAACTGCCAGGCCACTACTGAAGAGTGTTAAGAAATAATATAAAAGTACTAAGCTAAAATTCTCTGTTGTTAATCAGGTTATACTAAAAGCTGTTTAGTTAATAACACGTATGGGAATATAGTTTTCCAACCTTTCCTCAAGCACATGATATGAGAAAGTTATCTAGACCCCAGACAACAAAAAACAAAAACCCAAATTATTATCTCAAAGCTCCTAATATATTTCCCAAGAAAATGTCCATTTATTTCTTAAGGTTGTACCAATTTACACCCTCACAATGACATGTAAGAATTCTTACTGATTCTCTCTCTCTCCAGATTTAGTGTCTGCCAAACTAGTGGTGTAATACAGTATCAGGTTGTGATTTTATTAATTTTGTAAGTTAGTCATAAAGCTAAACCTATCATCATTTGTTCACTATTTGGGTTTCCCTTTAAGGGGGGGGGGAGCAGCAGCAGCCTGTTCCTATTATTTTCTCAGGTTGTCTTCTTTTTTAGGTTGCCTTTTTCTTACTGATTATGGGAATATATGTCAAATCAATTTTTAGTTGCTTATATGTTGCATGTATTTTCTCACATATAATGGCTTATCATGTGTACATCATTTGTCTTTTGATGATGGGATATTTGATGGATTTAAATGCATCAATCCTTTCTTTAATAGCTAGTATTTTTTGTTTCTTGAGAAATTGTTCCCTAACCCCGAGGATAAAGATTTCCTCCTGTATTAATCTGTACTTAGTATATTTTGTTTGAAGTAGAGATATAAATTTTCCCACAATGATAATGAACTAATCTACCTTTTATTTAATCCCTTTTTTCATCTAGGACCCATTATGCAACCTCAGATATGGCTTCTGCATTGTCACAAAGTTGTTTTTCTACCCCTGCCCCAGCAACATCTTAAATTATTTTTAGCTTATAGTAAATCATGACATCTGTTAGAACAAGTATTCTTAAGTTATTCTTCAGGAACGTTCTTCTTAGGCCTTATTCTTCCATGTAAATTTTAGAATCAGCTGAACAAGTTCCAATAAAATCCCTGAGATGAGATTTTAATTAGAATTGTATTGAATTTACAGATCAATTTGGAAACATAATGACAACATTGGAATTTATAATCCACAAATACACTCTCTCCTTTTAGTTGGTGCATCTAATGTTCTAATAGTCACTAACTTTCTGTATTGAGACTTACATATCTAAAGACTTATTCTCAGGCACTTTATACTTTTCTATGCTTTATATTTAGCTACCTTTTAGAGTTGGCTATATGCTTTTATAGTGAGTTATCCATTTTTATATTATACTTTCTACCTGCCTGATGTGATTAGAAATGCAATTGATTTTTAACAATCTTTTAGCTGACCCTGTTGCTAAATTTGTCTGTAATACTTTGGAGTTTTTTTTATGTAAGTTACATATATTGTATGTAATCTACAACAGTTTTATTTCTTCATTTCCCAATTCTTAAGCCTGTATATATTTTTTTCTTGTTTATTATACTGGCTAGGAATTTCAGTACATTACATAGTACAAGTATTACTTCCCTGACTGGGATGGCTTGGTGGATTGGGCATTGTCCAGTAGACCTAAGGGTCACCAGTTCAATTTCAGGCAGTGCACCGGACTGGGGTGCAGGCTGGGTCTGGATGGGGGCATGCGAGACACAACGAATCCATGTCTCTTTCTCTCCCTCTCTTCGCCTATCTCTAAAAATCAGTAAATAAAATCTTTTTTTAAAAAAAAGTAGCATTAATAAGTATCCTCATGTTGTCCATGATGTCAAAAATAATGTTTTAAAATTTGTATCATTAAAAATAATTATTGTATTAAGTGTATGGATGACAAATAGTGGGAGCCAGGTTTCTGACTTTTGGAGTGGGAGTTTACAGACAAGGGTAGGTAGGAAGCTAGAATGATGCATGTAGTAATGGATTAGAGTTGGAGACAGCATGAATTCATGTTTGACTTAATATAGATATGGATGGTTAGATACAGAAGTTATTTGTAAATTTGTATACAGAAAAAAATACAAGTTAGTAAGTGTATTTTTTTTTTTATCTGTCAGCTAAAAGAATCAACACTCCAGTAGAATACCTAAGCACTCAGATCTTGGTGTCTAATACCATTTTTCAATAAGAGGAACCAGGGCTCCTTGCAGAAATGTGTTCTAGGACTTGGGCAGGAAATACTGTTTATGTAAGATGAACCTGGAGCACCCTGTAGTACCAGAAAGTAAGGAATTGCTAAAACCAAATGAAACAAAAACAAACCCAAGACATTAAAGGTGGTATGTTAAAGGACACAGAGACAACTGAAAGAGCTCCTAATGGCCAAAGATGGAAAAATTTGAGCAAAAAATAAAGTAGTATTGGATTATAACCCAAAGTATAAAATGTATTCAACATCAATGAGTCCATATTGAGATAAATGATTGAGTAAATTAATAAATGGTGGAAAGCTCTGGCCAGGTAGCTCAGCTAGTTACAGTGTTGTCCAGATATGCCAAGGTTACAGGCCCAATTCCTGGTCAGGGCACATACAAGAAACCAAAGGAGGCATAAATAAGTACAACAACAAACTGAAGTTTCTCTTTCTCTCTCAAACTCAATAAATTAAAAGAAAAAAAAATTTAAATGGTGAGAAGAGAGAAATCTTCCAGGCAGAACTCCAAATAATTTATGTGGGTACTCTGCCCTCAAGGAGGTAGAACTCCCCATTCCTTAGGTTTGGACCACACATAAGGATGTCCTTTCAAAGTAGGCAGTACAGTAAGTGGGAAATGAGGGGGAAGTAACTTTATAGTGAAGAAAGCTGCCCTGGCTGGTGTGGTTCAGTGGATTGAGTGCCAGCCTGTGAACCAAAGGGTCACTGGTCCAATTCCCAGTCAGGGCACACGCCTGGGTTGTAGGCCAGGTCCCCAGTAGGGGGCATGCAAGAGGCAACCACACATTGATGTCTCCTACTCTTTCTCCTTCACTTCCCCTCACTAAAAATAAATTTAAAAGAAAAAAGAAACCTGACAAACACTAAGTGATCAAGGCCAACATTAAACAATAATTACATCAAGAATATAACCCTGCATTTATGATGAAAATGGCAACTCTACCTCTGTGGTCTCTATCCCAATAACCTGTATCTGCAGTATTATTAAGAAAAAAAAAAAATCAGATAAATTCCAATAGTAGGCATCCTGCAAAATATCTGACTGGTACTCCTTAAACCATCAAGGTCATCAAAAACAAGGAAAGCCTCAGAAACTGTCATAGCCAAGGGGCTCTAAAGAGACATGACAACTAAATATAATGTGGTATCCTGGGAAAGAAAAAGGACATTAGGTAAAAATTAAGGAAATTTAAATAAACTACTTCAGTTAATAAATAGTGTATCATATTAGTTCATTAATTGTTATACATGTATCATACTAAGATATTAACAATAGGGGGAACTGGGTGTGGGAACTGAACTATTTTCTCAATTTTTCAGTAAATCTGTATTCTAAAAAGTAAAGTCTACTAAAAAAAACATTCACCAAGTAAAGTTTGCAAGTGTATTTTTTTTTAATTTCACCATTATACCATTATATGTGTACTTTTCTGAGTGTACTTATACCTTAATCAAAACAAAATGACAGTGTCTGCTGTAGGTTTTTAGATGGTATCTTTTGATCAAGTCTTATTTTACTGAGAATTTTTGTCATAAAAAGGTGTATGCTAAATTTTACCAGATGCCTTTTCTACACCTATGAGATTACATATGTTCTCTTTTTTAATGAAGCAAATGAGATTTTTCTAGTGTTAAACAATGCTTGCATTACTGGAATAAACACAACTTGCAAGTCTTGATTTGTATATTAATATTTGGTGTGGGATTTTTGCATCTGCATTTATGAATGAGAATGTCATGTAATATTCCTTTTATTCCATGAAGGCATTCACTGGTTTTGCTATCAGACATGATAGCCCCATAACATGAGCTAAGTATTCAATTTTTAAAAATTTTCTCTGGAAGTTTATGTAAGATTAGAATGATATATTCCTTGCCAATTTAATGGAAATTACCTGTCGATTTACAGCGATTTGGTGCATTTTCAGAAGAACTGAAACAATGGATTACATTTCTCTAAGGCATAGTACTTAAGGTTATTTGGACTTCCTGTCTGAGTTGGTTTTGTAATTTTTAAAAAATGTATCCATATACTTACAATTATAAATGTAGTGACATGGTATTCTTTTTATTATTGTTTCTATTCTGTGGTGAGATTACATTCCCCACTTAGTTATTTATCTCTCCTTTTCATGATCACACTTGCTAGTTTTTTTCCCCTTTGCTCTTAATTATATCCTTCCTTCTAATTTTATTGAGTTTATTCCATGGTTCTTTTCTAATGTAAGTTATCTCATTAAAGGTCACTATTCTCCATATATGTAAGCCTATAAGTTTTCTTCCAACTACCACATTCAAAGCAACCTACAAGTTTCACATGCAGTATTTTCACTATCCTTACAAAGTATTTTAACCTTCCATTTATTTTGTAATCAATAAGTTATTTTAAGTATTTTATTGTATCCCCAAAATACATAGGTTTGTACTCAGTTAGTTACATGCCGGTCTTCAACATTACACTAAGCTTCCTATATAATTCACTGCATACAATGGGAATGCAATTAACAGCTGAATTTAATTTAACCCAACCAAGCACTATCACAAGAAAGCTACCAAAGTGTCCCTTTACCATATTTAAAATAACATTCATCATTAGGTACAATCTCGCCAACACTTTAAATAAAAATGACCTCATTTTCTATCACCAGCACTAAAAATATGCCCAGAAATATATATACTCTTACTTGAACAAATACTTTGCCCAAACGATGCAATGAATAGGTTCTGAAGGCGTGTTACGAATTGTACAGCCAGGAAAAGTTCTCTGAGTTGGTTTGGGATGACATTCATAACACTCAGTCACACCCTGCAAAGTCAGAATGTGAGAAAAAACATTTATCCCATGAGGATGGTTCCTCAATAAAATAATATTATCATAGACATTTCATTCATTCATCCAACTGGGTTGAATACTGTCAAGGGAATTTTAAAATATTAGTGACTCCAAAATCCTTACTTTACAGAGAAGGAACTGTAATATAAAAGCTAATTGAATCAACCTTAGTCCCAGCTAAGGCTAAGCCAGAACTCCTCTGACTCCTGGCCCAGGGAACACCACTTATTCCAGCCAAATAAAAATGACCAGACCTTAGTGTCAAATGAGAGAAGTTTACCGTGATCATACCAAAGAAAAATTACGAGACAGAAACAGCTTTCCAACCACATCTATCTCAAAATCATGAAACTCAGTTATTTACATATTATTCATAACCTTACCTTATTCTCCTAAAAATTAAGTGAACTAAAAGTAATTATTAATTTCAAAAGCAATGTAGATACATGGAAAAATACTAGGTAGTATCAAACCACCTATTCTTCATTTTGCTGAGAGGGCTGCTCTTTAAGTTACACTGTAAGAAGTCCCTAAAAGTCTACAGTACTTGAAACAATTTTTCAAAACCATCAAATGAATATTTTTCTCTTCTCTTAACCACCCTCAACCTCAATCTCAATATATACTAGTATCTCAGGATTATGGTAATGATAACTATCTTTCTAATAACAAAAGAACCAAAACCTGTAAGTATTGTTTCAATATAAACTGTAGCAGATCCAGAGTCTTCTCTGTAATACCATTTGTGGGGCCCTTCCAATGTTTTCTTAGAGAGAGTTATATGGCAAGCAACTATTTCTCATATCACAGTGGAGAAAAAAAGAACAGCTGCCTTATCAACAGATCCTGAAGGCCTCCACTAATTTACTTAAATGGAACACACTTTAATATTTACACATCTCTGTAGAATGATCCTACATAAGCTTCCCAAAGTAGTTTTGACAGTTAAAACAAAGTAGAGCCGAAATTTTCAAGATGGGTAAACTGCCAAACGAATAAAAAGGACAAATTTCAAGCACAGTTGATTCTTTTTAGTTTCAAAATGTGTAAAATCATTTTTCAAATGTATTTTAGTTTCTTGAAAGAGAAAAAAAGACTGTGAACAGCAAATGAATCACAATGCTAAGATTTTATAAAATCGGGTTGAGTACGCAGATACTTGCTCTATTACTTTCTAGTTTTATCCAAATTTTTAAGAAACTTTACAAAAACACCAAAAATATTTTTAACATATTCTTCAGAACTATTCATCCAGACTTTCTTAAAATTACATTTTATTGTTTATGCTTTTACAGTGGTCCAATTCCCCCTTTATCTCCTCCACCCATTCCCCATTCCCCAAGGCAATTCCCCACATTATTGTCCATGACCAAGGGTCGTGCATATATATTCTTTGGCTACTACATTCCCAATGCTGTCCTTCGACATCACTGTGATTATTCTGTAACAACAAATTTTTACTTCTTAATCCCTTTACCTTTTCCTGCCCATATTCCAGACCTTTCTCCCACCTGGCAACCATCAAAATGTTCTCTGTATCTATAACTCTGTCCCTGTTTTGCTTGTTTGTTCTTTCAGATTCAATTGTTGATACTATGTATTTATTAATACATGTGTTTATTAAAATTTCATTGTTCATATTTTTTCTTTTTTAAATAAGATTTTATTTTTAGAGAAAGGGGAAGAGAGGGAGAGAGGGAGAGAGAGAAAAATCAATGTGTGGCTGTCTCTCATGTGGTCCCCACCCAGGGACCTAGCCTACATTTACTCGACTGGAAATCAAACCAGCGACCCTTTGGTTAACAGGCCACCACTCAGTCCACTGAGCCACACCAGCCAGGGCCTGCTTCTCAAAGACGACCCTTTAACATTTCATAGAATACTGGTTTTGTGGTGATGAACTCCTTTACGTTTTTCTTTTCTGAGAAGCTCTTTATCTGTCCTTTGATTCTAAATGATAGCTTTGCTGAACAGAGTTACCTTGGTTGTAGGTCCTTGCTTTTCTTGACTATTTCTTGCCAATCCCTTCTTGCCTGCAAAGTTGGAGAAGTCAGGTGGCAGTCTTATGGGAACTCCCTTTTTAGGTAACTAACTGCTTTTCTCTTGCTGTTAATATTGTCTTTAAGCTTTCGCATTTTAATTATGCTCTGGTTAGAAGTCTTCGTGTGGGACTCTGTGCTTCCTGGACTTATGTCTATTTCCTTCACCAAGTTATTTCCTTTCATAATTTTTTCAAATAGGTTTCCAATTTCTTGCACTCTCTCCTCACACACCCATGTTGCAAATGTTGGTATACTTCAAGTTGTCCCAGAGCTTCCTTAAACTATCCTAATTTTTTTGGATTGTTTTTTCTTCTTGCTGTTTTGATTGGGTTTTTCTTTTTGCTTCCTTATATTCCAAATCACTGGTTTGATATTCAGTTTTATCCACTCTACTGTTGATTCCCTGTAAATTATTCTTCATTTTAGTGTATCCTTCATTTCTGACTGGTTCTTTATGGTTTCCATGTCTTTTTTTATGCTGTTGAAATTTTTTCTGAGTTCATCTACTCTTCCCCAAAGTTCATTTAGCATCCTTATAAGCAACGTTTTGAACTGTATCTAGTACATTTCTTGTCTCCATTTTTATTTAGTTTTCTGGAGTTTTGTTCTGTTCTTTCATTTGGGCTGTGTTTGTCTTCTCAATTTGACAGCCTCCCTGTGTTTGTTTCTATGTATTAGGTAGAGCTACTACAATTCCCTGGCTTAATGGCCTTGCCCTGGCTGGTGTGGCTCAGTGGACTGAAGTATGGTCTAATGTAGTACGTGCTGTCCAGTGGCACAAACTTCTATCACCCAAGCTAGGTTCATGAGGTGTGCCCACCATGTAGGCTGTGTACATCCTCTTCTTGTAGTTGAGTCTTGATTGCCACTGGCAACAACGGGAGGGATTTACCCAGGCCAATTAGCTGCGAGGACTGGCTGTGACCACTGTCCACCAACCTATGACCACCATGCAGCATGAGCTATGGAGGCGACCACTCCACAGAGCAGGACTTACTTCAGCAGTGCTCTGGTACCTGTTGAGTCCACCTCTTGAGTGTGTTGCTTGTGGAGGTGGTTAGGTGGTGGTGCTCCAACATGGTCTGTAGCTGTCCATCAGGTGTGCTGGCTCTAGGGCCTCATGGAAGGTGCCAGCCTAGGCCAGCCACTGCCTGTGTTCTATTGGGGGCCAAGAGCATAAGCTACAATGCAATCTGTAGATGACGGTTATATGTGCTGGGCTTGGCGGTGCCCAAGTGAGGCCTACCTGTGAACAGAGGCCAGCTGTTGCTAGTGACAGGCCTGTGGCCAACTTAGAAAGAAATATGGGGATCACTGAGGCCAGATGCTGCCTGTTTGAGAGGATTCAGGAAAATGTGAAGCATAAGCCAAGCCAAGCCATTTGTACAGAAAAGCCACTGGAAATAGGTTGGGTGGGCCCAAATGTTCGGTGGGCCAGGGCTTTAGGGAATCACCAGAGTGGGGCAAAAAGTGTGAGCCAGGTCAATGGAATCTCAGATATGGCATCTGCCTGCCAGCCCTGTGGCTCAGGAAGGAAACACTGGCCTCTGCCATCACTTCTGTCTAGGAAAAAGCTGCCCCCCAGCTCTTGTCCTGACGCCAGACAATTCAGTTCCTTGTTATATGCCTCTTGTGCCTTTCAAGCTCCTGCCCCAGTACTGAGGCTCAAAGAGAGTGAGTGTGTAAGTCCATGCATGGGCCCTTTAAGAGGAACTGCCAGGGAATTTAGCAGTTTCTGCCTTCCACAGGCTCAATTCCCACTGGTTTTTACAGCCAGAAGATATGGGGGCTTATTTTCCTGGCACTGAAACCATGGGCTGGGGAGCCTGGTTTGGAGGTGGGACCCCTCACTCTCAAGGTGTCTCTCCTAATTTTTATCTGCCGCATGTGGGTGTGGGACCAGCCTGTTCCATGTCTCCGCCCTTCTACCAGTCTTGATGTGGTTTCTTCTTTAATTCCATAGTTGCAGGACTTCCATTCAGCTTGATTTCTGGCAGTTTTGAACAATGGTTTTTCTAGTTTAGTTGTAATTTTGATGTGGTTGTATGAGAGCCCAAGCTATGTTTACCTAGGCCATCTTAGCTTTCTCCAGACTTCTTTACCCAAAATATAACTTTTTAGAACCTTTGTTTACCATATATATCAACTATACCATGACATGTCTCATGTCTATAAAGATTTTTACAAGTCAAGTTTATTAGCTTACCAATCTATAGATTTTAAGGTACTAGCTAAATGACTCAAAGTAGCACAGAGATAAAGGATCTCTGCCTGTCCTCTTTTGGGGTATCTTTATGGTATCCTAAGTTTTACAGGGGCACAAAATTCTTTATGTCCTGGATGTTTAAACACCCATATCACATAAATCCAATGTTTATGTCCTTCTTCTTCCTCCTTGAGGTCCTAAATAAGTATTTGAAAGTATATTTAAAAAAAAGTTCTTTACCTTTTTGATAGTAGTTACTTGACCAAGATAACCAGCAGTTCCACTCTCAATAAGAGGGACGTCAGCTGCCAGACACATTCTGTTAACATGGTTGCGGGCAGCTGGAAGAAAAATACTAGTTAGCAGGACTTCATTGGCTGGGACGGGGTGGGGGGGGGGGAATTAGTTAACGTTTAATTAGGATGACATTTACCCAAACTATCTGTTTTTATTTTACATGCAATTTATTTACAGCTGCCACAGTAATACAACTGCTACAGACATTTAAGAAACATTCACTAGCATAATTTCAAACATAAGGAATTTGTTTATCCCAGGAAAAGCCCCTCTATTTGTAATTTTTAAATTTCAAAGTGCCATCTTCTTCTATTGCTATGCCTACTCCATTAATCTTGACCAAAACATTGTTTCAATGTGTTCTGAATTCTTAACTTGCTATTTTTCTAATACAATTATTAGATAATACAGGAAAGTTTAGGAGAATGTGGAATATCAACTCTGAACTATTAAGGCAGTTTAAGGCTAGGTGAAAATGAGTTCAGTTAAAAGATTCAATCTGACCCTTTCTCATGCTACTTCGTATGTTTTTTTCTTTTGATATTTCTGTCCCAATACTGTTACAAGCTCACTTGATAGAAGAACTTTTACATGTGGAATTACAGGCAAGGAATATTAAGTATTTTCATCCCACATTCCGGACACACAGATTTGTTAAAAATGAATGGCTACATAACACTAAATTATACGAAACATCACCACATATTTTGAAAAGTTTTAGTTGGTCTATAATGTGTGCATCTAATAGAATCCAATCTAGTATCTTACAGCACAAGATATAATTCAAGAGCCATAGTTTCTGCATTAACTCTAGCATCCTGTTGCCTCACTCTCAAAACAGTGGTTTTCGGCCCTGATTGCACTTCAGATCATCCTGGGAACTCTGAAAAAATGATCCTGTAAGTCTGACTCAACTGGTCTTGGGTAAGATCTGGACATTGATATTTCTTAGATTTCCACATAAATGAAGGGAGTGACAGTGTTGAAGTGCTGGGACCATCTGAATCAAACCTCCATGCATATGCCCTATGTGATCATCTTCTTCAGTGTTTTAAGTTTCCTTATATTCACACATTTTGGTAGAATAGCAGAATATATGATCGCTAAATTCCTGCCTGGAACCAGTTTTAGTTAAAATTACAATCATTTGGCAGGATTTAAACCTGATCATATGTCTAAGTTCTAACTCATAAGGAAATGTTTTGATTAATTCTAAAATAATTCTAAATGTGTAAACAGCCTTGTTACGCAGGAAGAAAACTACTTACAGATTATAAGTATTAAAATAATCTCACCTCTGTTATCTAAAGCATTCATAACCAATATAAATTGTCGGAAAAATTCCACATTATAGTCAGGGCTACAAAGCAAAACAAAAAAAAAGGTCAATAAAACAACTGGCCTTACACATGATGTTCACAGTAAAATACAGGGTCCTGAAAAGCATATATTACAGTAATAATGGTGCAAAAATAACTGAAATAATTAGGGGTCTCTACATTTACATAGATTTGACTTTTTCTAAACACTGTAAGCAGATTTTAAAGAAATTACTTTCCCCTAATACCTACGAGGGGCTACACATCCTTTCTGGCCAGCTACCTAGGGCACAAGAGCAAGATATCCAACTAGCAGAAAGATGGCATGACTCCACTAGTCCCACCAGGCCTTCTCCGGGCAGCAAGTGCCTGGGAACACACAAAAAACACATTCCCAGGATCTGCCTGGCCTATGGCTTCACCTCACATGGTTAAGATCAGGCAGGGTTCAGGCCCCAAGAGTCCCTGCTTTTAGCAGCACTGGGAAAACAACGCAGGGCAAAGGGGTTATAGGGCTATAGGCAGGCTTGTAGAGCAAACATCCAGAGAATAAAAAAGCTGGGGACACAAATTCCCTGAGAAAGTATACGACTTCCTGTAATTCCAGAACTCAAATAAGAAATCATTTCCAATACCATTTACTTGTGAGCTACATAACAACTTCTGGTAAAGGATAGCTGAGCCCCTGTGCTAACACCTCCAAAATGCTGTATTTACTCTAGCTTTACTGAGATCACAGCATATTTATATACCGTCAACACTACTGCTCCATCGCAATTCCCAATGTTATACTACAGAAGTCAGTCCTAAAACTTAATTATATTGGAAAGGAACCTTTAAAACTGAAAAAGACCACAGCTGAAATCAATCAGAATGAGAGCAAATAATTTAGGAAAATTTGAATCATCACATAAAAGGATTTTGCATAGGGTGCAGTATCTTTTTACTTAAAACAAAAATATAACATCCTTTATTAGGTTTCCAAGTAACTTATTTATTCAAATTATTAAAGTACCTTGTCTCTTATCTAAATTGCTCAAATCATATATATAAACTATTACAAGAATGCCATTTAGCTTACATGGGCACAAACTACCACATTCTAATTATTCTAGCAAAATCATTTCTAAAAAGCAGAATGACTTCAAGCTCATATATCTGGCTAATAAAAATACCTTATACTTTAAAACTTTAATTGAAAATTCACAACAAACAATTTTGCAACATAATAAGAGCATACTTCATGATGCTGTCATGGTAGGCTATGATATTAGCTTTCGGGTAAAACTGCAGTACACTTTCTTTGGCAACCTGGAAAAACAAGCAACACTAAATTAATTTCTTATTTACTAAATACAACATTTCTAGCTGTATTTGAAATATACTTATGACAAACAATACTGCTGTTTTACCTACTTACATAATTTTATTCATATTAAAAACTGAAGAAATTCTAAAATGTCAAGATTTCATTAAAATTAGGCCATCCACACATATTTGAGGGCCACCTCACTCCTATATATAATTCTACAAGAAAAAACAAGCTTCAGCAAAAATATAAAATACAATACAGAAGTGTCATGCGTTCATTCAACAAATACTTACTGAGCACTTCTATGTACCAAGATCTGCATAACAAAGGCATTTGGTGAGCAAAGTGACAGTAATCAAATAACCATCTAGATAAATGTAACTACGAGCTATGAGAAATGATACACAGAAAAAGCAGAGGTTATTATGAGAGAAGTTCTGGTTTATTCTAAGAGATTTAGGACAGTACCCCTAGAGAAGGAGCCTAATGGAGAAAAGTGTGGGAGTTTGTCAAAAGGGCTGATGAAAAAACCAAAGGGAAAAGATGTTTTAAGACCCCGAATCAAAATGGAACATTCAAGGAACTAAAAGCCCTGGCTGAGTAATTTAGTTGCTTAGAGCAATGTCCACACCAATGTTGGGGTTCAATCCCCCCGGTCAGGACACATACAAGAATCAATCAATGAATGCATGGATATGTGGCACAACAAATCAATGTTCCCCTCTCTCTCTTAAAAAAAAAATCAATACACTTAAAAAAAAAATAAAAGAAATAAAAAGGAACTAAAGAAAGGTCGAGGGGGCTAGACCCTCAGGGGAGGCTGTCTCCTTTGAAAAGGGACAGCAGCACAGGCTGGTGTTGCTCAGCTGGCTGGGCGTAGCCCTGCAAAACACGCCTGGATTGCAGGTTAGGTCCCCAGTCCAGGCAAGTACAGAAGGCAATCAGCTGACGTTTCTCTCCCTCTTTTTCTCCTTCCCTTCCCTCTCTCGAAAATAAATAAAGTTTAAAAAAAAATTAAACAGGGACTGCATAAGCTGTAGCTTCTCTTGCTCCCAAATACAGGAGCAGCCAACCTCTAGAAAATGTAGGAACACAAGATTCATCATCAGCAAACAATCAGAAATTTAAATAAGAAAGGGATACCAGTTACAGGATTTGGTAGAGCACTTCCATTTCCTCAGCAGACCAAAAAAGGAGGGTGTCTTTAGTCCTTTGCTCCACATATCCTTTCTGGTCTTCACAATCTCTCAGCTAAAGAGACAGCTTCCCCATATTCTCCTTCCTACTAGATATCAAATTAATCTGACATCATAAACAGGCGATCCATCAAATGGTAGAAATATAAATGAATAAATAGAAATGGCACAAGAAATATAAAGTTACCTGGGCCTTTGATCTTCCAACATGTTTCTTTTGAAATAAAAACTGCCTGTTGAGGTTGCTGACATCAATAGTATCCAGATCAATCTACAAATGCATAAAACCCAGATTAATCACAAATTTTCTGGTATGTTTGAGCATTATCATTATTTTCAGCATCTATAACCAAGAACTTTTGATATTTGCTACATTAATGGAGAAAATGCTTTTTGACCAATACCAAAATTCTCAAACAATTTCATGCATTAAAAAAAAAAAAAAGATTTCACTTCAGAGATAATTTTCTCAGAAAAAAATTTCTTTTGCCTTGACTGGTGTGGCTCAGTGGGTTGAGTGTTGTCCTACAAACGGAAAGGTAAGCAGGTTCAATTCCCAGTCAGGGCACATGCCAGGGCTGTGGGCCAGGTGCCCAGTTGGGGGGCATGCGAGAGGCTTCTTAATCATCCCTTACATCGATGTTTCTCTCCCTCCCCTCCCTTCTCTCTAAAAATAAATAAATAAAATCTTTAAAAATATTTTTTTAGGAAGGATGCAACTATGTTAGTAAATTCCAGATTGGCCCTGGCCAGGTAGCTGTTAGTTTCAGGTTCTATCCACTGTCAGGGCACATATAAGAAATCAACCAGTGAATGCATAAATAAGTGGAACAACAAATCAATGCTTCTCTCTCTCTCTCTCCCTCAGCCAAAAAAAAAAAATAAAAAAATTCCATATAGAAAATGCATTATATAATCTATCCCTACCAACTGAATCTTTCAATCCACATATTAGATTTAACTGTGCCCTGCTTTTTTCCTTACTACTTGACAAATTTATTGAATTTTGCTAATTTCCATAATTAAAAAATCTTCAACACATACAGTTTCATTTACATATGTTTCCAGAGGGCTGTAAAGAAAAATTTGTACCCAAGATTTTAAGTGTCATGTTTTAAGTCTTAGCTAATTGTTGCTCAAAAGCAAATATAAAGGAAGAAAATAATGACTAAAGTCATTTTCATTCAATAAACTAATATGCAGAATAATTAAATGTTCCAATTGTGAAACACCTTAATGGTTTTGGTTATAATTTGTGAAAATCATCAACACACATAACCAACCACCTAAACAATTTTTCCTTTGTACTTTCAAAACTTACTAAAAAAATTTGAATTAAAAATTTTACTACAAAAATGAAACCAAATAAGAAAGGATCAGCATTTATTTTCAGGTGCCCACTGTCTTGTCTATTAAAAATGGTTCTTTTAAACAATCATCAAGTATCAGGTGAGGCACAACCATATTTGAATTTGTGGTACAGAAGGGAAAGGGAAGACAAACGTTATATAAAGCCAAAGGAAAAAAATGTGTACATTGTTCCCCCCAATCATTCATTTATAAGCTCAGTCAGATATCTCTACTTTTTTTTCTACCTTTTTTTTTTTTTTTCCATTTCATGTTTCCACTACATCTTAAGACTCTCCAAACTTCCATCCAATTCCAGGAAATATCTCTAATCTCTAAAACGTTTATTTTAATAGAAATAACTTGACTTCGAATTAGTCACTGTAAACTTGTGCAAAAGTTAAAATACTAACCAACGTCTTTGATGAAATTAGCAAGTGTATTATCTATGGTAATAGTAATGACAGTCACGCTTGCTGTACCCAGAAAAGCAAGAGCTCCAAAGTTCTGCCACTTTGCTTCGTGACGCAAGGTAATTTACTAAACCCCACTGCATCTCACTCTTCTTCCCATCAGTTAAAAAAAAAAAAATGATGAAAGTAGCGTTTTCGACCATACAGTGGGAGCGAAGATTACATGTCGTTAACCCAACTAAACCCCTCAGGACCTCCCCAAGGCTGAGGACAAGCGCTCACTTGGATAGTAATACCGCCACCCTCTGCCCTGGATCATTATTTCTGAGTTCAGGGGGCCCTCTGATTTCAACAGTCACAATGTGCACTAGAAAGTCAATCACCTCCTGCCTCCCGTTAAAGCTAGGAAATGCTCCACAGCGACAAGAAGCCGCTTCTACACCCTAGAGACGCCACAAATTGGCGCTGCCCTGGAGGCGGAGGCCGTCCCGCCGCGGGACGCCCGGAAGACTGGGGCCCGCGGCCTCCTCGGTATCCCGAGCAGGCCCAGGGAGCAGCGAGGCCCGCTCCGTCCCCGCCGAAAAGCTTCCTCGGTTCGTCTGGGACCCCGGGGCCTCTTGGCCTGCCGTCGCACCCCAACTCCGTTCCCGACCCCCGGGCCCGGGCACCACGGCCCACCATTCAGCCCGCGCGCACGCCTGACCCTCACCAGGTCGATGTGGGTGAACCCAGTGAGCACGAGGTTCTTGAGGAGCTCACAGCCAATGCCGCCCGCGCCCACCACGAGCACCCGGCCCCCGGCCACGGCCTCGGCCAGCTCCCGGGGAAGCCCCCGCGACAGAGCCATGGCGGGACAACCACGAGCGGCGACTCAGGCGGAGGCGGGAGAATTGAGCCGCGGCCGGAAACGGGTGGGGGAAGGGCGGCCTGGCTTCCGTTTCTGCGCACTGCGGCCGCCAGTCGGCGCCAGGTGCGGGCGGCCTAGGACCTCGAGAGTGGGCCTCCCGTTCCCAGGCTGGACTGTAAGCAGGGGTATTCTTACACCTGCGGCTGTACTCCTGTCTAGCAGCGTTCTTACTCTTCTTCTTTTTAAATTTATTTATTAGAGACAGGGGAAGGGAGGGAAAAAGAGAGGGAAACTTGGACTGGTTGCCTCTCACACGCCGTGGGCTGGGGACCTGACCCCACAACCCAGGCATGTGCCTTGACCAGCAATGTTCAGCGACCTTTCACTTAACCTGAGGACATTCAACCCACTAAGCCACATTGGTCAGGGCTGGTCGTGTTCTTTACATACATACGCAGACCCGCTATCCAGTTTAAGAAGCCTGAGGGTCACCTTGTAGCCTGTTGTTTGAACTGCCTGCCAAGATTTCTTTTCAGGTTAGAAAACAGATGCCTGTAAATGTAAAGAGCTCTTACAAATTAAGAAGAAAATGAATGTCATTCCCCACCCCCTTCCCCCAAAAAATATAGGCAAAAGATGTTAACAGGCATCTTTTATTGAGGTATTTTCTCAAAAGAAAATACAATCAATAAGCATATTGAAATTTAATCAAAGAGATGCAAAATTGTATTTATTTTACCTATCAAACCAGCAAAAAGTTGGGAGGGGGATTAGATGTCTGGGTGAAAAAGATGAAGGGATTAAGAAGTACAAATTGGTAGCTACAAAAGTGTCATTAGGATGTAAAGTACAGCATAGGGATTATAGCCAATACTATAACTACGTACAGTGTCAGGTGGTTACTGGATTTATTGGGGGTGACTTCATAAGGTGTATAAGTGTCTAATCACTGTTGTATATGTCAACTGTAATTGAAAAAATATTTTTTTAAAAGGCAAAAAAAAGTATAACACTTGTCAAAGGATAGGAAAACAAGCATGGCTAAAGCAGAGCTTTTAAGCATATTAAAAACTTCAGGGGTTTAGTTGAGCAAAAATCGATTCAAATCAGGCAGTGCCCAATCTAGCAGATAGGCACTCCAAGAAACTGTACAAAATAAAAGACTTTTGCAGACAGAAGGGAGCGGGAACAAGAAAGTTATACTAGGCAAAAAAAAGTGGGTTATTGCAAACTTTCCTTTAGAGGATGACGGGTTTATTAGGCAAATAACCTAATTTGGTGATATGGAGCTTAGCATAAGTAACTCCATTTTGGGCCTATCGTCTTTTTTACTTAACAAGGATAATTTGGAAATATGATTCAAAAACTCTAAAATTATGCATAGCTTTTGAATCATTCATTCCAATTCAAATAATTCATCCTATGACAATAATCACTAATTTAAAAAAAAAGAGCCATAGGGATGGATGTTCCTCACAAGAAAATTGGAAATAAAAACAAAAATTTGTATTTTTGCTGCATATTAAAAAAAAGTACTTATGCAGCAATACAAATTATGTCCTGAGCAAATACTGTTGGGGGAAATGCTCTCAATGTCACAGATATAAAACTATTTATATGACTAAATTATGTAAAAACAAAAACAAAAAATATATTTGTTAAAATCAAAAGCAAATGGAGATCAGTTTTGGAGGTTCCCTGAACTGACAAAACCACTTTAGTCAATATTTTAGTTTAATTACCAACCACCATGGAGACACTGCTTTATCATTGTATAAGCTGCTTTGTAACTATATATCCCTGAGTCTTATTCCATGTTTTAGTTTGAGTGGTCCCAGTTTGCAAACTGTCCTTTCGGTGTGTGCACAATAAACTTTTACTAATGACTACTTCCGTGATTCATTGGTTTTACTTTGGCTGAAACTTTGACAATTAAAAAACAAGAAAAAAGCCATAGTTAATATTTTTGTTAATCTGTGTGGTGGAATTATAATTTTTATTTCTTCTTTAAAGTTTTTCTTTTATTATTACAGTTGTCCCAATTTTTTTCCCTTTTCCCCCATCCACCCAACCCACCCCTCTAGCCCACAGTCAATCCCCTTTCCATTGTCCATGTCCATGCGTCATTCATACATGTTCTTTGACTAGTCCCTTCCCCTTCTTTCCACCATTTCCCCCCCCCTTTCCTCCCCTACTTCAGCTGTCAGTCTATTCCATCCATGTCTCTGGTTCTATTTTTCTTGTTAGTTTATTCATTAGATTCCAGTTATAGGTAAGATCATATGGTATTTGTGTTTTGCTAACTGGCTTATTTCACTTAAAATAATCGTCTCCAGTTCTGTCCATGCTATCATAAAAGATAGGACTTTTTTCTTTCTGCTACATAGTATTCCATTGTGTAAATATACCACAGTTTTTTAATCCACTCATCCACTGATGGGCATTTGGGCCGTTTCTAACACAGCTAGAACTATGGAATGCTGCACAAATTTGCAGGTCAGTCACCCTTGCACAGGAACCATGCTAATCCTCTCTGTGTCGCTCCAGTTTTAGTATATGTGCTGCCAAAGCGAGCACTCTTAAGTTTTGTGTATTTTTCAGATGCTCATGCTCCTCAAAGAAAATGTTTTAAAATCAGAAAATTATCCAACCACTGATAAGGGTAATTACGTAATATATTAGAGGTGTTAAATATTGCAACAATGGCAATCATAAACAATGTCAACAATATGTGTATCAAATCAATGCATTGTACATTTTAAATTTATGCAACATTATGACAAATATATTTATTAAAAATATTATTAGCCCTGGCCAAATAACTCGTTGGTTAGATTGTTGCCCCAATATGCCAAGTTTGCAGGTTCAATCCCTGCCCAGTCAGGGCACATAAAAAGAATTAACCAATGACTGCGTAAGTGGAATAAATCAATGCTTCTCCCTAAAATCAATTAAAAAAATTATTAGAAGAAAAAAGGTGAAGAGGGAAAACAGAGAAAAACCACTTTTGAATTCTGAGGTCTTTCTCTTATCAACTACTTGATTCTCTTACTACACACCAAACTGATTTGTGAGAAATACTTAGGCTGTTGCTCTGATGCATAAGGCGCAGAAGTGTTGAGTGCCAAACCAGGGTAGGGGAAAAGCTCTGCGTACTGGGTTACTGATGTTCCTTTCCTATTATTGGGCTGGCTCTCACAAAGGCCCCACCTTTGCAGCTAAGCCTAACAAAGGCCCTCCAAGAGGGTGCTGAACTTACTTCTCCCTTCACTCAGTGAATGGGAGCCATCCTCCTCGGCTTTTCTCCTGCCTCCAACTTCTTCTCCTGGGCCTAGGCTGGACTGGGCTCCTAATTCTGAGGAACTCTGCTTTCCTTTGTGGATGGGTCTGTGTGTATGTGTAAAGTGTAAAATACTTGCTCACAAAGTTCAAATAGGCTGTAAGTAGATGAAGTAAAAGCTGAAAGTCTCATCCACACCCTAATCCTACTCCTTTGCTGGCCTTTGTCTTTCCAGATCTAGGTTTTTTACATAGCAATATGTAATTCTACATTTAAATGGGTTTGCACTGGGCTTATTTGCACTTTCTGCCTTAACAAATAACAACTGTACCCTTGTTTACAGTGCCTGAAACCTCTCATGACTGGCTCCCCCCAGCCTCCCAATATCTTTTTTTCATTTAACTGAAAAACATAAGGTGATGGCTTGAACCATTTCTGGGAGTTACTCAGCTTTCCTGAGTCTCTCTCATATATACAGGTGGTATATGTTATTAAATTTTTCTTCTGGTAATCTTTTATTACACTGTGGGTGTCTCAGCCAAGAATCTAGAAAGGTAAAAGGGAAAATATTTTTCCTTCCCTACAAAACCCAACATGCCTGAAGTCTCACTGACCAGCACCTTTGGTTTGTATACAGCCAGCCACTTTCTTCCCTCAGGTGCCCAAGGGGGCAGACTCAGGTAAAGTTCTAACCAGGCATACACTGACTAGGAAAACCCCACCTCATAATAATCTGGGCCTAATGTGTTATTTATCAGAGCGGCAAACCAAATTGTTTTTACCCAGTTTCCTTATCTCATCAGGCAGAGAGCAGATCTGTACAAAACTGGTGTGAATGTTTTCATACTGCTGTCATGGGGTAGCAGAATGGATGGGGTTAATAACAAAAACTGAACAGAAAGAGGATGAAACCAGAAAAGTCAATGTTTATGCTGCCCGTCACTACCAAACAAGTAGAGACAAGGATTGAATCTTTACAGGTGCTTTATTCAGATGGCCAGCGATCTGAGAGCGGGTTATGTATCCTAAAAGACCATCTTATATCTCATCTTAAGCCAACCTTTTTTTATAAGAAGAGAGTGGGTAAGGTGTTTGGAATTCAGAGAAAAAGGTTAATCAGATAAAAGCTGCAGTCCTACGATTTTACTTGCATCCCTTCATCTGCTGACTGGTGATTACCTGCGTCCCTCCTCATGTATGCTCCCTCCCTGAAGCACGATGGCTCAGACACCATCTTGATCACCTGCAGTCCTGCTGGGGCACAAAGGTAGAACTGCTTGTGTGTCTCCTGGAGTCAGGCTAGGTCCAGTCATACATTCCAGTTTCTAGAACAGTAACTCTCTACAGGCATTAATCACCAAGCCTGTTAATTATGTAACTAAAGCTAAAAAACTGGCCACTCTTGAGTTCCCCCATCAAGTAGAAACTGGAAAAGTAGATGATGGCTGGATGCAAGGACAATGCCGGTGATAATGCAAAGGCAGAAGGTAGTGTCAACTTAAGAGATGTTCAAACCTGTAGTGAATTTTTTAGTTTAAATTGACAACAGGAAGCAAAATCTGAAGAGATTAAAAAAATGCTCCAGATGGTAGTTTTGCAGCTTATTTTATACACAGAATAAAAAGAGGAGACATAAGGAGGGTTACATGAAATCCATTGGTAGTAGATTAAGAGTTGAGAGAAAGCAAAGTAGGGAAAAATAGAGAAACGTATTTCTTTTACACTGGTGGGTACAGGATAGTTAATAATTTAACATCTACAGCACACAGAGATGGTATGAGGTTCTGTGGTCGAGCTCCGGTGCCAAAGTCGTGCCTTGAGAGGTCTGGGAAAGATCACTCTCAGATTTCAAAGGTATGTTATCTTAGATGAAAAAGACAATAGACAGGTTCACTGAAGGTAAAGAGTGACCTTCATTAAGGAAGCTGAAGGTCTAGGACATGACTACCCACCATGACTTGCTTTTAGTTAGGAAGTTTTATGTTCAGACCATCCTGTGGGATTACTTTCAGTCCCTGAGTTTGTAAAGCCTCCATGTAGGACTCCCCTGAGCTTGTCAGGTTTAGTATATGGCCCTTTTTAGTCCACAGTAGGAGGGCAGGGAGTGTGAGGTGGGAGAAGGGGGGGGGGGCGCGGGGGGAGGCAGTTGTAACAGCTAGAGTCACAGGATAAGAGCCTGAAGCGGCTGGAGTAGGTGGAGTGGCTCGATTTATCAGCATCCAGGGGCCTCAACAGAGTTCAGGAAGGTGCAGAGGCAGCAGGTGTGATTAGATGCTGACCACTGCTCATGGCTCTTCAACTGTTCTTCCTCCTAGATGCCCACCAGGCTGCATGTGCAGGGAATACCTGCCCTCTGGGCTACAGAGGAGTCCCAGTCCAAGCTTCCACTGTGGAAAACAAAGGCCACTGCCCCTGGAAGGATAGATAAGCCCACAGCCACGACGTTTGAAATCTCGTTTCAGTCCCAGCGTGGTGCTGGAAAGTGAGACAACACTTAAAAACAAGAGTGATAACTTGGTAAGTCAAAATGCAGTAAAAACACAAATTTGGACATTAATAGTTGTTTTCATTTATATAAATAAAGGGAAATATTCTACTTCAATAATAATTCATCTGGGTCTTCTTGTACAATACAAAATTCTTCCATGGGAGTCTGCTGATTTTGAGGCCAGCAACTCTTCTCACATGTGTAAATTAAAATTGTTCCAAATTCCACAGAGAGACCTGAAAAATATAACATATTCAGGATTCCAGCAAAGAGAAAGTGTTATGAGAAACACTCAATATTTGAGTTTGCTTAGTGGACACAATCTAGACACTGGAGCAAAACTGTTTAGGTTCATATTCCAGCTCTACCACCACCTGGAGCAAGTGACTTCACCTCTCTGTAATAATGACTCTATTCATCATGATGATAAGACTGTTGTGAGGGAGATTAAATAAACTAATTCATGTAAGATACTCATTACAGAGCCTGGCACATCTTATCTGTTCACCATCCAACAGAGGTTAAACAATTAGATGCTAATAGAAGGAAAGGAGAAAGATAGCTCAATATTAGGAAAACTGGTGTTGATCCAGGGAATCATTTTACCTTACAAGCTGAAAAAAGAATGATGTAAAGCAAAAGCAGTGCTTACTTACTTTCAGTCACAATACAGTCACACTCTTTCCTACTGTAAATGACCACTGAGGACAAAAAGCAAATTTAACAGGAAAATATACTTTAAAAATAAAATAAAATCTAAACAAGTCTTCATTACAGTTGTCTAGACTATCTGACACTGAAAATCATTTTAAAAATATATCGTTCTACCAGAACACACTACCTCCAAGAAAGGATTCAGGCAAAATATAGAAAATCAATTCTAAGAGTTTATAGAAATGTATCAATTGATAGAGCCAGGAAGAATGGTACCAAGAAAACATGAGCACCAACAACTGCTAATATCAGGACTGGAAGACAGGACAAGATGAGGTGGGTAAGTGGTTTGAAGTGCTCAAGGAAAAATATTTTTTAAAAAAATGTAGGCAGAGATAATGGAAAGAAAATGATCAAGGACAGAAGAAAGAAGGCCAAAACACAGCTCATTTGGGAGAAATAACCTAGTGTATTTGAAATAATTTCTAACAAGAATGTGCAATAGGCAATTGCAGAGGGCAGGAAAAGGCTGGAGCCTTGGAACTAGTAACCACCAGGATAGGGGGAAAGGCAGTGCAGGAAATAAAACACCAAGTATCTGAGCAGTGAACATAAACCTGAGCTCAGGGACCTGTCACAGCTGGCGGGTGAAGGAGGGGTTGGAGAAAGAGGAAATGTATGAAGGTAAAAACAGCCCCATTACACATCTAATGAAAAATATCGGAAACCACAACAGAAAAGACAGGTGAAACCTAATTATAGGCAGAAAGGAAAGACTTGAGGGAGCCTCAATGAATGTAGAGGTAAAGGAAAAAGATGTTAATTTAATGTGGATTTGAGAGGAGAAAGGTGACTAAAGCAACTCATGTTGTTTGAGTCAAAAAGCTACAAATGCAACAAAAAATAAATTCAGAAATTAAAAGGAAGAAAAACTACATATATGGGTCTGAAAACCCATTGTGGCCCGTGATAAAAGGATTGTAGAACAATGGGACAGCAGGAAGTAACTGGTTTACTGACTGGACTTCATGAATAATGAAAATTCTACAGGTATCCCCAGCATAACTTAGTTACAAGGGGGGAACAGAGGCTACCCTCAGACTCCTACAAGGTAACATTCAATGCCAAAAGATACCTATGTAAAAGTGAAATATCTCATGAATTTTCAGAAAAAAATGTATTTCTTAGTGAAACCCAGCCATGGGAGTTGACAAAGGCAAGAAGTAAAAGGGCTGGTGGACTCTTGGCTCTCACTATAAAGTGACAGCATGGAGCCTAAAATGTTCTAAAGAAAATGGGGCTTGAGAATTTTATAGATGGGTTATCCTTCAGATACAAAGACAGACTAGCACACACATTCCTCTTTTCTTATTATTGTTTTGAGAGAGAGAGAGAGAGAGAGAGAGAGAGAGAGAGAGAGAGAGAAATACTGATTTGTTGTTCCACTTATTTATTTATGCATTCACTGGGTGGTTCCTGTATGTGCCCTGACGGGGCCTGAATTTACAACTTTGGTGTATCAGAAGGATGCTCTGACCAACTGAGCTACTGGGCCAGGGCCTACACACACATTCTGAAGGACTAAGCCTATGAGCTGTCCCAGTGGCTGCTACTTAGAATAGAACCTAGCTACCAGAGAAGAATCAAAGTAAAGGATTTAGGTATAGTAAAGCTAAAATGTAGATTGGTGCAAACACCGAAGTCATTTAAACATGTAACTAAGGTTAAACAGCTGAAGAATTACTTTTAACTTGATAAAGTAAAAAATGATACTAAAATATTTGGTGGTAAAGTAGGATATAAATTGTTCTCTTCCCCTCATGGATTTTGTGACACCTGTCACAAATTGCTTACTTTTTCCCTTTTAGACAGAATGATTAAAAGTACACAACCAGCACTGGCTGATGTGGCTCAGTGGGTTAAGCGCCAGCCTAAGACCCAAAAGGTCACTGGTTCAATTCCCAGTCAGGGCACATGCCTGGGTTGCAGGCCAGGTCCCCAGCTGGGGCCATGTGAGAGGCAACAACCAACCAACCAATGTTTCTCTCTCTCCTTTCCCCATCTCTCTAAAAAATAAATAAAGCCTTTTTTAAAAAATAGTTTACAACCAACTTTATAACCCATTGTCAACAAGTATTTTATGTATTTATGACTTTCTGACATGTATTTTATATGCTACTCTTATTTCTAATTCTACTCTTATTTTCTTTGACTAATTTTTCTCATTTATTTGAAACAGTATATAAAATTCCTGAATTTTAAGCATGTTTGCAACTTAAGTCATTTTTAGAACATAATATTTATTGATTCTGTGAAGATCTACTAAGTGAAAAGTAGTTTTTAAAAAAGTTATTCTTGCCCTGACCAGTGTAGCTGAGTTGGTTGGGCATGCAGCCCGCAAAGAGAAGCGTTGCGGGTTAGATTCCCTGTCAGGGCACGAGCCTGGGCTGCCGGTTTGTTCCCGGTCTGAACGCATAGAAGAGGCAGCTGATCGATGTCCCTCTCTCATATCACTGTTTCTTTCCCTCTCTTTCTCCCTCCCTTCCCCTTTCTCTAAAAATAAATAAAGAAAATCTTTTAAAAAATTTATTCTCTGGTTAAAATGTCTTAACGTTAAATTATTGGTTTGAATTCTTTAAATGCAAAGTTAATTACTCCTGGGTATTCATGACAGTTCTCTAAAATAACATAACTGAATTGAGATTCTACTGAAGGATTATGGATTACTAAAATGTCTCCCTAGAATGCATTTTCAGCAGAAAGGTCCATAAATCAGAGCAAAAATTAGCATGCCAATACAGAAACATGAAATGATCAAACAATTCGCTAATGAAGCACATGGTCTCTAGATTTTGTTAAAGTGGATACTAAGTTAAAGCTCACCTGCAGAAATAGAGCCATCTGGAAAAAGAAGGGTTTAAATTTTCTTATCTATTATAGTAAAGAGCCAAATGCTACAATCTAAGAACGAAACATGGAATGAATAATAATTCTCTTAATTTCAGAAGGAGCTTTTAGAAACTAGGACCTCTTGAGTGACGGACTCATTACCTAAAGTCCAGCAATTGCTTCACTTACACTTAATTTTCTTTATGTTAAACTTGCATGATTTTATTCTAATATTTTTATTTACTATGTACTGAATTTTTGTTTTTAGAAACTTATTTCCCGTGCCATCCATCCAACTTTCCACCTGTATTTATTTCAAGAATGATGACTGAAATGATTTATTGATGTTAATAATGAAAGTTCACCAGACATTTACAGAAAACTCTCCCATATAACATTCAGAGATCAAAATACGCACAGAAAAAAGACAAACTGCAGGCAATAGGCAATGCAGGTAAGAAGTGAAAACTTAAAAAAAAAAAAACCAGAATACTATTTGAAGATATAAAAGCTACTTAACTCATAAAATATAAAAGGTGGTATGAAAAAGTTTCAAAAAACGAGGAGCTTTTAAAAAATAAAAATAAGACAGCTAAACTAAAATTCAAGAGAAACGTTAGAAGATACAATTAACAAAGACATGACGATAAAAAAAAAAACAAGCCAGGCCCAACTATCAACTACCAGTGATTCTCAACCTTTTTCATCTCACAGCACATATAAACTAATTACTAAAATTTTGCTGCACACCAGAAAATATATTTTTTCCAATCTGACCAAAAAAAAAAAAAAAAAAAAAAAAGTATAATTTTGATTCATTCACACCAGACAGCTATTGTTGTGTTGGCTGTTGTCATTTTTAATTTGACAATCTAATGGAAAAAGGTCAGCGCCCCTAGCTAGTAAGATATTGTATAGCTGGAGTTCTTTAAAGACTTTATTTATTTTTAGAAAGACGGGAAGGGAGGGAGATAGAGAGGGAGAGAAACATCTGTTTCTGAGAGAATAAACTGGTTGCCTCTCGCACACACTCAACTGGGGACCTGGCTCACAACCCAGGGACGTGCTGTGACTGGGAATCGAACTATCGACCTTTCAGTTTGCAGGCCAACATTCAGTCCACTGAGCCACACCAGCCAGGGCAGATATTGTTTTAAAAATTCTTGTGGCACACCAGTTGAAAATTACTGATCCATGAGATTCCATCTGTGTGAAGTTCCAGAACAGAATCAAATTCATAGGGGAACAGAGAAGAGTAATGACCTTAGACAGGGAGGGGCTAACTGACTGGGAAGGGGACACAGGGGTCAATCTGGGACACTGGAAGCATTCTCTTTCTTTATCTGGGAGGTGAGTTTAAGAGAGACAGAGAGAATATTTTTTCCCTCTTATATATATACAAATTCATCAAGCTATACACTTAAGATCAGTGCACTTTCTATGTGCTTTCTTTTTAAAAGAAATACAGGGATAGGCGTATGTCCTTTTATTAAGCTTCACTTTATCGTGCTTTGTAGATAATGAGTTTTTTACAAATTGAAGGCAAGACCCTCCATCAACATAAAGATCAGTATTCAACTGAAAACTCAGATGATGGTTAGTACTTTTTAGCAATAAAGTATTTTTTAATTAAAGTATGTACATTTTTTAGATACAATGCTATTGCATACTTACAGACTACAATACACTATAAACGTAACTTTTATATATGCACTGGGAAACCAAAAAATTCATGTGACTTGCCTTATTTTATTTGCTTTATTGTGGCAGTCTGGGACCAAACCCGCACTATCTCTAAGGTAAGCCTGTACATGGCAAGGGTTTCCTGGTTATGACACTAAAAGCACAGATAACAACAGTAAAAACAGACAAATTAGTCTATTTCAAAATTAAAAACTTATGTGCAATAAAGGACACAGAAAACAATGAAAAGGCAATCTACAGAATGGAAGAAAATATTTGCAAATCCTATGTGATAAGGGGTTAGTGCTACAATAGCACATATAAAAAGAACTTCTACAACTCAAAAACAAAGAAACCAGATGACCTGAGTTAAAAATGGACTTGAGTAAACACTTCACCTGAAGTGATATGTAAATAGTTAACAAGCTATTTATATGAAACGATGTTCATATCACTAATCATCAGGAAAATGCAAATCAAAACAGCAGTGAGATACTACTTCGCACCTGTTAGGAATGGTTACTAGCAAAAAACCCCACAAAATAACTGTTGGTGAGGATGTGGAGAACCTGGAACCACTGTGCACTGTTGGTTGGGAATATAAAATGGTGTAGATACTATAGAAAACAGTATGGTGGTTCCTCAAAAAATTAAAAAATAGGACTATCATGTGATCCAGCAATTCCACTTCTGGGTATATACACATATATATAAAAGAATGAAAAGCAGGATCTCAAACAGGTATTTATACATCCATGTTCATAGCAGCACTAATTACAAAAGCGAAGAGGTAGAAGCAGACCCAAGTATCTATCAAGTGAGCAAAATGTGGTATATCCATATGACAAAATATTATTCAGTCTTAGGAAAAAAATTATGACACATGCTACAGCATGGATGAACCTATGGACATCATGCGTAGTAAAATAAAGCAGTCACAAAAGGACAAATACTGCATGATTCCACTTATATGAGGTATCTAAAGTAGTCAAATTCATAGAAACGTAAAGTACACGGGTGATTGCCAAGAGCTGGGGAAGTGATAAATGGGGAGTTACTAATGGATATAAAGTTTCAGCTTTGCAAAGGAAAAGTTCTAGATGCATAACAATGCGAATAAACTTAACATTACTGGATTGTATACTTAGAAATAGTTAAGATGATAAATTTTATGATACCTATTTTTAACCACAATTTTAAAAAGTAAATAAAGTACAAAGTTGGGTAAAACTTCCAAAAAGCAAAACAAAAACCTGACAACAAAAAAAGAAAAAATAAAGAACCAAATTAGAAAATCAAACATTTGACTAACAGAAGTTCTGGTAAAAGCAGAATAAAAAAAAATAAAAGAGGAAGAAAAAAAAAATCAAAGAAATTGAAGGACACGAGTTTCTGAACTAAAAACACCCACCTAATAACTCAACCCAATACATAAAATTCCAGAATATCAAGGATAAAGTGAAAATTATTAAAGTGACACAGAATCAAAATAGTTAATGTTGAAAGGAACGGACAGTCAGATGGCGCTGTTCTTTTTCAATAGCACAGAATACTAAAACAATGGGGCAATATCTTAAAACTTCCGGAAAAAATTATTCACATCTTAGGATCCCATATCTAACTATATTATGAATTGAACATAAAAATAGAATAAATATATTTTAAAACTCATGTGGTATTCAAATATTAATACAGCATACACTTTGGCAGGATATACACTAAAATTGGAACAATACAGAGATTAGCATGGACCGTGGGCAAGGATGACACACAAATTCCTTAAGTGTTCCTTTTTTTAATAAATAAAATACATATTAATAAATGAATGAGCAAAATTAATACATTTCCTAAAGAATGAATGTCTGTAAATTGGTTTAACTGCCTCCATGAAATCTAATTGTTATAACAATTGCTTTGCTGTCATAAAGGTTCTTCCTGTTGTCTTTGTAAGAATCATCAAAGGCAGTATGTAGCTGCTTACTGGTGTTTTTCTTAATTGAAATCCAATTCACATGTCATAAAATTAACCATTTTAAAGTGTATATTCGGCCCTTGCTGGTGTGGCCCAGTGGATTGAGCAATGGACTGTGAACTGAAAGGTCGCCAGTTCAATTCCCAGTCAGGACACAGGCCTGGGTTGCTGGCCAGGTCCCCTGTGGGGGAGCAGATGAGAGGCAACCACACATTGATGTTTCTTTCCCTCTCTTCCTCCTTCCCCTCTCTCTAAAAATAAATAAAATCCTCTTTTAAAAAGTGTATATTCAGTGTTTTTTAGTATATTTACAGAGGTATACAAACATCTCCACTATCTACTTCAACAACATTTTCATCACACCAAAAAGACAGTCTGTGGCCATATCCATTAGCAATCACTCCCCATTCTCTCCTTCTCCTAGCACTTGCAAACCACTTATCTACTTTCTGCTTCAATTGATTTGCCTAATTTTGGCATTTCATATAAATGGAATCATACAATTTGTAGTCTCTTGTGTGTGGCTTCTTTCACTAAGCATAATGTTTTCAAGGTATAACCATGTTGTAGCATGTGTAATAATTCATTTCTTTTTATGGCTGAGTAATATTCAGTAGAGATCCCACATTTTGTTTATGCATTGATTAGTTGATGGACATTTGAGTTACTTCCACTCTTTGGCCATTCTAAACAATGCTGATATGAGTGTGTGCACATAAGTTTTCAATTTTCTTGTGTATATATACCTAGGAGTGGAATTGCTCCTTTTTAGACAATATTCACAAAGCTTTTCCAAAATTTTATACTGCCAAAGATAACGAGAAATCAATACTCTCCTTTGTGGCTTAGAGCAACATGAACTTGTACAGACCTTTTAAGCAGCGTAACTTAGATAATACTTACACACAAAGCTATTTAAAAGAATGAAGAAAAAAAAAAACCAGGAATAGACAGGAACTTCAACCTGAGAAAGAGCATTTGCAAAAAAACCTACAGTTAACAGGTTATTAATGATTAAAGACTGACTTCTTACCATCTATGGCCAAAAATATGACAAGGATGTCAGCTCTCATTATTTACATTCAACACTGTATTGGAGGTAGTCAGTACAATAAGGCAAAAAATTAAAAAAAATAAAAAACAGCTAAGAAAACGAAGAAGTAACTCTGTCTTCATTCCCAGATGAATGGTTGTCTACATTTAAAACCTTATATAATCAACAGAAACATCAACAGAACTTTTACACAGGGCATAAGATGAATATACAAAAATCGACAGTGGGAGTAATGTCAAGGAAGGTGGCAGAATAGGATGCTCCAGGGATCTTACTCTGCACACAAGCTCAACTGAGCTGGCAAAACTACCTGAACCAATTACTGTGGAATTCTGGCATCTAGTCAAAACTTCATCTGACAGCGGACAACTGATTAAGAGGCTGGTGAATTTCAGGTATTCTCCTTGTTTCCTTTAGCAGCTAGCTATTAACCCACATCCAAGAAGTTCAACCAACATCAAGCAGGAAAAAATTGAAAACAGGAATTCTTTAGGTTGAAAACTGAAAGGGCCCATCAGACCAGGCACTTTATAGTCAAAATGTTAAACCTCAAAGACAAAGGTAAGTTTGAAAGCAACAAGATAAAAGTAACTAGTTACAGAAAGGACATCCTCAGTAAGTCCCCCCCACCCGCCCCTCATTAAGATTTAACAGCTGGTTGCCCTGACCCCTATGGCTCAGTTGGTTGGGCATAGTCCTGCAAAGCTCAATGTCCCCAATTCAATCTCTGGTCAGAGCACATGCCTGTGTTGCACGTTCGGTCCCCGGTCCGGGCAAGTACAAGAAGCAACTGATGGATGTTTCTCTTCCTCTTTCTCACTCCCTTCCCCTCTTTCTAAAAATAAATGAAATCTTCAAAAATAAAATTAAAAAAATTTAACACCTGACTTCTCAGAAACCATTAAGGCTAGTAGGCAACAGGATGATATATTGAAAGTCCTGAGAAAAGGAGTATAAACCACGAATTGTATAGCCACAAAGCTATCCTTCAAAAATGAAGGACAATTAAGACATTATCAGATTTTTTAAAAGATGAAGAAGGTTATTACTAGAAATATTAAAAGGAATTCTTTAGGTTGAAATTAAAAGACACTAGAGAGTAACTCAAAGATAAAAAGCAAAAGTTAACTTCATAAAAGCCAGCTCTGCTTTATATACTTTTGGTTTAGCTTCTAATTTCTTTTCACTATGTGATTTAAAAGGCAAATGCATAAAATAGTAATTACTAGTCTATGGTAATACATACGTAAGGTATAAAGATAGAATCTGACAGTAACAATATAAAGGGAGGGGAATAGAGGTATATATAAAAGTATAGTGTATACTACGAAAACAAAGTTCTCATTATTCAAATTAGATTGTTATAATTTTAAGATGTTAATTGTAATCCCCAAAGTAACCATTAAGTAACTAAAAAACATACAGAAAATGAAAGGCGGCAACCTAAATAGTGTACTACAAAAAAATCACCTATATATAAAAAGGGCAGTAACGGAGGAATTGACAAACAAAAATATTATAAAATATAGAGAAAATAAATAGCTAAATAGCAAAAGTAAATACTTGTTTATTAGTAATGACATGAAACGTAAATAGATTAAACTCTCGTATTTTAAAAAAAGACATTGGCAGAATGGATAGAAAAAACAAAATCCATGTATACACTATTAGAGACCCTCTTAAGATACAGGGACACAAAGAGGATGAAAACAACAGGACAGAAAAAAAAATTATCTCAGGCAAATAGTAACCAAATAGATCTAGGATGGCTATATTTACTGTAAGAGAAAATATACATCAAATCAAAAAATGGTTACAAGAGACAAAAAGGGATGCTGTAATTTGATAAAAGGTTCAACAGGGCAAGAAGATATGATAATTATAAACACATATGCTTCTATTTGCAGAGACCCAAGATATATGAAGCAAAAGTTGACAGTATTGAAAGGAGACATAGACAATATTACAGTTGTTGACTTCAACAAACCCACTCATAATAATGACTAAAACAACCAGACAAAAGATCAATAAGGAAATAGAGGATTTGACAATGTTATAAATCAATTAGAACTAAGAGCAGTATACACATTCTTTTGAAATGCACGTGGAACATTCTCTGGGATATACCATATAGCAGGTCAAAGACTGAAATCAAACAAAGTATCTTTTCTGATCACAATGAAATGAAACTAGAAATCAGTAACAAGAAAAACTGGAAAATTCACAAATATGTGGAAATTAAATAAAGACACTTTTAAATAAACAACAGGTCAAAGAAGACATCACAAGGGAGATTAGACAATACCTTGAGACAAAGGAAAACAAAAACACAACATACCAAACCATTCAGATGCAGTGAAAGCAGTGCTAACAGGAAAATTTACAGATGCAAACATATCAATTAAAAACAAAGAACACAAGATCGCAGCATAGGTAAACACAGCTCACCTCCTCACACAACTACATCAAAATTACAACTAAAATTTTGACCCACCATCACTCAGAAATGTCAGAAATCCAGTTGGATAGAACCCTGACAACTTCAGAATTAAAGAAACCACATCCATCCAGACTGGTAGGAGGGGCGGAGATGTCAAACAGGCTGGTCCCACATCCCTGTGTGCTGTATAACAATTCAGGAGGGTTATCTTGGGAGTGAGGAGTCCCAGAGCCACAGCAGACCCTCCAGCCCAGGGTTCTAGTGCCAGGAAGTTAATTCCCCATGAGTCCTGGCTGCAAAAACCAGTGAGGACTGAGTCAGTGGGAGAAACTTCTGGAGTCCCAAGCAGTTCCTCTTAAAAGAACCCACATACAGACTTACTCAGACTCATTACTCTGAGCTTCAACACTGGGGTAGCTTTGAAAGGCACCAGTGGCATACAGGGAAAAACTGAACTGTCTGGCATCAAGGCCAGAGCTGGGGGACAGAAAGGTGGGCAGAGGCCATTGTCCCTTTTCTGAACCCTCCTCCCACAGAGCCATAGAGCCAGCAGGCCAGTGCCATACCTGAGACTCGATCAACCTGGCTAACACTGTTTGACCCTCCCTGGAGATCCCCAGAGACTCTGACCCACACAGCTTACAGGCCCACTCAAGTAGCTTTTCCATATGAATGGGTGGTCTTGGCTCATGCTTCACAACTTCCTAAATCGTCTCAATCAATCAACAGTCAGCCGCAGTGAGCACACCCCCTAGTCCCCATATCTCTTACTAAGGGGTCCCAGGCTCAGCACTTGCACCAACTAGCCTAGATTCACAACTTGACCGCCTGAGAATCTCCAAGCCCACCACAAGTAGGAGCCATCTCAGATAGCTTCATAGCTCAGGCAGGTGGCTCTGGGCAAAATGCAGGTGATGGCTGACCTTGGCCTGTGCCACCTGGGAAACGACAGAGCCTGCACACCCAGTGGAAAGCTATATACCATGCTGGAGCACCACCGCCCTGCCCCTGCACAGTTCATCCTCCACATAGGGCAGAGGTTGGTGGTCAGTGGTCACAGCCTGTCCTTGTAGCTGACTGACCTGGGTAAATACCTCCTATTGATCTGCAAACAGCAATTAAGGTTCAATTACAAGAGGAGGGTGTACTCAGCCCAAATGAAGAGCATATCTCAAGTACCCAGCCTGGGTGACAGGGGAGGCTGTACCATTAGACCTTATAAGATACCTACTATATATTAGCCCATGCCACCAAGAAACGGAGTCATAGCAGCTCTACCTATACACAGAAACAAACACAGGGAGGCTGCCAAAATGAGGAGACAAAGAAACATGGCCCAGGCCTGGCTGGTGTGGCTCGGTGGATTAAGTGCTGGCCTGTGAACCAAGGGGTCACCAGTTCAGTTCCTGGTCAGGGAATATGCCTGGGTTGTGGGCCAGGTCGCCGGTGGGGGGAATATAGGAGGCAACCACACACTGATGTTTCTCTCCCTCTCTTTCTCCCTCCCTTCCCCACTCTCTAAAAACAAATAAATAAAATCTTTAAAAAAAAGAAAGAAAGAAAGAAAAATAGCCAAAATGAAAGAACAGATTAAAACTCCCAAAAAAGAACTAAACTGAATGGAGATAAGTAATGTATCAGATGCAGAGCCCAAAACACTAGTTATAAGGATGATGAAGGAACTTAGTGAGGACCTCAACAGAATAAAAAAGACCAGTCGGAAACGAAGAATACACTAATTAAAATAAAGAAGAACTTATAGGGAAATAACAGTAGAGTGGATGAAGATGATAATCAAAACAATGATTTGGGACATAAGGAAGCAAAAAACCACCATTCAGAACAAGAAGAAAAAAGAATTAAAAAAAAAATAAGGATAATGTAAACAGCCTCTGGGACAACTTCAAGCTGTCCAACATTTGCATCATAAGGTTGCCAGAAGGAGAAGAGAAAGAGCAAGAAATAGAAATATATTTGAAAAAATGATGAAAGAAAACTTCCCTAATTTGGTGAAAGAAATAGACATGCAAGTCCAGGAAACACAGTGAGTCCCAAACAAGATGGGTGCAAAGAGGCCCACCATAAGGCACATCAAAATCAAAACTCCAAAGGTTAAAGATAGTGAAAAAATCTTAAAAGCAGCAAGAGAAAAGTAGTTAGTTACCTTCAGGGGAATTCCCATAAGACTGTCTGATGATTTCTCAAAAGAAACTATGCAGGCTAGATTGAATTCACAAGAAACATTCAAAGTCATGAAAAGCAGGGACCTAGAGCCTGCTCTACCCAGCACAACTTTCATTTAGAATCGAAGGGCAGATAAAGAGCTTCCCAGACAAGGAAAAACTAAAGGAGTTCATCATCACCTGACCATTATTATATGAAATGTTAAAGGGGCTTGTTTAAGAAAAACAAGAATATCAAAACTATGAACAATAAAATGGAAATAAATATAAACAAAACAAAAAAGAAAACAAAGAACAATCTCATAATAATGACCCAACCATGTATATTGAGGCAGCAATTTTCAACCTTTTTTATCTCAAGGAACACATAAGCTAATTAATAAAAATCTTCAGCACACCAAAAATATATTTTTTTGCCACTCTAACAAAAAAATAGATATAATTTTGGTTAATTTACCACAAAGGAAATGTAATTCCCTATCCCTTTTGCTCCAAAGCGAATTTTTTCAAAAAGGCGTGCTGACCTGACTGGGTAGTTCAGTGGATTGGGCACCATCCCACAAACCAAGAGGTCACCAGCTCATTTTCAGGTCAGGGTACATGCCTGGGTTGTGGTGAAAGTCCTTCGCTGGGGACATGCAAAGGCAACCCAACGATGTTTCTCTTCCTCTATTTTCCCTCCCTTTCCCTCTCTCTAAAAATTTGTAAATAAAATCTTTAAAACATAGTAACAATATAAAAAATGAAATGAAATGAAATAAAATATCAGCTGCACATACTTGTATATAAGTATTTCTGGTAACAAGAATTAACCCATCAGATGCAACTTTATTCATTGTGACCAGTAAGATGCAACTCTTACATGACCTATATATTTATAGTTGATGACTGGACATTCACACCAGATGGCTATTGTTGTGTTGTCTGTTGTCAGGTTTTCATTTGACAATCTAAGGGAAAACAGGTCAGTGCCCCTGTTTAAATAGTGAAGTATGTATATTTTAAAGGTCTTGCAGCACTCCAGTTGAAAATCACTGCCTTAAGGAACTAGAAAAAGGAGGCCAATAAACCAAAGCTATTAGAAGATGAGAAAATAAAAGCAAGAGATTTTTTAAATGGAGAATATAAAAATAATAGAGAAAAATCTACCAAACCAAAAGTCTGTTCTTTGTAAAGATCAACAAAACTGACAAATCTTTAGCTAAAGTGACTGACTAGGAAAAAAAAGAGAAGCCTCAAATTACTAGTATCAGAAATTAAAGGGCATTACTAATTTTATGGACATATAAAATAATTATAAGAAAATACTATAAAGAGTTGCATATCAACAAATTGGGTAACCTAAATGAAATGGACAAACTCCTAGAAACATACAGTTGACGAAAATTGTCTCAAGAAAGAAGATTTGAATAGACCTGTAACTAGTAAGGAGATGGACTCAGTAATCAAAAACCTCCCAAGAAAGAAAAGCCAAAGACCAGATAACTAGTAAATATTTCAAAAACACTGAAAGAGGAATAACTATCAATCCTTCTTAAACTCTCCCAAAAAAACTGAAGAGAAGGGAATACTAACTCATTCTATGAGGCTAGCATTACTCTAATACCAACCTCAGACTAAAGATACAACAAGAAGCCCTGGCTGGTGTGGCTGGCAGATTGAGTGCTGGCCTGCAAACTGAAAGATCACTGGTTTGTTTCCTGGCTAGGGCACATGCCTAGGTTGCGGACCAGGTCCCCTTATTATATGAAATGTTAAAGGGATTTATCTAAGAAAAAGAAGATCAAAAACTATGAACAGTAAAATGACAACAAATTCACAACTATCAACAACTGAACCAAAAAAACAAAAACAAACTAAGCAAACAACTAGTACAGGAACAGAATCACAGAAATGGAGGTCAGAGGGGTGGGGGAGGGGGAAGAATGGGTGAAAAGGTACCGAGAATAAGCAGCATAAATAATAGGTACAAAACAGGCAGGGGGAGGTTAAGAATAGTATAGGAAATGGAAATGCCAAAGAAGTTATATGTACGACTCACTGACATGAACTAATGGAGTCAAGGGAATGGAAGGAAGGGGCGGGGGGTGGGGGTGTAAATGCTGGGGGGAGGGGCAGTGCAGGGTAGAGGGGAGTAAAGGGGAGGAAAAAATGGGACAACTGTAATAGCATAATCCATAAAATATATATTAAAAAATCATCATCAGAGAAATCTACAAGTTAAAACATAAGGCATCACAACACATCTATGAAACTGGCTAAAATTAAAAAAACAATAAAAAGTATTGTCTGAATGTGCTACTCTCATGTATTGCTGGTTGACATGTAATGGGCACAACCACTTTGGAGAACAGTTTGGCAATGTATTAAAAAAATCAAACACACACCTAACATATGACTCAACCATTTTACTCCTAGATATTTACCCAAGATTAATAAAAGCTTATGTCCACATAAAGACCCATACACAAATGTTCACAGTAACTTTATTTGTAACAGTCCCAAATGGAGACAACATAAAATATCCAACAAAAAGTTTATCAATGAACAACTGTGATGTACCCATAAAACAAATAGTAATCAGCAATAATAAGATGTGACCTATTGATATACAAGAACTTGGAGGTATTTTAAAGTAATTATTAGTGACAATGGACAAAATGTACATGATTCTGTTTATAAAATTCCTAGAAAATGCAAACTAATCTATAATAAAAAAGCAGATCAGGGGTTGGTAGAAGGAGTGAAAGAGGGCACACAGGTGCTTGAGCAAACTTCTGAGAGTGATGAACACATCCATTACTTTGATTGCGGTAGTGATGATTTCATGTGTATATGCATACCAATACTTAGCAGACTGCATACTTAAAATAGTTTTCTTATATGTCAATTACATCTCAATAAAGCTATTTGCAAAAAATTCTAATATATTAACATACCAAAAAAACGCAATTATATGAGAAAAAGAGGCTATAATATAGTATGTCTATTTTTGTCCAAAAATCTGTTTTACATGCATACTTATTTCTGTGTGTGTGTACACATAAAATATGTTTAGAGGAAAATAAACTCATCATTAAAAAGTTTTCTCTAGTAAATGACATTAGGAAGCTCTTTACTTCTTACTGCACATACATCTCCACTGCTTGAATCTTGCTTCACAAAATGTATTACTTTTATTATAAAAACTTTTTATTTTTTTCTAAAAATTTCTAGAAAGACAGACTAAATGATGATAATTATAACTATATAAAAGCTATTTTTAAAATAATAGATTTTTTAAACGTAGTAATGTGATGACAATAAGTTTTTTTAAGATTTCATTAATTTTTTTTAGAGAGAGGGGAAGGGAAGGAGAAAGGGGGAGACAAACATCAATGTGTGCTTGCCTCTCATGCACCCCCTACTGGGGTCCTGGCCTGAAACCTGGGCATTTTCCTAGGAATCAACCAGCAACCCCTTGGTTCATAGGCCAGCACTCAGTCCACTGAGCCACACCAGTCAGGGCTGAAAAATAACAGTAATGACAGAAAATGGTATGCCTTCAATCAACAAAAATGTTATCAGTGCATTCATTAGATTGGATGGACTGTAAAGTTTCTTAAAATAATTTCAATTTCCCAAATTTTCTGTAATATGCTTAAATTATATAAGCAGACAAAGTGAAATAGTCTTTCATTTTAAAATAATTCCAAATTACTGTCATAAATACAAATTAATGAAGGGCTTATTACCTGAATCAGTACTTCTCAGCATGCTGACCAGTGCTGGCATGAGCTGAAACTCAAATGTCCTTTGGGCTCCACAGTGGCTGCAGGTTGGGAGCTCAGTGACTCCTGATGTAGAACAGGTCAAAAAAAGTGGTTCTCCACTCCAGGAATACCTAGGGCAAGGAAACAAAAAAACACTGAATCAGGACCACATACAAGTCACATTCCAAAATCAAACAGCTCACTTCATAAACTCCCTTTCTTTCTTGCAGAGAACCAGGAATAAATCAGAGAAAAAGAAAATCCAAAGGCACACAACACTAGCAACAAGCCTGTAAAGCATGGCAAGATATCTGAAGTCTTATCAATGCTGGATTCAAAGTTTGAATGAAGGCACTAAAGCCAATGTGGAACTGAGTCTAACTAAATATGTCACAAAGCCCAGACTCAGTTCAACTGCAAATCAAATGGACTCATACCTCCTCACTACGGGCATACCCTTCTAAAGGATAAATATTTACTTCAGTGTCTACCCTTCTTCAACATACAATTTCTCATAAACAATTTTTTTATAAAACTTGTTAAATATGCAAAGAAGCAAAAAATTTTAACCCATAAGGCAAGTCATTACAAGAAGACCCACAGACAAGATGATAGAATTATCAAAGACTTTAAAATACAATTAATACAGATGTAAAAGAATCTAGTAGAAAAAGGTGAACACGAATAAACAGATGAGGAATTTGGCACAGAAATGGAAACTACAGGAGACTCAAACAGAAATGTGATACCAGAAATAAGTAACTCAATTCAGTAAAAGATTACAATAGACTGGAAAGAGCAACAACAAAAAAAACCTATGTATTTGAGGAAAACAGAAATATCCAAAATGAAACAAAAAGGGAAAATTAAAAACAAAAGGAAAAAAAAGTCTTTAAAAACCATGAGGCAATTTCAAATAATCTAACATACAATTAACTGGAGTCCCAGAAGAAGGGAAAATATAAAAATATTGGAATATAATGGACAAAATTTTTCCACAGTTAATGGAAAGACATCAATCCACAAATCTAAGAAGCTGAGCAAATCCCAGGCAGGATAAATCAAAACACACAGGTACACTCGAAAGTACATAAAGGATACACATATATTCAAAGAGAACAACAATAAGAATTACAGCTAATTTCTAATGGAAACAATTAAACAAGAAGACAGTAGAACTTTTAACAGTGCTGAAAGGAAAAAGTAAGAAACAACATTCATATATGATATGTCCATTAAAATATTAATAAATATGTTTTAAGACAGATGTAAACTGAGACAGTCTCCAACACATCTGCACTTCAAAAAAATAATTAAAATAAGTTCTTCAGGCTGAAGGGAAATATCAGATGGAAGCCTAAATCTGCATGAAGAAATGTAGAGTATCAAAAGGGTAAATATCAATAGGTGAATAAATATAAAAGTCCTCTCTCACACACACACACACTTCCTTTTCCTTAAAAACAATGGATTATTTCAAGCAAAAACAATAGTGTATTATGGGGTATACAGCATGTATAGAAGTGGATATATGAAAACAAGACCACAAAGCGTAGGGGAAAGGTAAAATGGGACTCTGTGATGGTTATTAGTTCATCAAGTAGTAAATTACCATGTGAAGGGAGACTATAGTAAGTCAGATGTACATTATAATCACTAAAGCAAACACTAAAAAGGCAACAGAGCTATTACAAAAAGAAAGGAGATAAAAATCATAAATTAAAAACACTCAAGTCACTTTAGTCGCTTTTAAGTGTTCTGTTTGAAGGTCAAACAAAATTGAAAAGAGGGACAAAATAAATAAATGAGAAAAAACCTCCAATACCAGATTGATTAAAATTAATGCAGCACCACCAGTAATTACACTAAAGACTAAAAACCATGTAAAAGGCAAACAGCCAGGATTAAAAAATAGCAAAACCCATATAATTTAAGCTGTTTAAGAAAAACATTTTAGATATTACTTCACACCTGTTAGAATGGCTATTACCAAAAAGATGTAACAGAAATAACAAGTGTTGGTGAGGATGTGGAGAAAAGGGAACCCCTTGTGCACTGCTGGTGGGAATGTAAATTGATGCAGCCACTGTGGAAAACAGTTTGGCAGTTCCTCAAAATGTAAAAGCAGATCTATGCTATGATCCACCAATTCCACTCCTGGGTATTTATTCAAAGAAAATGAGTCCTGGCTGTTGTGGCTCGGTGGACTGAACATCAGCATGTGACTGAAAGGTCACCCATTCCATTCCCAGTCAGGGCACATGCCTGGGTTGAGGGACCAGGCCCCCAGCAGGGGGGGCACAAGAGGCAACCACACATTGATTGGGACAACTGTCTTCCCCTTTCTCCTTCCCTTCCCCCTCTCTAAAAATAAATAAATATCTTTTTAAAAAAAAATCAACCATACATAGACTAAACTAAAGAAGGTTAGCGTGGCTATATTAACATCAGACAAAATACATTCCAACGAAGGAGTATGAGCAGAAATAATTATAATAGCATCAATTCATCAGATAGACATAGTGCTGCAAGCACACACATCTTAAAACAGCACCAAAGTGCATGAGACAAAATTTGACAGGAGAAAAACCTATCCATAATTGGTAAGACCAAAGTAGTAAGTAATAAATAAAAACTGATGTTACAATTGGACACTCACACGGGGGAAAAAGATGAATCTTCATCCTCATATATTGCATATAAAAATTAACTGAAAATAGATCACAGACCTGAACGTAAGAACTGAAACTAAAAACTTCTACAAGAAAACACAGGAAAAATCCTTTGTTATCTTGGGTTAGGCAGAAATTTCTTAGGAGCAAAAACAAAGCAAAACACCAGACTCTCCTTCCACCACCTTGAAGCCTGCTGGGAACAGGGCTTCTAAAATGACAAATACGGCCCTCACCAGCCAGTGTGGCTCAGTTGCTTGGGCATTGTCCCACAAGGCTCAGAGTCACAGGTTCAATTCCCAGTCAAGGCCAGTGCCAGGATTGCAGGTTCAGTCACCAGTAGGGGCCCATACAAGAGGCAACTGATCAATGTTTCTCTCTCACATCAGTGTTTCTCTTCCTCTCTTTCTCCCTTCCTTCCCCTTGCACTAAAAACAAATAAAAATCTTAAAATAGAATAAAACAACAAATGTCTGGAAGGCTGTGGTCCAAGGCCATTTCTGCTGGCTGTAAGTGGAGTCTCCAGAACCAGAGGGAGCACACAGCTCTTCTTAAAATTGAAGGTGTTTATGCTCCAGGTGAAACTGAATTCCATCCAGGCATGAAATGTGCTTATGCATACAAGGCAAAGAACAACACAGTGACACCTGGTGGCAAACCGAACAAAACCAGAGCAATCTGGGGAAAAGTAACATACCTGATCCTCATGGAAACAGTGCCATGGCTGGAGCCAAACTCCAAAGCAACCTTCCTGCTAAGGCCATTGGACATAGAATCTGTGTAATGCTGTACCCCTCAAGGACTTAAACTTACTAAAAAGTAAAAAAATTAAAGTGGATTAAAAAACAAACTGTTAAATTGGACTTGATCAAAATTTAAAACTTCTCAAAGGATCCTATTAATAAAATGAAAGGTAAACCACAGAAAGGGGGAAAATATTTGAAATATATATAATCTCAAAAAGGATTTATATCTTAAAAATAAGAAGAATTCCTATAGTTCAATAACAAAAAGATAAATGACTGAATAAAATTATGGGCAAAAAATCTGAACTGATACTTTCCCAAAGATGACAGAAAACAAGCATTTGAAAACATGTTCGAGATCACTAGTGTTTAGATAAATACAAATTGAAACTACAAGGAAATACTACTACTACACATCTTACATGACTAAAATTAAATGCTGAACATATGAAGTACTGACAAAGATGTGGAGGAACTAGAATTCTTAAACATTACTGAAGGCAATGTAAATGGTTATAACCACTTTGGAAAACCATCTGGCTGATCCTTAAAAAGTTAAACCTACACATACCTTAAATGTCCATACAAAGACTTATACACTAATGTTTACAGAAGTTTTATTTAATATAGAAAAAAAAAAACCCAGAAATTTCAACAACAGGTGAAATGGATAAACAAATTATGGTATATCCATACAATAGAATATTACACAGGAGTAAAAACAAATGAACTATTGTTACATGCAAGAAGGATGAACCTTGAAATAATTATGCTGAAAAATCCAGACCCCCACCAAAAAAGTATATCCTGTATGACCTCATTTATAAATTTATTAAAAATATATAAGGTATAAAAACAAAAGATCAGTGGTTACCTAGGGATGGGGAAAGAAACATGAGACAAGGCAAGAGAGAAAACTTACACAGTAATATGAAGAAACTTCTGGGCGCGGGGGGCATTTTTTTCCCTTCTTACCTTGACAGTGGCAACGATTTCATGGGTGAATACATACGTCAAAACTTACCAAAGTATATACATTTTAAATATGGGCATTTTGTGCTGATATAAGCACACACTTCACTACAGAAGATACACAGATGCCAAATAAGCATATGAAAAGATGCTCATCATTAGTTACTAGGCAAATGAAATTTAAAACAACAATGGAATACCACTACCACCTCCCAGAATGCTTGAAATGAAGAAGACTGACAATATTTTTAAAACCACCACTAGGCTACCTCTGTCAACCACTCTTATACTCAATGTACTTTATTTATTATATTATTTTTTAAATTGCCATTTCCTCTTTTTTTTTAAGGTTTTATTTCTTTATTTTTAGAGAGGAAGGAAAGGAGACAGAGAGGAAGAGAAACATCGTTGTGTGAGATATCAGTTGCCTCTCATACACCCCTGACCAGGGACCTGGCCCAGTGCCCTGACAGGGAATCAAACCAGCGACCTTTTGGTTCATAGGCCAGTGCTCAGTCCACTGAGCCACACCAGCCAGGGCCTCAATGTACTTTTAATATTTGCAGAATTCAGTTCTTATTTAGGGGTAATTCCTTATTTCATTTTTGAATATTGTTTTTGATCCATTTGTTGGGTCCTCTGTTTTAGACACGAATTATTCTTACAGTAATTATCTCTTTTTTAAAAGATTTTATTTATTTATTTTTAGATGGAAGGGAGAGAGACAGGGAGGGAAACACTGACATGCAAGAGAAATACTGATCAGATGCCTCTCACATGTCAACTGGGAACCTGGCCTGCAACCTAGGCATGTGCCCCGATAGGAATTGAACCAGCGGCCTTTCAGTGTGCAGGATGACACCCAACCCACTGAGCTACACCAGTCAGGACAGTAATTATCTTTATCAATCTTCCATAGATAGCTTTTCTCTGAATGCTTTGTCTTTTTCTTCTGCATTCACTAAATTATCTTGTCTTTCTTTACATTAGTACTTTGATTTTTAGCCAAGCCTATTATGTTCCTTATATTCTAAATTTATTAGATATATCACATTGTGTGGCTTCTTCCCTTAAAAATTTAATTTCCCTTGGCATCTCATGGTTACTTTATTTTCTCAGCTTTGACCTCTTGGTTTCACTGAATTTACTCTTCTATATCTTAAAAAAAATCTGCTGAGAATTAAGTGTTCCTTAGATTTTCTTCCAGATATGGTTCTTGACTCATTTTTGTATGTACCATTCATTTCTTCAATTTTATTGCCCACAGCATAATTACTTGAGTGGTATGCCACTTTTCATCTAGCTCATACCTACAGGGTGCAACTCAGTTTAGACCATCTACTTGCTCCAAAATAGTATGTGGGGTTTCTTACTGGTTTCCTGTCAATCTTCTATCTGATGTCTGTTCTTTCTTCTCCAAGCGCATTTTTCATTTCTTCTACTTTTATGTAGATGGTAAAAGACAGGGAATTGGGGTAGGATATAGCTCTCCTAAGACTGGATGCAATCTTTACTAGGAACACTTGGGCTTTGTTTTCACTTCTGAGAAAGGGTAAAATGTCCTATATGTTCAAAGAGAGCCCACTTACATGGGGGAGAAATTGGCCTTGACTTCCTTATCATTGCTGTAACTCATCACGGAACCCAGTAACTTTCCTTTCTGAGACGCAATCACTAATACCATGCACCATCACCCCATTACATGCGATTCTTTGTCCAACAGCCAGTTCCATTATCCCCCACATCAGAAGATACAGATTCTCCTCTTGTTTCCCTCTTTCCAGAATCAAAATTATTACAATTTTCATAATTTTGTGAAGTAGTTCAGTATATTTTGCAGAGGGGAGACAAGAGGGCTGCATGTTTAGAACCTGCACTAAACCATACCAGAAATTTCTATACCTTTCTCTGTGAAGACTAAATCAATTACATATATGAATATATGTGAGGTACAGAATAGTATTAGACATTTTATGATATTATATTCTGAGCTGCCACATTGAGTTTTATGGTATTAAGTCTCTCTTTTTATTTTAATTCTGATGGAAGGGATTTTCTTTTTAATATGTAGAGCTGACCCTTGAAAAACAAAGGAGGGGGCAAGGAGATCAGGGGCACCCACTCAGTCCAAAGTCCAAGGATAACTTCTGACTCCCCAAAACTCAGTCATCCCTTGGCATATATGGGGGACTGGTTCCAGGACTCCCACAGTTACCAAAATCCAGGATGCTCAAGTCTCTTATATAAAATGGTGTAGAACCAATGCATACAATTGGCCTCTGCACCTGCAGTTTCCCAATCTCACGTAGAAAATACTTTCCTGCAATACTTGCCTGAATCTGAGGGTGTGAAACCCGCAGATACTAAGGGCCAACTATACATTTATTTTTTAAAAAAGCAAAAAACAAACAAACAAAAAAACTCCTGTATATGTGAACCCATGTAGTTCAAAGCTGCGTTGTTCAAGAGACAACTACTTGTTTTTTTCTATTTTATTTTTGGCTGACTTTTAACTTTTATATTTATTGTGTCAGGTATTAGGGGAGAAAGACCATTTCACTCTACTAAGCCTACATTATCCAGATCCATTTTTACAAGTTTTCACTGTCATTATTTTTATATAATATACCTGCTGGGTACATCATTTTCTCTGAGGCCTCACTGACATTCTACTTAAAATAGCTCTTTTATTTTCCTCATTTATCACTTTTGGAAATTATACAACATATCTGTTTTTAATACTAGAATATAAAAATCTGTAAAAGTAAGAACTTTGTGTCATTTCCTGCTGTATCTGTAGTACCTATAACAGTGCCTTGCATCTAGAACAGACGCAGTAAACATTTGTTAGATGAATGAACATGTTTACACCTCACTGAATCCTCCCTGTAAAATAGGTATTAAACCCATTTTACAGAAGAGAAAATAAAGCTAGAGTCATCTGCCCAAGGCCAAATCTTCTAATGTTAAAGCCAAGGTTCTTTTCATCCCTACCCTGTTTAAAAAGGTGTTGGCTCCAACGAAGACTCAATGAAGTATCTACTATATATGGGCCCTGTGTTTTGTACAAGAGTTATATATTGTCCTTACTGACAAAGAATTTATAAAAACCAGGTAATTCGGTAGACTCTTGTCCTAAGATCATGAAGAATTCATAAATATGCCAATACTACTAAGAGATCTTAATAAATGTTTCCCCAAAATATAGAACAGATTTCAAACAAAAGTTAGTATTTACATACGTTTTACAAAGTATTTTCAGTCATCACCTCATTTAATTCTCATAGGAATCCTATGAAACAGGTAGTTTTATCATCGTCCTTACTTTAAGGATGAGGCACTGAGAACAAGGTTTCCCACTGGTAAACCATTGGTAAAATTATGGGAAAACAGGCACTTAAGGCTGCCAGTAGGAATTAAAGTTTGGTATATCACCAGTAGGAATTAAAGTCCTACAGGAGTCACTTTGGTGCTATCAATCAAAATTACAACTGCATACAGCTTTTGCTTAACTATGCCACTTCAGGGAATGCATCCTGCAAATATACTTGCACACAAACAGAATATCATAGGTGCAAGACTGTTCATTAGCATAATTTATAATAGTAAAAGTTTGGAAATAACATTAAATGTCCATTAAAAAGAAATACTGACAAGGGACTACCATCCTACAGAGCTTTTTTCAAAACAAAATTCTCAATTAAAAAAAACAGTACTCCTAGATACAGTGTAGAGTTAAAAAAGAATGTGCCTAGAATGCATCCCTTTGTGTAAAAAATAGGAAAGTAATATGTAATTATTATATTTGCTTATACATGCATAAAGAAACTATGAGCACACACAGGAACTAACAATAGTGGTTACCTCAGTAGATTAGGGATAGTAAGAATAGAAAATCATTGTGTGTGTGATTCCATTCATTTAAAAAAATCCTTATCTGAGGATATGTTTATTGGTTTTAGAGAGAGAAACACAGATGTGAGAGAGAAATGATCAGTACACGCCCTGACTGGGGTCCGAACCCGCGACCTAGGTATTGTGAACTGAGAGAGAAATGGAATGAAATTCACAACCTGTTGGTGTACAAGACGACGTTCCAACCGATTGATCCACAGGCACAGTACAGTAAAAATGTACTGTGATGTACTGTAAAAATGTACTGTAAAAATGTACAGTACGTATACATTTTTATATTTTTGAGATTCATAATATATTATCTACTGAAAATTTAAGTTAAAAAAAGTTTTAAAAAAAGAAGAGCCCTGGCTAGCATGGTTCAGTGGGTTGGGCATCGTCCTGCAGACAGAAAGGTCACAGGTTCAATTCCCGGTCAGGGCCCATGCCTGGGTTGTGGGTTTCATCCGGAGTTGGTTCGGTTCCCAGTCAAGGCACACATGCAACCAATGGCTGTTTCTCTCTCACATCAATGTTTCTCTCCCTCTCTTTTCCCCTTCCTCCCCCTCTCTCTACAATCAGTAAGCATGTCCTCAGGTGAGGATTAAAAAAAAGAAAAAACATTTTGAAGTTTTTAATATATAAACAAACCCTTAATAACAATGAATGTGTATTAAAAGGAAAAATTATAAATAATCTATGATCTCAGTTACATTTTTGAAAAATACACAATACCCACCTACATGCATGCATCCAAATGCGTAAAAAGTAAGAGAACATAATACACTAAAATCTTGGCTTCTCAGTTTGAGGAAAACTTTGGATTTTGGTTTTCTTGTTTTACTTTCCTGTGTTTTCCAAACTAACATATTACTTTTATAATCAAGAGATACAATGGAAAAAAATGTGCCTTTACCTCAAAATCTGCTCCTGACAAGCAGCAATTCTCTTCATGAATTTGTAAAATGTCTTATCTCCACTTCTAATTATGGTCTTCTCATATTTTTCATTACCATCACTAGAAAGACTAAAAAGTAGAAAATACTTTTGAGTGTATATATCCAAAGAATTACAGTATTTAGAAAAGGAAAAAGGGTAATTAAAACATTTTTTAAACCAAAGTTAGCATATGCACATAATTTAAGTATCACAAATTTAATACCTTACAATGTATTAACAGTAATCCCCTATCCACCCTTTTCCCAAGCCCTGCTCCCTAGCCATTTTCAACTCTGGGATGATTATTTGCAATTTAAAAAGTTAATACAGGACCTGACCAGGTAGTTCAGTTGGCTAAAGCATTGTCTTACTGTCAAGGTTGCGGATTTGATCCCAGTCAGGGCACACACAAAAATTAACCAATGGCCCTGACCAGTGTGGCTTAGTTGGGTGGGCATCGTCATGCAAAAGTGGCCGGTTTGGCTCCTGGTCAGGGCACATGCCTAGGTGGCAGGTTTCGTCCCTGGTCAGGGTGCGTATGAGAGGCACTGATTGATCTTTCTCTCTTACATTGATGTTCCTCTTCCTCTCTTTCTCCCTCCTTTTCCCTCTCTCTTAAAAAAAAAACAAATATTTAAGAAACAGAATCAACCAACGAATGCATAAATAAGTAGAACAAATCAATGTTTCTCTCTCTTCCCCTTCTTCTGTCTCTAAAAATCAAAGTAAAATAAATTTTAAAAGTCATTATATCCATTGACTCTCCATTTCTTTCTCCATTAATGCATTATTTTCAAACACCAACATGTCTTGATGCAACCCAACATTATTCTGAAAAAGCTTATGAATGAAAGAGTTCTGGTAGAGAATCAGGTGATCTCTCCAAACATCCTATTGTAATTCTATTATAATAGCAAAAATAATCATTCTTACATCTTTAGAGGGCTTTGGTTTATATAGTCTTTCAAGACCTATTCTCTCACTTGACTCCCAAAACCATCTATTAAGACAGAAAATAGATATCAATACCACTCCCATTTTACAGGTCATAACTGAGGCTCTGGAAGGGTTTCTCCTGTTCTAGGCCAGTTCTTGAATCACAGCCAAGAGTCAATAAACAAATGGCATTCTTCTAACTTAATTGCTTTAGTTATACATTCAGAAACAGGAAACAAAGTTAAGAGAGATAGTGAACACATCTTCTTCTGTAAATAGTTGGCCTCCCTAACTTGCTTGTTCATTTTCTTGAGGGTACTTCTAAATACAGCAAAGTGTTTTTAAGCTAACACAAGGATGGCTAAGATCCCCTTGTCTCTGCCTCCCTTTCTTACCCAAGAGGGATGAAAGCACAAAGGTCCTACACAGTTCTGCCTGAAGAAGTTTCTCCAGGTACCAGGGTAAAACCAAAGGGTATCTAGTGTGGCTAGCTTTCTGATGAAGTCACCTCTTCACCTCAGCTGCACACATCCTCACCTTTGGGAAAGCAACTGTTCCATGTCAATTCCTTCTCGCTGTTGATATTCCCTGAGAAGACAGTGAGCATGATCTAGACTGACAACATCTCTGTAATCATCCTCATCTACAACACAGATGTAGTAGGACAGGAACTGCGGCACCACAGAAGGCAAGGCCATTCCTTCCCCAGGCGGCACAGGAAGAGCAGCACCTCGGACAGCATCCTGAAGGCAGAGGTCTTGGAGCTGGGCAGTCCAATCTATGTCTCTGGCATTGTTAGAATCATTTCCAAAATCCAAGGAAAGCTGTGGTGAAGGTGCCTCCTCATTGTCACTTCCCCAGTCATCTGCACCTTCACACCAATCTTCAGCTGCAAGGCCATTGTCCTGTTTCTGGAAAAATATCCAGTGAATGAGGACCAAGACACTTAGGTTATCTCACCTATTCCCTTGGCTTCGGCCAGTCATCCTTTCACCTCCTTGAGGGAGACTTCACACCAGCCACTTCCCCTCTGGCACACTCTCATTCACTTCCTGGGTCCCCTTAACTCAAAAGCATGTTGCAGGTTGCAAATAGTGTCTTTCCTTTTTAGGGGCAGTAGGGCAGATGTAGTACAATGTATTCTTCAACCACCTGTTCCAAACTCAGTTGTGCCACATGTACTGCGGAATCTGGCAGGAAAGAACTACATTTTCCAGACTCCTTAGCAGTGAAGGGTCCAAATATGATCAGGGTTCTGCTAATCACGTCCACTAGTGAGAGGGACAGACTTGTGATGCCATGAAGCAGAAGTCTATAGATGGAGTCTAGGCAAGGCTCTGGGGTCAACAGTTCTGGGAAGGGCAGCTTCCAGTTCACCTCAGCTTCCTGACTGCAGCAGAGGCAGAAGAGTAACACCCTGACAGGCCAGTGCTGAGGTGTGGTTCTGGAGGTCACTCCTGGAGTTGCTTTCTCCAGACTGTCCAGTAAGTTAGCAAAAACCTAATTTTAAGTCTGTCTCACCTTTAAAAAGTCCAAGTGCTTTTCTATTATCTGCAGCTAAACCCTGACAAATATAGGCAGACACCAGGGTCATCTTTTTATTCCCAATATTGCTAGTACTATGTCTGGCACATAGTAAGAATTCAGCATATATACAAAGCAACTCTTAGAGGCAAAGGGAGGCTGAATTTTGTTCTGCAGGTACCAACTTGCCTAATTTTGGATTATTAAATTCAGATTTCGTCTTACTAAATGTGTAATATACATATACACATATCACAGTAAGTTTATTATAAACACATGTATTACACACAACCATGTATATGTATACACTCATATTTTTTCCTTAAATAGAAAAATCAATAAACTATGTCTCTCAAGACCGTCGGTGTATATTTAAAGAAACAACTTACAAAACCTTAAGAAAACAGCATTTTATGGTTCAAAAGTGAGCAAAAACCACCGCAAAGTATTGCAAATAACGCATCTTAAACTACGGCTTAAACGATATTCTCGCAAATACCCTCAAATCACAGCAAATGCTAACATACACAACCGCATTACCTGAGTGTCGGGCACTTCTTTCTCTTGCATCTGCAGGAACTGGGAGCGGAACACCTTCCAGCTTGAGGGTAAAGATAAACTGCTGTGAGGGCTCCACGCCGAACCGCCGGCCGGCGGGCCAGCCCCCATCAAGGTGCGCCCGGTACGGCCCCTAACTCCCGCCCACTTGGCATAAACTCCCCGGAGGCAGCTCCACAACTCTTCCACCTACCTGCGTGCCCCGCCGCTGCCGCACCGGGGGCTGGGGCAAGCGAAAACGTGCAGAAGCCGATGAAACGGAGAACTTTCCAGCGGGCAGTACACCTGCACGACCAAGGCGAGCGGTTGCCTGCAACGTTCACACACTGGCCTCGGCGAGGCTACCGCAGGCAGGGCGTCCTGAGGGCAGGGGCGGCGCTCAGACCCTGGCTGTGCCGCGGAATGTAGCCCACTCCCTCACCTCGTAGCCCTCACCAGCACCCGCCGACCCCGACTCCGGCGCCCCACCTCACCGGGAGGCCGCCCAGCTTGCTAGCAGTCCAGGCGCCCGGCCCAGTGGGGCAGCCTTGCACCGCTGCGTCTCGAAGGCCCAGCAGCACCCGCTTCCGCACGGCCGCCATGACGACGGGACGCCCACGTGAAAAGACGGACTACGGGAGGCGAGCTGGTACCTCCTTCTGCGCAAGCGCACCTCCTACTCTCGCGAGCCTGCCCGCCCGCGTTAAGTTCCGTTCTTAGGCAAGTGTCTCAGAGCAGCGAATCCAACTTCTGCTATCTTGGCCTCAAAATTCCGAGCCCCAGGCTTAATGAACCACAATAGAAATACGCACAAGAAAGAAAAAAAAGTATGCACACTCTACTCTGAAGTAGTATTGCCAACTGAAAGAAGCAGGAAAATAGCATCGTTAACAAGAAAAAAAAGTCCTTAAATTTTAGAGATAACACATCAAAATGCTTATAGATGAAATGACATACCAGAGACTTGCCAAAACATGGTGGAGGGGTAGATAAAATAAGGCCATGAGTTGATAATTATTGAAATTTGGTTTCAGGCACATGGAGGTTTTTTATACTGTTTGTTTTGTTTGAAGTTTTCCATAATAAAGTTTTTAAATGCCTGTGGCACAACATAGGTGAACTTCAAAAAACATGCTAAGTGCAAGTAGCCAGACACAAAAGGCCACATCCTAGAAAAGGTGAAATTTAAAAATAAAGAAATTAAATCAATGGGTTTGGGAGATAGGGATTGACCACAAAGAGGTGCCAGGAACTTTTTTGGGTGATAAAAATGCTGTGTATCTCAATTGCGGTGGTTACATGACTGCATATATTTGTCAAAATTCAGAACTGTACCCCAAAGGAAGATGAATTGTACTATATGTAAATTATATCTTAGTAAACCTGACTTTCAAAAAAAGGCATGTTGCAAAAGCACTAGTTCAGGCTTCATACATAGTGTGCAAAAGAAATGAGTGTTTTTGAGGATTCACACTGTCAGCAAACTCAAAGGGGTTCACCACTTGGGATGCTCTATTCAAAAATGAGACATAGTTGTCGCAAGACAGTTTTATTTACTTACAGCAAGTAAAGGAGACAAGATTTATAATCAAAGTTCTGGCTCCTGGAAGGGAAGCTTAGCCATTACTACTGACACTATTTGGTCCATTACATGTTGATATCTTCAGTGCAGTTGGCTACTTTCATCAGGTTGAGTTCCCATCAGCTCATCCTGTGTACAGCTGCATCTGCAAAATACTATGCTACTTTTTACCACTTGGCAAGAATACCATTTAGAACAGCCCAGACCTTAAGACACTTGTCCTAACAACTCAGAAGATACAGGTGACTCAACAATGTTTGGTTCCAGGCCCAGAGAGGACCTGGAGCCGAAACCAGTTTACTCCTGGTTTATTGATTCCAGTCTGATAGCTTTATAAAGGGGTGTGAGCCCTCCCCAATGTGGCTCAGCTGGAGTTTTGTCCTGTAACCAGAGCATTCAGGTTCGATTCCTGGTCAGGGCACATGCCTGGGTTGCAAAATTGCTCCCCAGTGTAGGTGTGTGCAGGAAGCAACCAGTTGATGTTTCTCTCTCTCTCTAAAAGCAATGAAAAAAAAAATGTCCTCAGGTCAGGATACAAAAAAAAAATTATTTTAAAGGGTTGTCAAGTTTGACCTTGGTGTTCACTTCAAGTCTAGTCAGGAGCTGGGATGACTTGACACATTTCCCATGATATATTTTTAAATTACAGCAAGAATCAAACTTCAAAATTCTTATTCTTGCTAACACAGAAATACAGCTTTGGAGCTGTTACTGATCACTCTCCAACATCAATAATTTGTTTACATCATATTACCTATTACAATGAAGTGTGATGGCAGCATGAAGACCTGCTACTTAAAATGAATTTTCAGGATGTTAATTGCTGCCACATTCTGGAATCCCAGAGGCAATTTAACATCAAAGTTGACAATTACATCATTACAGAGTGCTTGGAACAATGTAACAAAAAAGTGCTTATACAAGTAAGATCTGAAGTATCTAACCTAAGTCATGATTTTGTAGGGTTTGGATTACCTGACAAATATACAAATTGACAAATTACAATACAGTTTATACAAGGAAGTACAGAGTAAAGATGCTGAAATCTGCTTTAATTTCACACTGAGGAGGTACCTGTTTGTGATGGTTAACTTTTTGTGTCAGCTGGGCTAAGAGATTCCCAGATAGCTGGTAAAACATCATTTCTGGGATTCAGCCTACTGGTTAAAATGCTGTCCTCAGTGTTTCAAGGACAGCATTATAATCGGTAGGCTGAGCAAAGAGGAGCACACTCACCACTGTGGCTGGGCATCAGGAGGGCTGGAATAGAACAAAAAGGAGGAAGGATGAATTCTCTTTTCTTGAACTGGGATATCCATCTTATGTTGCCCTTGGACCTCTGAGCTCCTGGTTCTCAGACCTTCACTCTGGGACTCACACCAGAGGCTCCCCCAGTTCTTAGGCTTCCACTCAGACTGAATGATACTCTTGGCTTCCCAGTGAGCCAATTCCCATAATAAACCTCAAATAATTATGAGTATCATATTAGTTCTGTGTCTCTGGAGAACTCTAATTCATATACTAATACTTGAAACAACAGGCAGCCATGGGACCCTAAGTGGAAGCCACAAGTGATGATAGTGGGACTGATGAGGGGCAGGAGAATAAGAAAAGGCAAAGTGACACGTAGCCAATTGTCATGTGCCAGTTCCTTCTGCATAAGACATGAGAACTGGAAGCTGGCCTACAGCACAGTGGCCCCAGTGCCAAGAGATCTTTCATCTGAAGCCAAATTAGCCTGAGAGGGTCTGCCACCTTGAATTTCTCCTGTCTGCAGACATTTTTGTGTTTGGTATTTTGTAACAGAGGAAGTGGCTCTGATAGGAAAAGGCTTTCACTTTATATCAGTTATGTGAAGAAAGGACGTAGGTCAGCAGGAGCCTAAACAGATCTCAAATGTCAAAGAACATCTCTCACCTCTGCAAAGGGCATTCACTTCTGTAATTAATAAAAATAAACCTACTTCACCAATAGAAAGATGAGAAGTGCTGACAATTTCTAAGTATCATTTCAAGTGGACATTTGCACATGCACAGTCACTTATGAGAATCACAATATTTTTCACTGAGACTATAGGGGTGCAGTTCACCTTCTTATAGGAGCAAAAAGTATGGATCCTGGCTTTCTGTCTTACAGAAGGTATGTGACCAAGCCAGAGCACAATTCAGAAGTGGGTGACCCAGGAGAGAACGAGGCAAACACAGCCCAGCTGACAGGGTCGAGGGCAGCAGGTTACCCGTCTGGGTTTTGTACTGTGGTCTAGGGTGTTAAGTCCTAAAAGCTCCGCCTCTAGCCTGCCCAGCAATTCTGCCCATCACTCTTTAAAATTCCATTTCTGCTTAATTAGCCAGAAATATTATTTAATCACTTAAATAAAAGAAAAAGCGTAATTTGTTAAAAAATCCTTTTTTCAGTATTTACCTTATAAAAGGAAAGAATTACCTGGGCATCTGGCCAGGTGATAGCAGTCACCCTTGATCTGGGCCAGGGATTCACCCCAAGCCGATGTAATCTCAGTTCGGTTTTTGAAACCATCCAGTGAACAGGAGTATACAATTCCTCCAAAGCCACAGAGGCGAGGAGTGGAAGATGGAGAAGGGGTTTGATTGCAGAGGCCAGGTTGCGCTTCTGACTCTGATCGCGCCCCACCCCACCCACTCTCTTCTCAAGGGACCATCCTCCCTTCACGACCGGCTCACCACTTACAGTCAGGCCTCGGTCAAGGCACATCACTCTGCCTACTAGCTCCTGCATAAAGCACCATCTCACGAAGCAAGAGGCTGAGCTTACAACCTCCTTTGTGGCATCTTTATTTTTCTACCTGGTACATACACAAAGTGAACGTGGGTCAGAAAAATCAGCTGGACGTAAACCCTCCAGCTAATTGTAAAACAGATGGGCAAGGACGTGGAGGGTGGGGATGGCAATTCCAGGCCAGCTTCCTCCAAGGGCTTGTGGTCTAAGCCTGTGACCAGAGGGTGCTCTGGGCAGGCCCACGCAGTGCAGACTCTGGTGAGGAGGGACAAGAAGGACAGTCACTAAAGGGACAGCAGCCCAGCATGAGTTTATTGGCTTATGACGTCACGTTCCTGCTTGATGAAGTTGATCAGCCCATTGGTGGAAGAATCGTGAGAGGTCACTGGGCTGTTGCCATCAAGCTCAGGCTCAATTTGCTTAGCCAGCTGCTTTCCCAGCTCCACTCTGTCAGGAAGAAGAGAAAGAATGGTATGAGAAAGGTTCCAGTACTGGCAGTAAAATCCACAAGCATTCCCCACCCTCCCCTTGAGTCAGCAACTCACCCCCATTGGTCAAAGCTGTTGATGTCCCAGATGATGCCCTGAACAAAGATCTTGTGCTCGTACATGGCTGCAGAGGTGGCAGACAGTGCGCATTAGGGCTCTACCAGCCCAGCACAACTTACCCCAAGCAGGTGGGACCGTCTCCACTCACTCACCAATCAAGGCTCCAAGAATGAATGGAGTGAGTTTGGTGAACACAATAGAGTTGGTTGGACGATTTCCTTCAAAGACCTTCAGAAAATACCAAGGAATGTCCCCAGTTAGTCACGATCCCTAAGTCCACAGAAGGCAAGCCCATCCTGCCCCAGAAGCTGGGATATGTAGGTCTTTGAGCACAGCCCCTCCTACTGTGCAGGACAGGCCAGGCACGCCATGAGCCCCTGCCTTGGCCCCAACTCCAGTATGCCACCCGAAGCCCACTTCCAAAGTGCTGACCTTGTGTGGCAACAGCTTCTCCAAGTCCTGTGGACTCTTTCCTGCAGCCTGGAGCTCCTTCCGAGCCTCCTCTGTCGACTTCCCCTTCATCAGGGCCTCAGTCTGGGCCAAGAAGTTGGCCAGGAGAATCTGACGAGAGAGACATCCAGTTATGCTTGGAAGCACTGTCCGAGCTTCAGGGAGAGGGACAGACTGCCTGGCACTTCCCAGTCATGGCTAATGCCAGCCTGAGCCATACTGCTGGCCTCCACCCTGGAGCTCAGTCGGATCCAGGGGAGACAGCAAGGCACATCTGATGAC